ACCCGTCTTTTCCTATTCGATTTTCACTCGACAGACGGTCTGGAGTGCTATGCCATTTGAAAGTCTCCACAGCATGTGCCCAATCTATCTCTATTTTCTCCAGCATATTTTTTTGACCAATAGGTTCTAGGTTGGTTTGTGCCCGTAGTCTCTTGTCACTAATTCTTTCCGGCCATTCGATCTTCAGTATTGAGTGAGGGCAGCTGTTGACAAACGTTTGCAGTAGCCTGCTGGAAATGCTTTTGGTGGGGGGGGGAGCGTTCGTCAAGTTTCCGACTCATACATAGAAAAACTGGTTTCACATTTGTATTAAGAATTCTTAAGAATCTTGTTGTGTATGCTGAGTTAGTGCATAATATTTCCGAACCGATTTCAGGTTGGTTGATGAAGGTATATCTTGCCTTTCCGATTCTCGTTGGCTGATTTTGACGTCTTCATCCGTTCTGCTTGTGGTTGATACGATGCTTCTTAGATAGGTGAAGGACGTGACCTCTTTCAAATTCCTGCCGCTGATGGTGACTGGTGATGGTTGTTGTAGCTGTTCATTGGTTATGCTCATCACCTCTGTCTCCTCTATGTTCACCTGCAGTCCTGTCTTCGCCACCTGCTTCTTTAACCAGTTTTTTTTATATTTTCGCTTGCAAGTCTTCGAGTTTGTGTGCGTCGGTGGCACAGTGGTTAGGACTCTCGCCGATCATGCACATGGTCCGGGTTCGAGCCCACGCCGGCGCACACCTGATATCTATGGTCGGCCTGCAAAATTTGGGCTACCGATATCCATGCTGAAAATTCCATACTTGTACCAAAAATACAGTGTGGAATCAAGCTGTAAATCAAAAAAAAAAAAATCATCCACGCGCGAAATCCAGATCTTCTAGAGTCTTTTTATCAGTAATCCAGAGTATCCTTGTTTCCTCGCTCTCCAGAGTCTGACGCATAATCTAGCTAACCAAAATTAAAAATATCATTGCTGGTAATAGGCAGCCAGCTTGTATTACTTCTGTATTCACTGAAATGCCTTGCTGAGTTTTCCGTTGTAGATCACCTGACACGTGGCACTGTCACATAGCCAGCTATTGAATGAGGTTGATGAAGACTTGCACACTGCACGCTGTAGTGTTTCCAAATTACTTCTCGGTCGACGCTGTTTGTTGACAGCCTTTTCGAAGTCGATGAAGTTAAGGTGTGACTAGGTGTGACTACCACCATTCTATGCTTTGTTCGATGATGTTGCGTAGAGTTGTAATTTGACAACAACAATCACGGACAAGCGATTAGTCTTTCTTTGGTGAGATTAGGAAGAATTGAGCTAACGACTCTCAGGTATTTTGGTTAACTGATCATCACTTAACCATTGTTTAGGAATCCACTAACTTTCTAGATGATGATCAATTATATTCCAAACTATAAGAAGTTGGAACCGTGTTACTTCAGCCCATTTTTTGAATGGTGAATTGTTAGTCTACAAATTTGAAAAGCTTAATCTTGAAAGCCACGTGTTCATTGACAGAAGCCACCAAAAAGTCTTAATCTAGGACAGAAAGAGTATCCATTTACCACCTTTCATCTTCAGTCATCTAACAGATGATGTTAATTAAAAATACTCGGTCAGTTACTCATTCATTTCCTGGTTGAACATACTCGGAATTCTAACCTTCTCAGAGTTAATGAGGATGAAGATCATGAAGACTGCAGGGTACATAAATCATGCATGATGAGAAATTGCTTTAGACTGTTTAAAAGTTTAGTATTCACCTCATTTTACATTCGTGCTGAAACAGATACAACCAGCACGCCTGAAAGATCGATAAAGAGTGTCAATAACTAGTTCATTAACAAACGAACTATTGCGGTCTTTGGTTTTATATGTATTCAGTGTATTTTTTCATGGACAAATTTAGTGGACCATTCAAAAAACCAGGGAGCTCCGGCCAAATGTTTCACCCTAACCTGAAATTCTTCAATAGCGAACAATGGCGATCCCAATAGGGAGAGTAACTAGGATCACTATGTTATATAACGAATATTTGACTACTGGATTGTACCCCAATAGTCAATAAAACAAATTTGTGATACAAGTTTCTACGGATCAGAGAGATATCACTGAATCCTGACGATCCAACGATATCCTCAGTAGTCAGTAAACTATTCGGGTGATGATATATTGTACAGTAACAATTATTTGGCTAAATCTCCAATAACAAATCAGACTGAATCATAGCATGCATATTTCAAAGGTGAAACATGGGATTATAATAACACTAATGCAAGATGATGTAACATGATATTTCCCTGAAAGTTCGAGGTTACTCAAGTAGGAGTTTCAGACTTTCCATTCAAATTACTAGGTATAAAGACTGCTGAGATAGAGAATCAATTTGAATAACTTTAAGAAAGGTGATGAATAGGCATTACTGTGTTAAACACAGGTCGACAATAACAACAACAGCAACAACAAACACAAGTTACACAGCACACGGAAACAGATTTGTGATAACTTTCTAATTTTAAGACAAACTGTAAATATTGATTAAATTCGCTTGGTAGAAATCTAGGAAAACTTTTAATTCTATGTATGCCTTTGTTTCCTATTTTTATTTGTTACTAGGCTTCTTCAAAGCGTACAAGGATTAATGGCAAGCGACATGTATTTGAAAGGCTTAAATTTGTTTTCTGAAGCTTATTCGTCAACAATAACTTGATTTTTACATTACTTGAGTTATTAGAATATAACTGCTAATATTGATTTATTCTGTCCTCTTACAATCACCCTAGTCATCTCTCTCTCTCTCTCTCTGTATTACATAATGTCCGAATTTATATTTTTGACTTAAATCTACTCCAATTGCAATCAATTCGAGTAATTTAACTAAAGTGCTCAATTTACCTTAATTCATTTTAAATGTGATCACAGGTTGTTTTTGATAAGAGGACCAATGAAAACCTGGAAGTATCGGACATCTGTTTTTTACTAGCTTGGAACTCTTCAGAAGTATGCAGCCATGACCCCATCGGGGATCGAACTCAGGACCTTCAGGGCTTAAGGTGACCTCATTGACTATTCAGTCAGTGGGACAGAATCTAATGGTACATGAATCCCTACTTCTGTCAAATTGAAATTTTTAGCGCCACCGCTAGTCAATGTCACCGGCAAATATTTGCCCTCATACTCGACATGATGGGACCCATTAGTCTCGACAGAAGTTAGAATTCATAGGACATTAGATTCCATTCTAGTATCTGGGTGATTGATGAGCACGTCTTGTAACTTGAAGGTCCTGATTTCGATCACTGGTAAGGTGGGTTCATGGGTGCGTACTGATGAAGAGTTCCAAGTTAAGATGAGGCAGATGTCCAGCACTTTCAAGTTTTCAATGGCTCTCTAACTGATATCAATCTGTCACGAAACTGGGAACCAATCAGGTCCATACGAATTAAATTAGTCTTCACTAATCCTTCTTCAATATATATGTCCGATCTCCCACAGACTGGAAGATATGCAAGTGAAAAGCAACAATTTGGCAGAAGAAGCATCAAAGATAGGACTTCAGGTGAACATTCCTGGCCAACACCAACAGCAACAACAACAACAGACAACAATCAGCCAGCATAAATGGGAGGAACCTGAAAGAAACAACCTCCTCTACCTACCTAGGAAGCATTGTTTCAACTACAAGCGGACGGAAATGACGAGGATGTCAAAGCCAGAATCGGAAAATGTAGACAAGCTTTCATTACTCCTAAGTCTGTGTGGAGGTCAACAGCCCCACTCAGCATCAAAAATAAGATCCGAATTTTCAACTCCAATGTAAAGTCAGTACTACTATACGGGTCAGAGACTTGGCGCGTCATTAAGAGCATCTCAAACAAACTACAGACCTTCATTAACAACTGTCTTCGCTCAATACTCAAGATCAGATGGACAGAAAAGATCAGCAACAGAGATCTCTGGTAGCAAACCAACCAAGAACCGATTGTGAAACAAATAGGCAGAAAGAAATGGAGATGGATTGGCCATACTCTGAGAAAACCATCAAGTGACATCGCTCGAGTGGAACCCGAAAGGGAGCGGCGAGTTGATCGTCAATGTGAGGGTGACTTGGATGAGGTCATGTAAAGAGGAGACAAAAACATGTGGGTAGACTTGGAGCCAGGTGAAAACGTTGTCAGAGAACCGAACGCAACGGAGAAGCGCGACTGAAGCCCTATGCTCCTCCAGGAATTAAAGGAAGCAATAATAACAATAATAATCTTTCTTCAATAACCGTTTTCCAAGTCACATATTTTCTTCTCTTTCCTAAACTTTATTCAATTTTCAAACTTAGAAGGCGTATCATAAGAAATATTCCCTATGGGCTGTGTTAAACTGTCATTTCCTGACGAAATTTAACCTAGGAGATGAAGTGCCTGTCCGCAGACAACATTCATCAGTGTTTAGGAGGCAGAAGAAAAAGAAAGATTGGACCAGCCAGCCAATTGAGTGAAACAATAGAATTTAATTTTAATTTTTATAACCATCACAAAAATAGTTAATAATGTAATTACATTTGAATAAGAATCTATTACAACTCCATTGTAATAAGAAAAGAAGCAGATTTGAAAGCAGGTGAATGTGAATGTTTGCTTTGAGTAAGTTAGTGTGTAAATTGTCGAAAGGGATTTCATAAACTCTTATCCATCTCATTATTGTTATTATCATCAAGAATGTTGTCTATGCGCATGTAATCATCATAAAGGCAAAAAAGATAAACTGAGCTGGGATTAACATCAAAATATCGTAGAAAAAATGTTAATGATAGAATAGAAGATGAAAATATTTTTACTGTTACTATTATCATCTCACTTATAACAGTAATAGTAATAATAATATAACATGAATAGAATTTCGTGCATAATTTGATCACAAAAATGATGATAGAGACTGTTTCGATAGACGTAGATACACCGTCGCAGGATTACACTAAACTGAACACATTTTCACACGGATCAGCAACTGAAGTCTACTGTTCAGGTTTAGTGATGGCCAAATCAATCTGATGAACCATTAGCTACAGTATACAAAAAAGTATATCACATTATACAATAAGGGTAGACACAAAAACAATTATATTCAATGCATGTAGAAAGTAAAACACTGTTACTATGATGATACATTAAAAATGTCGGCAATCTTCTGAATAAAATGTCATAAGGAACGGCAAGATGTCTGAAAAAGTAACTAGGATGTTAGTACATCATTATTAGTCTTACTAAAAGTTAATGACTTTCCCACTTCTTGCGAAGTGAAGGACAAACAGCTAGAGAAAGGAAGGTGATTAACCATTTAACCTACGCCATCGCTGGCGTAGACGTGATATCCTGTTGGCTTCCAACCAAAGGGCGTGTGTACGGCCCAGCAGTTCTCTCCGTCCTCATTTATGGTTGTTAAGGATGGTCACTGAAGATGGAAAACATAAAAAGCCTGGCTAACTGTCTTTGATCATAGATGTCTGCGTTCTATCTCACGTCTTAGGTGGTATAATGCGGTGAGCAATATTGAGGTTAGGGATAGATAGGTCAAGTGTGTGTTAGATAAGGAGGGATAATCAATCAACTAGGTTACAAATTTATGTAGACTAAGATAGTTAGGGCATGTTTTAAGCATGCATCCTCAGCCATAGCCTTCCTCGATGGGTGATGTTAGCCAACTGACGTTTTTATGCTCCGCTAGTTTGACTGACTGACCTTGTTTTACTACTGTGACCTATGTATTTGATCTGCCAATCATTGCAGACAGGATATTAGATAAACTAAATTGTTTTGTTTTAAAGGCTCCACAGGATCCACCATTTAACCGACAAAGCTTGTTTCTAATTGAGTTTGTGGGTTTGAATGCAAGCCACTTTTATTCCTGCCTTGTTAAGAATTCCGCATAAGGTTTCTGAAGTCCCTTCTTTGTATGGAATTACTACTGATCATTTATATTCCCCTATTGTTAATGTTGTCATTATCCTGTGCATGTTTGACAAGCATTTCGTAATTATTATTATTATTATCACTACTATTATTATTTATTTTATTTCTACATTCTCCTACATACTTCCTGATTAGTTTATCACGATGATTATTAATTGAGTTTCAAAGCTTCTCTTATATGCCTCACTTCCTGTCTTAGATTTTCCTTGGTACTACTTAGTTTTTCTGCCCTACTAGTTAAAGAAACCTCGCCAGATACTAGCTTACTAGGCTACTAGCTTACTAGTTTTCTCGCCGGTCCCAAGCCCGGGTAAAGAGGGAGGGTTGGGGCGTGGTGCTAGCAAATCCACCCCTGTAAAACAACCAAATCGCTACAGAAACTTCAACGAATAAATATATTAAAAATTCTAAAAACATAAGCAATAGCCTTACTTTTCGCTGGAATCGGGGAAGTGAAATGACGCAGGCTGGTGAAAGCCTTCGGGAAGCCAGTCAACCGATGTGCCTTCTTTCGATGAAAGCAAAAGTAAGGATGGGTACCTGGAATGTTCGCACAATGTACGAAACTGGAAAGGCTACCCAGATAGCCGCTGAAATGAGAAGGTACAGAATAGAAGTGTTGGGAATCTGCGAAAGCAGATGGAACGGAACTGGAAGGTGCCAACTACCTACTGGAGAGACAGTAATCTTTTCCGGCCACCCAGAGGACAACCACGAGCACACCGAGGGAGTGGCCATCATGATGTCACCAATAGCAGCCAAAGCTCTCATGCAGTGGGAACCAATCTCCTCCAGGATAATCACAGCCAGGTTCAACTCAAAAGAAGCAAAGTTAAAGTCATTCAATGATATGCGCCTACAAACGTCTCAGAACAAGAGAAGAAGGAGGCGTTCTACAGACAACTACAAGCAATAATGGACAACGTCCAAAATAGCGATATCAAAATCCTGATGGGCGACATGAATGCGAAGCTGGGAGGAGATAACACAGGAAGAGAACTCACCATGGGTCGTGAGGCCCTCGGCGAAATGAACGACAATGGTGAACTCTTCTCAGACTTCTGCGCCTTCAATGATTTGGTGATTGGTGGTAGTGTGTTCAAACACAAGGATATACACAAGACGACATGGATTTCACCAGATAGAAACACCAAGAACCAAATAGACCTGATCTCAATTTCAGGAAAGTGGAGACGGAGCCTACTGGACACAAGGTCAAGGAGAGGAGCAGATGTGGGTTCAGACCACTATCTAGTAGAAGGGACTTTCAAGGTGAAGCTAAAAGCCTCGAGGATAGCTAGAGATAGATCACAATGCAAGTTCAATACTCAGAAACTGAAGGACAAAACCACAAAAGACACCTTCACTGCAACTGTTAGAGCAAAGCAGGAAACACTACGCGACATCACTGAAGAATCATGTGTGGAAGAACATTGGAAGTCTCTGAAGGCGATTCTCAACGAAACGTGTTCAACGGTTCTAGGAAGAAAGAAGAGACAAGACAAGGAATGGCTCTCAATGGACACTTGGAAATTAATAGAAGAGAGGAGAATGGTGAAAGTGATATGTATCCATATAATATGTGTGTTTTGTTTGACAGCCTGTTCTTGGTGATATGTATCCATATAATATGTGTGTTTGTTGACAGCCTGCTCTTGGTGATATGTATCCATATAATATGTGTGTTTGTTTGACAGTCTGTTATATTTTGCTATGTATATATGGATCGATATTCCATTATAATTAGCCAATCATGTTAAGACTGTCTATTGATTTGTTCATTTTGAATATTCGCTCACACACTTCTGTTCACACACTTGTTCGGACATTCATATATATTTTTGCTCTCACACTCTTGTGTGACGACAATGATTCTCCTTGTGTTTGGAAAATAGAAGTATCATCGCAAACCTAGTGGTCTTCTGATTTCCGTCTTTCTTTCGTCAGGACTATTAAATTCTCGACCAGTACATAACAGAAAGAGAAAATGATTCAATGCAAGGACGGACAGGAGAAGGACACGCTGAGCTCAACTTACAAAGCACTGGACAAAGAAGTGAAGAAGAGTGCTAGGAAGGACAAAAGACGATTCTACGACAACGTCGCCACTGAAGCTGAGAAGGCAGCAGGCAAAAGGGACCTGAGGACACTATATCAGATAACCAAATCTCTATCCGGGAAGAGATCAACACAAGCGAAACCTATAAAAGACAGCCAAGGGAAGCCCATTACCAAGGAAGAAAAACAGATTAAACAATGGGCGGATCACTTCAAAGGACTCTTGAACCGACCATCACCTGCAACCCGTCCAGAAATACCAACAACAGCGCGCACAAAACTGCAAGTTGACACCAATCCTCCAACGAGAGCTGAAGTCTTGAACGCAATCAAGCTTCTGAAAGCTGGAAAAGCAGCCGGACCAGATGGAATACCCCCTGAAGCACTGAAAGCGGACCCAGAGACGACAGCAGACATGCTGACTCCATTATTGCAAAAGGTCTGGAAGGAGGGAAAGGTGCCTACTGACTGGAGGAAAGGTTACCTCGTGAAACTACCAAAGAAGGGCGACTTACGCCTCACTCTGCAAGAACTGGCGAGGAATCATGCTCCTGTCGACGCCAAGTAAAATCCTGAGTCGCATCATCCTGGAGAGATTAAAGGACGCACTGGAGACAGAACTCCGACCAGAACAAGCTGGATTCAGGAAAGGCAAATCATGTACTGACCAAATTGCAACTCTACGCATCATCATCATCGAACAAAGCATGGAATGGCAATCAAACCTCTACCTCAACTTTATAGACTTTGAGAAGGCCTTCGACAGCGTTGACCGTGAAGTAATTTGGAAATTACTCGAGTACTATGGCGTACCCCAAATATTCATCAACCTTATTCAACAGCTGTACGACAACGGCACATGTCAAGTGATCCACAACGGAAAACTCAGCAAGGCGTTTGGAGTAAACACAGGAGTCAGACAAGGGTGCTTACTATCACCAATGATATTCCTAATTGTGGTGGACTGGATTATGCGTCAGACAGTGGGAAACGAGAAGACAGGGATATCCTGGACCGACGTGAAGAACCTAGAAGACCTGGATTTCGCGCGTGGATGATTTATGTTTGATGTCACACACAATCGAAGACTTACAAGCGAAAACCGACAAACTGGTCGAAGAAGCAGCGGCGAAGACAGGACTCCAGGTGAACATAGACAAGACGGAGGTTATGAAAATAACCAAACAACAACAGCAACAGCATCCAACGTCAATCACCATCAACGGGAGGGATTTGAAAGAGGTTACTTCATTCACTTATCTAGGGAGCATTGTCTCAACTACAGGAGTCGGAACGGACGAGGATGTCAAATCGAGCGAGAATCGGGAAGGCGAGAAAACACACATTCATCAACCTGAAACCAATCTGGAAATCTTCGTCACTCAGCCAATCACCAACAAAATTCGGATTTTCAATACAAACGTCAAGTCAGTCAGTTCTTCTATACGGATCAGAAACTTGGCGGATGGGTCACAAAGAATATTTCCAACAGAGTTGCAGACCTTTATAACAACTGTCTTCGCTGGATCTATACTGAAGATCAAATGGCCGGGCCGGAAAGAATCACCAACAAGGAATTATGGGAACAAACAAAGCAAGAACCAATCGCCCAACAAATATGCAGGAGAAAGTGGAGATGGATCGGACACTCGCTGAGGAGACCGCTGGGTGACATCGCGCGTCAAGCCCTCGAGTGGAACCCGAAAGGGAAGCGGCGAGTGGGACGTCGCAAGGGTGACATGGAGGAGATCGTGTGAAGAGGAGTTGAAAGAATATGGACTAACATGGATGCAGGCGAAAAGTACAGCAGAAGACAGAAGGCAAGTGGAGACGTGCAGTTGAAGCCCTATGTTCCACTAGGAACCCAAGGGAGCAATAAATAATAATAATAATAACTACTTAAAGAGGGTTAGTCATACAGAGACTGTTACACTTTTTGAGTGAAAAAAAGAAGAGACAAACACACTGACTAAAGTCAAGTTTTTACAGTTGTATTTTAAATACTGTATAGACGGGAATAATAATTAACTAACCTTAGCTAGATTAGGATCACAATCAAATTGTTTTGTTTGTTGACCTGAGGTGAACAATTTCTTCTGTTTCTCTTTCAGAGTAATCAAAATCCCATTCTTATTGACAGTCGGTACTCCAGAAACATTTTCCAATGGAGTTCTCCAATTAACAGAAAATGTTCCCAGTATATCCATAGATTCAATGATTAGTAATTCACTAAAATATTATAGAAAAAATGATAGTAATAATAACAATAATAATGGACAGTTACAAAAATTTGGATGCAAAGTTGAATTTTATGTCCATCAGTCAAAAGTATAGATCATTCCAATTTAGAAAAAAAAAGATTTGGGCAAAGAATATCCTTTTCGATATATATATATATATATATATATGTTTGTATATATAGAATATTCTAGAATAATAGTCATTAACAATATTACCGTTTTTTAAATAATATCGATTTTTAAAGTGAGATCAATGAAATTACAGGTCACTAAAGATGTACAAATTACAATAAGTACAAAAATATAATCGTAATTAGAATATCGAATAGAATTAAAGAAATTTCTAAAACAAATTGAGGATCATTAAAACCTTGATGGTCAAGGTAAGAATAGTGTTTGAACCAGCTTCTTTTGGATACATAAGTTAAGTTTCTTAATGTGGATCCTAACGGCCTCTTAGGGTGAAGTTCAGATTACTTGGTATGCAGTAAATGACTTTGAAAGCCTCTTCAATATCAGTTTTATGTTCTGTATCCACAAGACGAGATAGAATAGCGCTATGAAAAAGCCTATTATATACTAGTGGATACAGTTAAACTACTAAAGAAGACGTGAAGCTCACTTAGATGATTTTCATGTGGTTGCGCTCTCTGAGCTAAGTGGTTTACTTGCAAAGGTTTCACTGTCCATCTAGATAACATCTTTAGCATGAAGTTCAATATAGTGGACGCTCATTTGAAATTCTCTATGAAAGTTACAAAAGTTGTTTTTTTATTCCTTTACGTTCCCAGTGGAACATAGGGCTTCAAACTAAAGGCTTGAAGTTTCGGTAGAAGTGGTATTTATTTTTACGGGATGGGGTTGCTAGCCTCATGCCCAACCTTTCCTCTTCACCGGTCTTACTAATGACTTAGCGAGGTAAAGGAGTGCGTCATCCGGGGATTCGAGCCCTAGACTACATTTGTGGTTGGCAAGCACTACAAAAGTCGATATTTATGAAATAAGTTGCTTTAAAGGCAAGGTGAAGCAATTAACGTTACAGTTATCATTAGAGAGCTTCAAAATGCTGTATTATAAAATGTAGACAAATGAATATATAATGGACACAGTCAATTTCTATGGAAAATAAGTTAACTAACTAGTCAGTGAACTTTTACACAGCGAAAAATGAATGGAGGATAGTGAATAGAATAGTTAAGCAGCACTACAGGGACTGTCCTAATTTTTTAAGAAACAAGCGCTTATCTTTGTATTCCTATGCGTTCCAAATGGAACATTTGGGATTTAAACTTTGAAGTTTCAGTAGCGTAGGCGTTTTTTTCCCTAGAGGATAGGATTACTAGTCTCCCGCCCAAACGGACCTACTGTAGGCTAGTGAGCTAAAAGTAGTTCAGGTGTGTGTCAGTCAGGAATCGAACCCAAGACCATGCTCATGGTTATCGAGCATATTTCGTGATAATTCCACTTAAGAAATGGTGCTATACTCAATGATACGGTAGTGATAAGTGAATTGTGTAGTAAACATAGGAATAATGTTAATGGTATAAGAAGAGAACTTGTGCACTGTGGTAGAGTATAATTCCATTATGGGTAAAATTTATTTTGATAAAGTCTCACAGTGTTATACAGTAATGCTTACTGATGACGTTTCGAGCACAGTTTATTACTGCTCATAATCATATCAAGGTACTCCTCACACAACTTTCTAACTTCGTTTATATTATTTCATTATTTTTCATCGCATGACTTGATTGGTAGTAGTATTTTCCATACTTCCGGTATGAGTGATGAGTCATTCCTATTGCATGTGTTGCGTGTAGACTCGATGCACTGCATGCCTTAACACACAACCACACAATAGAGTGGGAGAGGGTTAAAATCCTAAGAATTATTAAAGGTAGGTGTAGAGATTAGGTGATTACTGAATCCTTGTTCATCGAGTCTTCACGCAACACGTGGAATAGGAATGACTCATCACTCATACCGGAAGTATGGAAAATACTACTACCAATTAAATCAAGCAATGGAAAGTAATGGAACTATATAAACGAAGTTAGAAAGTCGTGTGAGGAGTACCTTGATAAGATTATGAGCAGAAATAAGTTGTGCTCGAAAGGTGTTCATCAGTGAATACTACTGTATAACACTGCGAGACTTTATCAAAATAAATTTTGCCCACAATTATTTTCACGTATATTTTGAAACTGGCCTTGCCTAATGAGCTACGTCATTATCTTACTTACGTTACTGCTACTGTATAGTAGATTCAGGCATGTAGACTGAATCTAGTGTGTTATGACTAGTTGAAGAAATTAAGCAGTTGAGCAAAGAAAATCTGACATAGATGCTCTTTGCAGGTCGCACTTGTCCCAATGAAGTGAATGAAGGGGACAACTCTAGTTGAGTATTGATTACACCCTTAAACTAGTTGGGACCGATAAAAGACTTCAGGGTCAAACAAATCGAATCGCCACCAATAGGCCAATCAAAAAGGAATTTAAAAAAGTATGGAGCATACTTATTCGTAAGGCTAAAGATGAAAGCTACGTATATGAAAACTGATACCTAGAGAGCACCAAAACAACCAGAACAGTTTATCTACTTATAATTGATAATTAATTGTACCACGGTAGAAAGAAATGTAGTTGCCTATTCATTATGATGAACTAATTGAGTATATGATGAGTAAATTAGTGTTAATTTATCAAGGAGAAATTTATTTATTTATTTCACTATGAAAAAGTATACAACTCATTCAGTTTTAAGGTCAACTTCCAGTCACGTGTACAGACGAATCAATCAATTCAATGTTATATGAGCAGTGATTATTTGGATTACGTAATTTTAACATCTAGTTAATGTAAAACCAAGCCAATAAATATTTCATGCATTTATCCCCCTTAATGAATTAGAATACAGTGAGAACAAAAGCTTTTGGAGAATAAAGTGGTAGCATCATTTATTTCGTTGGCCTGTACGCAGATGATGAGAAGCCACAGCCAAGTCTGGTGTAGAACTTCTGATTGAGTCGCCAAGGTGGGTTGTGCTCGAGTCGCAGCTTAATGATATACATATATATAAAGGCTCGAGAGTACATCACCTATCGTGAATACACTTACATATAAATAAACGGCTTGATTGGAGGTCTGTACATAGTCTATGGCTCAACCGAGGGTGTGTTATGCACATTATCAGTTTTATCCTGACCTCGGATCAGATGTGAATACCGGCTGAACTTAAGCATATCACTAAGAGGAGGAAAAGAAACTAACAGGAATTTCCCTAGTAACTGCTAGTGAAGAAGGATTAGTCCAACACCGAAGCCTATGGTTATTTGACTGCAAGGCAATGTGGTGTTTGGGTTTGCTCTTGGCATTACTGCTCTACCCTAAGTCCAGCAATGAGTACGGCATGCCGTACACAGCTGATGAGAAACTGACGAAATCTATGATTGTACCATTTTATTCTGCAAGAACTGTTGTTCTTACTTTATTCAACCCGATACTGCTGACTAAGAACTAATACTGTTATGAAAAAGAAGACTACATGTAAGTTGAAGAGGATGTCAATTATCATTTACTGAAATAACAACTTGACAAAACTCTTAATATATGAAGTCGAATTAGGACCTAGTTAACACCTAAGTCTTGCAGTTCAGTAGAAAGACTGACAAATATGCATTCTGGGTAACTGCTGATTGTAATTCTCCTTCTTAGGTGCAAGGTTTCCACTTAATTAAACCACCCAACTGAGGAAAAAAATCAATTTCAATTCAAACAACCAGCTTACTTTGTGGTTAGAAACAGTACATTGTTTCCTCGAATAGATGGAACATGAAAGAGATATTGACCACCGGAATTGCCATCTTTATCTACATGCTATAGAAAAAAGAAAAGAAAAAAGAAAACAAGGGAGAAGTAAACAAGAATTCGAGCATTGATAGGTTACAGGATTTCATAATGAGCTAACATCGGTTAGGGAGCCATTGGAAAACCTGGGAGTACTGGGCAGCCAGCCGTTTCGTCCTAGTTCGGGAGTCTTCAGCACTACACACCCCGGGGTTCGAACCCAGTACCTTCTGGTTACAAGGCGAGTTTGTAATCAGAGCAAATATATATCCTCATACTATCAGCACACTTCTAACCTGTAAGAAACTTAAATTTAGGTACAATACTGTATATGTAACACATTCTTAGTGTTGATCGGGGGAAGTGAATTAACAGAACCGTGTGAATAATTCAACACTTTTTGTGAAGGATGCAATAGAATGCTACACATACATTATATTGTGTCAGAGTCATCATATGGGGATATATACATTATCCATGGGGATGATGTTGGCAAAATCAGTCCCTTGGTATTCATTTCACTGCATAACACGAATTGTAAATATTATGATTTCTGATCAGATTTCCGATTGCTGCCATTATACGATACAGACAACTTCAGAAATACGGGTATTGGATTGAGGGTGAAGTAAATAGCGGATTTTGTTATACACAATAGAATTGCAACATGTACTCTTTTATATTAATACATGTAGACAACTATGGACAGTAATTTGATTGGAAGAATATAGAAATTTTAAACAGTGGAAACATCAAAAATGCCTGAAATTAATTCCTAGAAGCGTAGTGGTATTCAGATTAATCAGCGACTAACAAATCAACATTATTATAGATCAAATTTATCAACTAAAAAAGAATCAGCCAAGAATTCCAAGTCAGTAAAAACGATCAATACTGACGCAAATTAACAACCAATCATTGTCAAGAGATACAATAATATCATTCATGGAGAATTGAAATAAATTCACTTCATATTGAATTTCACACTGAAAATGTTGTCTAGAAGGATGATGAAAGCTTCGCAATTAAATCATCCAGCTCAGTGGATGCAATCACATCTAAAAAAGTACATCAGTCTGTGCAGAAAATATCACTAGCAGTGCGACCTATGTGTATAGGTGGCACAACGGTTGAATGCTTAGAAACCACGCAAATGGTCAGGGGTTCGATCCCTGGCCGACTCACTCCTTTACTTTGCTAAGCAAGTAATAAGACTGGCAAAGAGGGGAGGTTGGGCATGAGGCTAGAAAACCCCATCCTGTAGAAATAAACATCACTGCTACCGAAACTTCAAGTCTCTAACTTGAAGCCCTATATGTTCCGCTGAGAACGTAAAGGAATAAAAAAAATAAAATGTAACCTATGGCTTCACAATAAAGAATCAGACAAGATAAAGATAAGAAAAAGAAAATATATATATATATATATATATATATATATATATATATCGATGACTGAAACAACAGGGAAGTCAAAGGAACAGTGAAATCACATAATTTTAGAGGTAGAATACCAAGACTATAATGCATGGTCAGCTGATAGGAAGATGCTAACAACCTCGACTTTCCTCCCAGTTAATATAAAGTATAGATCTCGAGAAAACAGTTGATTTGCTTAAGTGGAAATGGCGCGGGATAATAACCCACTTTATACGTGTTAGTAAATGAGAAAGACGGAGACAACGATATGAATCTCTCATAAAACCAAACTTTAACGACAAACATATAAGACAATGAAAGTTGTATTCGCATGATTACTTTGACCTCAATGATCTGGTTGTTTCAACTTCAAATGTAGAAATTTATCTCGTTTTTTGGTGTTTTATTCCCATTCAGATATAAAAAATTGTAATATTGGTAAATAAGATTATCACCTTCGGTCACTGCTTGCGATAATTTCGGAAAAGTATGTTAGTCTTATACTGTTGAATTAAGACTTATATTGATCATATTGTTGTTGAAGCTCTATGTATTGAGGTTATCGTATACCAAGGTTTTCTTCACAGTAAAACAGTTCAAATATTCCCATTAAGATAATTTTAGAACACGATTTAAGCCAATAAATTCTCATTTTCGGTAAATTCGCATCAGTCTCGCCTTATAACCAGAAGATCATGGGTTCGAACCCGGTGAATGTGTACTAATGAAGAGTCCCAAACTAGGACGAAACAACTAGCTGTCCAGTACTCCCAGGTTTCATATCAGGTTTATCTCACTGTCGAATATTCAAAGTGATCAGTGGAATTAAAAATCAGTCAAGGCTAAGTAATAAACATAACAGGTGATATACACAACTGAAGGCATTAATTGCTTTTCAATGAACATAAGAGTTGAAGTTTAGTGTAGAATTTAAACACAATTGTAAGTTTTTCAATGTGATTGTTTTCTCTGAGACACGGGGTGGGGTTGATTTGATTTTGAAACTTTCATATTTTTCCTAGACAATATCTTCAGTGATTACTTCAATGTGAAGTTGAAGTTATGTAAAATGAGGATATTGTATGAAGTTTTATCGGTTATAGTTGTTGAAGTTTGAGAAGAACAGTAGGTAATTCATAGTTTGAACTTCTTTTTTCTTAACTTGTAAGCAGATTTTGTTAACGCGTAAAATTATCACCACTTTTTAAAACTGCCTTAAAAAAGCATGAAACACTTTAACTGTGATACGAATACAGCCGATTGTTTGGTTTATGAAATCCTTATAATTCTTAGTAATTATTTATTAGATATAGCTTGTTGATGATAAAGTATTCACAACCAGATATTAAAATTTTCAATCTATTATAGTAGTAGTACCTCTTAGTATGTCAACTGGTATTATTATTGTACTAGTTAAAAATATGTTCATCATTATAATTACTAAGACAAATCCTTCACAACTTTATGTCTTATTCCTATGTCCACTCCTAACTTGTTCCACCTTCTGGACAGTTTCATTGTCAGCGAGATAATAATAATAATAATTCTCTTCGGTAACTAGCCGTTTATTTTCACAATGACTTAAGTGAACTTTCAACCACACATTCTTGAGTAAGAATTTCTCGAACTTCTTTCACCCATTTTTGCACGAAAAAAAGGCCTTTAAATTTTTCCAGCTTCACATTTCTACGATACGTTCATTGTGATGTCATATATATGTATACATATATATATATACGTTCCTCGTGGAGCATGGAGCTTCAAGCTTGAGCTCTAAAGTTTCAGTAAAAATGGTGTTTGTTCTAAGAGGGTCAGGTCACTAGCATGATGTTCAACATTCCCTCCTTGTCGGGCTTACTCCCAGCCACTCGAGGTTTAGGAGTGCGTCAGCCGGGAATCGAACCATGGGTCACGTGGATGGTTGGAGAGCATCCTTCCACTAAACCACTGACGTATATATATATATATATATATATATATATATATATATATATACAGAGAGAGAGAGAGAATTCATTTAAAAAGTTCTACTGAGATCTGGTGAACCCATGGTATTTTTTATTAGCATTGGTTGCTTATTTTAAATGTGTCAGTAAATAAATGTTTCCAATTTTTACTTGAATCAAGAGCCACGAAACATATCTGTTATTGCAATCTAAACTATTTAATAACATGCTGTACGATGCCGATGAGTTTAAAATCGATGAATTACCCTTTACACAACAAATTAAACGAAAATAAGGCTTTACAGACTTGGATTTAATGTAAACATCATTTTAGAAATGATGTTATTTTAATGACATTTGACACAAGAAAATTGGTCACCTGAATATTCATACATCTTGTAAATATGTCTAATTGTTGTGAATGAAGATGTTATCAAGCTTGGTGATCAAAGATCCACTATCAAAAATTTTGTGAACAGAGAGGACAAACAATTTTCGATTAATAAAGAAAGAAAGAAAGACCAGAAATCGAAATTTATCAAGGGAACAAATGTATGAAACAAAGTGTTTTCACTTTCAACCTGAGATATATAAATTCTCTTTATTATTTTAAAGAATCATATTGTTATTTTCAACACCTATATACTGTTTTTCTAAAAATCAATCATTAATTTTTCTCAAGGTTACTTTTTGGATGTACTTATAAAATAATTGTATTTACAACACTAAATAGAAGAGAAAAGATGTGAAAAAAGAAAAGTTCATTAGATGATATGGCATAATATACCTAACAGTAATATCAAGCCAATGATTCTCTATGCTTTAGACACTCGGCAAGCATGTCACCAACAGCATTTTCAACACACTACTGGAGATTTTCATCTGGAGATCCCTTCTCTTGCCCGATAATAAGATTAGATGGCCGGAAAGAAAGGATAAACGACAAGGAACTCTGGTAGGTAGTGTGAACCCAACAAAGAAGAAAATGGAGGTGGGTTAAACACACGCCGACCAGACCGTTGAGTGACATCACACACCACCAGGTTGGTTCGCGAATGGAACCCAAGTGGAAAACAATGAGTTGAGCATTATTTGAGGGTGACATGAATGAAATGAAAGCTTATTGGTAATCACGAAGGAAGAGGAAAACAACTGCAGAGAACTAGGCGAATCCTCGATGTACTGCTGAAGCTCTATGTTCCGCTTGGAACTCAAGGGAATAGTCATGTTACAGCAATAACACCGATGCGCCATCACTGGTGGAACAAAAAAGGAAATACGCTTAATACTAACAATTCATTCAGTTGATTGATGAGCTAGAAGAAGGACAAAACATGCATCCCGGATGACAGTGTCCACCACTTGCTCGTATCTTTAAGTAGGTGTATTATCCTGCTTAAAGAATATGTCACAAAGAAGTCTATTTTAAAATGAGTTAATCAAATTTATATCACATGACCAATAAATCACCGACCAAATATTGATTGCTTCCGAAATTCAAATAAATACAAGATGTCTACACGAAAATTCTTAATTAATCAATAATTACAAAATGTCAGAGTAAAACAAAACCCGTTAATTTTAAATATACATGACAAGCGTTTTCATTCCGCCTTGGGTTAAACCACCATAGTTTATCTTTCCAAAGAGAATAGAAAGTCAAAACCAAATGGAATATTTGCATATATAAAAAGAATTTATGCATATAAAACTGATCTGTGGTAGAGTTCTGCGCAAATAATGTCATTGATTAATCCTAGTTATTTCGTAGTTATTGTTGCATTATTGCATTATTTAAGATTTTAAGTTCACAATAACAGCACCGACATTTTATAATTTTGGAATTAACAAAGATAACAAATAAATTTTCAAACTTATACACAGCAAAACAATTGCGCTATTACTACTATGCTTAGGCTATCGACGTTTTGCAATACAAAACGTAGTAAAATGAATCGATAAAATTTCATTTAAATAGTCGTAACTTTTAAACTGGAGACTGTAGCAATAATCTATATTGCACAGACATAGAAAGCAGCGAAACTACACTTTTAAAAGATTGGACAACAGTGAAGAGTGTAATTATCGACTGAGATAGCCACAGATAGCTAATTCTAATGACAGTCTGCTTAGCAGAGTGATACTGTTGTTGGATGGTTGGAGGCAATCGGCAAATGAAGCCTTGAACCTAGATTTCATGCTTTTTGGCACTCGTCAGCAAGGCGTACCTACAATCCTGAAGGAACTCACGTCCTTTCGGGGATTGAAACCCAGGTCATCAGTGGTGTAGTGAGAGACATTATCAATGGGCTATTCGAACTCGTGACTCCACCCCCCCTGCATACAATAATGGATATTTTGATCGAACACTAGGCGGTGAATTAGCGTATTTCACTGAAAAGTAACTCATATATAATACTGTCAACGACTAAACAGGCACAAATTCATACTGATTCGCAGTCATTATTCAATAAGCTAAAGAGACCGTTTCTCTTTATTGATAAGGTTATCAAGTTGAGGTCTTTCAAACTGGACAGTATTGTAGTACTCATTATTATTGTTCCCTTGGGTTCCTAGTGGAACATAGGGCTTCAACTGCACCTCTCCACTTGCCACTTCTGTCTTCTGCTGTACTTTTCACCTGTATCCATGTTAGTCCATACTGTTTCAACTCCTTTCTCTTCCCACGATCTCCTCCATGTCACCCTTGCACCGACGTCCCACTCGCCGCTTCCTTTTCGGGTTCCACTCGAGCGATGGCCTGACGCGCGCGCGATGTCACCCAGCGACCTCCTCAGCGAGTGTTCAATCCATCTCAATCCACTTTCTCCTGCATATTTGTTAGGCGATTGGTTCTTGTTTTGTTTGTTTGTTCCCATAGTTCCTTGTTGGTGATTCTTTCCGGCCCGGCCATTTGATCTTCAGTATAGAGCGAGGACAGCTGTTGTTGATAAAGGTTGGCAACAGGCTATTGGAAATATTCTTTGTGACCCACCCGCCAAGTTTCTGATCCGTATAGACTAACTGACTGATTTGACGTTGTTTGTATTGAAAATCCTACCGAATTTTGTTGTTGATGCTGGCTGAGTGACGAAGATTTCCAGATTGGTTTCAGGTTGATGAATGTGTGTTTCTCGCCTTCCCGATTCTTGCCTCGATTTGACATCCTCAACCGTTCCAACTTCCTGCAGTTGAGACAATGGTCCCTAGATAAGTGAATGAAGTAGCCTCTTTCAAATTCCTCCCGCTGAGGGTGATTGGCGCTGGATGTTGCTGCACTGGATCAATTCAACATGTCTACGCTAAAGACCAGTTTCAACGAATTCAAGATTTTAATAACCTTTAAGGTCATCTAGGTTAAATAATATTTACCCACCAAAAATGTATTTTGAAGTATGACCTGAAAGTGAAACAAAACACAGTGAGTAATATATTACAAAACGTTGCTGAGTTTTGTGTTTCAATATTTATTGAATTTTCAGATATGAGATAGGGGAAATCAATAAGTAAATCCATAAAGGTAATTGATTTTCTGGTGGCAACTAGTGTATATGTGTTTACTGAACACATAATAAACAAAGCGAATCTGTAACCACGAAAATATACATGCCTCTTTTGAGATTGAAATTCACGTCGGATGACCTGGACAGCTTACAGATAAAAGATGGTGACTTCAGGAATGAATAGAGCGGAGACAACATGACTTTCTTTGCAGTGGCAGAAATATTTTATTCATGAATGTTAAGGACCATGAGGCAGGTTGTCCTGCCAACTGACTCTTAAAATCTTGAATGATAAAGATTTATCACAGCTACTTAGGTCTTGTTCATTAAAATAGGTTTTTTTAAAGATTTCACTTTGAGGTGATTAAAAAATGCAGGAAAAACAATGCCATAATTTCGAAATAAACACTGGGGAATACATAGAATGTCATTGAAATGTTAAACAAAAGTGGATATATTCGCTTACTCTAAGTATGAGGTGACCATCAGCTTCACGTCTTTCATATGGTCTAATAATTCCATCTGAACGAATGTAGCGTGGAGGACGAACACGTGAAACTTCTTGGGCGGTGTCAGCTAACCTATTGTTAGGAAAGAAAACAAAGACAAATAACACAAGTGGACATACATACCAGAACTAAGATATTAACAGGAAGCAGATGCATCCAAATATCTTTTTTAAAGACATAAATTTCATATAGCCGCCAGTGCCTATGTGAACACATCTTTTCAAATTATAAAACGTGAAATACAAGACTATACTTGCTGTAGTTCTCCTATTACTATAAGAAAAAAATGTTTGGAAAACAGATTAATGAATAAAAGTGAACTGATGTAAAGGAAATGATGATGGAATTTGAAACGAAATCCCATGGATCAGCGGGATTCAAACCAGAGTCCTCTAGGTAAGCTTACGTGCGATCAGAACCATAATAAGTGAAGAAAATAACCTGCTTGTATTGTACTCTATCTGTGGTCACTAATTAATATCTTTCTAAAAGATTTGACTGACTGAGTTCCAATAAAGAACTTTGCATAGAAATGCAACAATTCAAGTTGCCACATTCCACCTAGTACAAGAAGATAGACAAAAGAGAAAGAAGAATTTCAAAATGAACATAATGAGCGCAAATGTACTGTGGCAAATATGACGGTTTAGTAGATTGGGGAGAACACAAAGAGTGGATTCATTTAAAACTACTTTGAGCCATATCACCAATAGTTTTCAGCTATTGGATCTTAGAATATCCAGGACCCCAGCCAGGGAGTGTACACTTCTCTAGACAGTTCAAACCAACAGGCAAAGACTTAATTGGCTTGATTCCATGTTTTGATCTGATCAACCCTTACTATTTTCTAACCTAGTCTTATGTCAGTTAACATTAATTAACGAGGAAGGCAAAGGCTCCGGAAAACTCAACACGTGTCCTAGCTGTCTCAATAGATTCACCTTCACAACCTCATTGAGTGACTAACCTTACTGCTTACCTAATACCATACGCCTAACATCAACATCGCTCAATTAATTGTACCCCTTAACTCGGGAGATAGAACGCAAGAAAGATCTATTTATATTATCCTTATATAACATATACCAGATGGTTACTTGCTTGCTATAGAGCTATGAGGCTTTTTTCTCAATTCAATTTAAGCAAGTTACTTATAGGTAAAACAACATGCTTGACTTTGTCAAGTAATACAGTGAAATAACAAAAATAATCACCTACCTGCGAATTCCTTCAAATGAACTGCTAGCAAAATCTACAACTCCAGAAACTGGACGAGTTACTGCACCGACCAAACCCTTGCCAAAACCTAAAATCAGCCATTAAAACTTTGAATATAACAACTAAACAATAAAAAGTTAGCACGAAACATTCCAACCAGTATGAAGAAAAATATCATGAAACTAATAATCTGGAGAATGCTTCTGTTGAAATCGACAGAAATTACTACGTCCCATAACAGAAAATAAAAAGTGCTTGTCATCTTTTCAGACATAATAGTCAACAACTTAGTTTCCAGCGAAACCATCTTAATGAATCTAACTTTAAAAGATAACACATCAGATACAATTGAGAATTAGGTTTCCAAATTAATCATAGAGAAACTTGAAGGTACCTTTTTTAGCTATAACTGGCTCTTAATATGTTTATAAGATAAGCTTCCTCTTATGATTACTTCTGTATGCAATCATCAGTAAAACTAGTCCTACAGACAGACGTATATCTGTAGCATTTAAATATAGCTTTCTAGATCTATAACACTACATTCCAGGATGGCTTTGTAAAGTCATACGAGATAGACCCCCACCATACAAATAATCTCAACGGCATTTCAAAACTGTTTATTGAAGCCAACTAAATCTCCTCTCCCCTACCCCCCCCAGTGGGGACACCTTAGACATTGATGAACTTAAACCTGACCTTAGTACATAGACATACAGTGGATGTTTTTCGAAAAGGACACATTTCATTACATAACGCTTTGGTTCTTTATCTTACAGATTTTTTTCATCCCACTTTTCATGTTACGTAAATTTGATACACGACAATACACCCATTACATTGTTATCGTGTAACTAACTCATAACCATAATCGTCAATGGCTATATTACTATTATTATCACCTACTGTGTTTACATTTCATCGCTTGATACAATTCGTCCAATATACATAAATACAATGTTATAACAAAATAGGCGAAAAGTGTTTCTATACTAATTAATACGAGAAATTGAATACCACATACACATCAAACAGAAGTACTTGCTAACCAGGTCGAAATTATATTAACACTGTTTCGCTTGTTTTGGACCAATCTCATCATCAGTGTAATAACCGGTTTAACTCAGCTCACAGAACCGAATAACAGTTGAAAATACCCGAAAAGAGTTTTCTTCTTCGTAAAGATTTCAATTATATTTCTGTTAATCGAATCTCAGGAAAAATAAGTAAATCATCGGTGTGGGAGGATTTCATTATGAGCTGATATCAGTTAGAGAACCACTGGAACACCAGCAAGGAGTACTGGACAGTCAGTTGTTTCGTCCTAGTTTGGGACTCTTCTGAAATACGCACTCACCCCCAGGGTTCGAACCCAGGACCCTTCGGTTACAAGACTAGCGAGCTCGTAGACCAATAAGCCACTGGGACCCGATCCGACGGTTCTCTAACTGATGTCAGTTCATGATGAAATCCTCCAACAAATGAAACAAAAATTCCTACATAACCAATACTTGTGCTTTATAGTGCGATGCATGATTACAAATTTGACATTTCCAATAGATTAAATTAGAAGTACATTAGATATGCCCTACTGGTATACCGATAAAATTCACATAATTCAAGCCTACCATATATATTTTAAAAATTGCTTCCGTTTTTATAGTTTCAGTCTAATTCACTTATTTAATTGTTGACTATTCAAGTGTTATATGTATATGCTTATTATTCTTTTGGCGTTAATATATATTAATCATAAAGTGGACATTGATATTTATCATAATATTTAAATCACTCCTAATAAATTAATTCGTGATTTGCAATTTACACAGTTCGAGGGGGTGAAATTTCACCATAGTTTCCTTTGGAAACCTAAATTATTCAGATCACACACACACACACACACACACAGACTGTGATCAGCTTGACACCATAAATGGCAATCAAAGGAAACAAGCAAAAATGCATGTGACGCTGTGGACTACTGATTAAGTGAATATGAGTAATTATAAACTACTTGTAACAACTAGTAGTTCTTGCTCATCAGTTCGAAATGATCTGAACATCGGACAGTCGCTTCGCTCATTTGGAGTTAAGCTTGTGAGCGGTGTGTCAGGTTTGACTCAGCCCAGAGAACTAAGTCGGTTGAAACCATCCGAAATCTGTCTGTGCGAGTTTGTATAGCACAGAAAGGACCTATTTAGCAGGACAAGATGAACCCTTTTAATTTCATAATGCATTTGTTAGCTGCATACAACCTGAGTAATAAAAAATAAACAAGCCGTTTCTATGATATATTTATATCCATCTACTTCTACGTTAATTTATTTTAATGTCTTTTGTCACCATTTTCTTCTATCATTTTGTTTAATTAACTTTTCATATCATTACTCTGATGAGTGCCAACTAGCACGAAACTTAAGTCAATGGCTTCCCACCGACTGCCTCCAACCATTTAATATCAACAATACAAAGTACACTGTGATGGCGAGCCATTTTGAATGGTGGCCACATTGCAAACGAGACCGACAAAATTCAGTCTGCACCAAACAAAGGACTAGACACATTTCACTAGTTGCTAACTAGTGTCCGATGAAAGTATCCAATACAATCGCACAAGAGGTCAATCGTGAGTCCAAATATTCTAGTGGTAACGTCTCTGACTAAAGCACTCTCTGTGTGACTCAGGTTCAAATCTCAGAAAGGATATGAGATCCTTCAAGGTTGCAGTTACGCCTTGCTGACTGGTGAGTGTCAATTAGCACGAAACCCAGGTCCAAGGCTTCCTGAAGATTGCCTCCAACAATCTAATACCAACATCCCTATTTATTTCTGAATTTATCTTTAAATTACACAACAGTCCTTTCCTCACAATATAAGAATGTGTTCAATTTGATCATAATTTATCATTCCAACTTCTTGTATAATTCACATATGGTCTTTGCTTTCGAAATCTTATTCTACCTTTAAAAAGTGGAGGTGTGTCACAGTGATTACTTATGTATTCTAATACTTAGGTTACATGCAAATGACGAAGACTCTATGAAGCCACCAAGTGAATTCACTATATCCTACAAAAGCTCTTTGCATCACGATTACGGAAACTGAGGTTTTGGTGTTGGGTTTAGTCAACTACTTGTAGAATAGCTAAATATAATGATAATAATGTTACCATTACTTAAGCAGATAGTTGTTCAAGGCCCACCACAGAAGAATTCAAACTGATGGGCAACAGTGTGTAGTGATCGACTATTCTAATAACTGGAATTCAGGTGTTAACAAACTGTCTTTTCTTAAGCGATAAAGAAATGACCATGATCATTAAAGTCTGTGTACGTACCTTTGAAAAAGCCTTCAACGCCCTCCTTTTTAGCACCTTCAACAGGTTTCGTGACCACTCCAGTAAAACCGTGGAATACTCCCTAAAAAGTTGACAAGAGAATATTTTAAGCAATATTGCGAATGCATGAGAGTAAATGGTACTAGGGAGAAAGCAAACTAAAAAATATTTATTCTACTTACCATAACTAAACCTCGACCACCTTGAGCTAGGCCAGCTCCAAAAGTTTCTGGTCGTCGTGCTAATTGTTCACGTCGTTTACGCTTATATTCCTCATCTAAAGTTAATGCAGCTATACCTTTGCCAATAGTTCCTGTAATACGAGAAACTGCACCAGCTGCTCCACCTTTACACAGAAAGAAAACAGAACTTGAAGACAATTATTTTCTTCTTTTTTTAAAAAGCAACTTGAAGTATTCATCTAATCAACAGCTATGAGTCACATTAATTGTATGAGAATTAGAGATTTTACCTGGGAAGACTTAACAGCTTTTAAAGACATTTCGATTTCAACAGTTTTGGTTTCACAAACATCAGTATTATGTGAGAGAGAACCAACATACAGCATCTCATATGGCAAAGTATTGATATTCCGTTTTTCACTGGAGAGTAAGTTAGTCACGTGTGCGTCAGTGGCACGGCGGTGGAATGCTTGCCAACCACTCACATGGTCCGGGGTTCGATCCCCGGCCGACTCACTCCCTTACCTCACTAAGCCAGTAATAAGACTGGTAAACAGGTAAGGTTGGGCATTAGGCTAGAAATCCCATCCCGTAAAAAAATAAACATCACTGCTACCGAGACTTCAAGCTTTTAGCTTGGAGCCCTATGTTCTACTTGGAACTTGAAGGAATTAAATAAAAGGTCACAGATTTATTTGTTAGAGAATGAACTGAAATCCTTGTGTCCACAAAGGGGTTTAAGATTACTCCATTCAAGATTTACTGCGATCGAATTATTATTATTATTATTATACCCTTTAATTCCTAGAGGAACATAGGGCTTCAGCCGCGCGTCTCCATTGCCTTCGGTTTTCTGCCAACTTTTTCACCCTGCTCCAAGTCTGCCCATATGCTTTCATCTCCTCCTCACATGACCTCCTCCAAGTCACCCTTGCACTGACGACCAACTCGCCGCTTCCCTTTCGGCCAGGTTCCACTCCAACAATGGCTTGTCTAGTGATGTCACTTGATGGTTGGTTTACTCAGAGTATGGCCAATCCATCTCCATTTCTTCCTGCCTATTTGTTTCACAATCGGTTCCTGGCTGGTTCGCTTATTGCCAGATATCCCTGTCGCTGATCTTTTCTGGCCGGCCATCTGATCTTGAATATTGAGCGAAGACAACTGTTAATGAGATGCTCTTTATGACGCGCCAAGTCTCTGCGATCGAATTGTGTAAATTGAATGCATAGCTCATGAACAGTTCACTTGTATCTTTTATCGCATTGATACAGAGATGCATATTTAGGTGTTTGAGACAGATTGAGTTCTGGTAAAAGCTATAAATATATCTTTATTGACAAATATTGGCACGGATAAGACCTGGTCTATGATTTTACAATGAACACCTAAAATCATTCACAACTAAACAAAATATACAACTGATGAATCGATCTAATCAATATGTTTACAGGATTCAATTCATACAATATACTGAAATCATACTTTACACTTATATACGGATATTGAATACATACAATAATTAATTTTGGTCAGTAATCCTACATGGATATAAAATCATAAGCTGAATCAAATAAGATTTTTATATGCAATATTTAGATTTAAACACATACCTAACGCATGACCGAATAAACTCCGTACACCCAGAGCAACACCTTCAGCAAATTCCTCTGGACCAAGAACAGCACCCTATCAGAAAACAACAACAACACCAAAAAACATAAGAAAGTATGCGATCCACTCGAAAAAATATCATGTAAAGTGGAAAAATGAGACTGGCAAATTTAAACATACCTTAACTGGTTCATAGAAAAGATCTTCAACACCCTGTGCCATACCACGTAGTACACCGAATGGATTACCCAATACATCTAAGCCCAATATTAATACATACATTTGACGAACTCCTTGACTGATATAATGACGTGACATTTCTAAGGTCATTTGATTCACTGTCATGATACATGCTTGACGTTCAAAGTAAGCTAGCCTAGAAGCAGAAAAGTGAAATGAATCGATAAGCCATAGTTCAATGAAAAGTGAAGCCTATTTTGAAAACCTTAAAATAGATAGATGAATCCATATTTAACTAATTTCGCTTTTGATACGAGTAGTAAACATTGAGATCATTAACATTATATGAAAGTTGGAGGTTATTTTAGCTGTGAGGTATAGATCACAAAAGTAGGAAGCATTACAAGATTTTGATCGGGAATATTCGTTACGTATACACAGCTATTACCTTCCTCGACAAGCGATAAAAGATAAAGTGGCATTATGTTGGGAAAATCTTAGATATGGTCAAATCAAAACGCACTACGAATCGTCGCAATCGGTAACTATTGGTCTGGCAGATTAAGGTTGTCTGGCAGGAGTCCACAGGATACATAGATCGATCACAGACTTTAAGTGATATGGCTCAATGCGTTTCACAGTGGTTGAGGTCCATTTAGTCTTCATTATACTCGATGTTTTGAACACCTCTTAAATTAATTATTGCTTTTAAGCCCATGCGTGTGTTAGTCAACTGCAACATCAGCTCAATATTTGTTTTCCTATTTCATGTGCTGATAGGAACTGGGATAAACTGAACCGACGAACTTCTTTCTGTGGTGACAGTTTTGTCGGGTATACTACTAGACAGCTTAGCCAGCGTGTTACTGAACATCTCCCATCGTGGTTTGGCAAAGGACAGAAAAAACCATCTGTATGTTGGTTTTGTCACTTCTGATTGATGGTGATTATTCAGTGGAGAAAACGAAAGCATTCTAGGTGATTCATCACATCGCACCGAATCTTTCCAACGGAATTTTTATTCGTCTACTGCACATAGCTGATGTGATAGACATTCGAACTATTAAGTTCGTACAGCTATTATCTCTCCCTTGGCCTATTAAGACCTAACCAGACGATGACGTCAACATTACCCTTTACTTATATTTTCAACCCCTCTCTTATCATCCCTTGATCTTATCACATCTTCATTTAAACAGTTTATTTTCTTCCCTTACAATCTAGTATTACTTAATCGGTCCAGCTGTTTCTCTTGACCTTTATCGACTACTTCTACCTGTTTTTCATCATTCTTGTTATCAAAGATTACTCCACTTTGTCATCTTTGTTATTGATAGAAACATTATTATTATTATTGTTATCATGACCAGAAGAATATATATATATATATATATATATATATATATATATATATATCATTATTAGCTTCCACATTTTTCTAAATAGACAACATAAACTTTGCGTAACAAAATCTAACTCTGAACGGAAGGAAAACCTAACAAAGGAGAATAAAATATACGTGGTTAGCTTACTTAAAAATCACATCCTGGACTTCAGTTAACGCTACTCCGAGAGACTGTAAGAAGAGGTTAAGCACTTCACTTGGGAATGCAGATGATTTGCCTTCTGTACTACCCGTAAGAGAGAAGCTGACGTGTACCTTGAAGAAAAAAAAAAGTAAAGACAAAAACAAACGCAAAATATATTGATTTGGATGAGTTAACGGTCGAATTATTTGAGTTTCTACAGTTAAACTTTGAATGACGTAGTGATGAAGCAAGGCTAAACAAAATAATTTTTAAATGCAGTTGAGTGAGCCAGTTTAAAATCTGAACACACATGTTATTATTTCTTGTGGGTTAATTCGCATTTCACGTTGATTGATTATGTTAGACCAAAGTGCTCGATCTGTGTTGACACACCAGCCCCTAGTACTTAAGCTTCGATGATGTCTTAGTATTCACGTGAAATTATTTTTGGTTGATGGTGTCTAGCAGTGGAATCTAGGATGTGCATTTCGTTCTATTCAGAGCTCGTCAGTCGGATGTGCCTGCATTCCCCAGTCAGTCAGTGATGGTGATCCCACTGAGACTCGAATCCAGCACTCATTGTTTCAAACATTGAAGCATTTTCCACTCGGCAATGAGAGTCAGATGACAAGTCTCAAGATGGGACGACGTGTACATCCTGGATTCCAGTGCCAGTTATCACCAATCACGATAAATTAGTGTTTACCAAATATTAGTCAAATATTTCAAACCACAGATATATTAATATATATATAGACATTAAAACCAATGACTCGTTTGTTGTAAGCTGAGTGGATAGATGAACGAATAATCAGTGCTTTATTAAACTAAATCAGCATAAATCTGAGGTTTTTACAAACAAAACTTTCTCAACAACAGTAATACCTAGTGAAACGGAAGATATCAAACAAGGTTTCAAACGAAACATGAAATGATTGTATACTTATATGACAATAAATTCTAAGCAAGTAGCTCCCATGTTCGGTAAAGAAAAGTTAAGTAACCAGAAAATACCAGAAAATGATGACTTGAATTATAAGTGGGATGAAGACGGGGGTGGTGGTCTTTAATCCTGATCTTTTCTATCCATCATTTTACCTTTCTTCTAGATACTTTTTATGGTTAATAAATACTAGGTAGTGTGCAAAAACATAAATCAACTAATGGTAATATGAAATTATATATCACTAAAGTTAGTGACCGTGGAGAATAAATCCTTGAGGTATTTACTACCATTTGTGGACAATTTTTCCCGGCGGTTTTGCGTTTAAAAAGTTGGATGTCTGGAAGATAAAGCTTTTGAAGACTGTCTAGACAAAATCTTGAAGTTTGCGTTTAATATCTTGCCTTCTATGTAGGAGTGCAGACTTTAAATAATAAACAAATAAAACCTTAATTTGATAGTGTGAAACATTCCCATATTATGAACTAAAAGTCAATCTGAACGAAGAATATTCTTTTCAATAATTTGTCTACTTCAGGTTCTTACAATTATAAAATATAATGCATTTGTTGTCGTTACAATAAAGGCCAGTTATGCAGCGGATACATTTTTAACGTAGAATAACAGATTACTTATGGAGTGTCAAAATAAATGGTCATATTTGTGTGACAAACGTGCTCTGGGCTGAAATCGATTAGAAAATATTGTAAAACTGGAGACAATGGTGGTGGTGATTAATCATAATAGAATTGTAGAGTGTGGGGTAGGAAAATTGACAAGTCAGTTCAATGTTATAAAAGGTGTCAGGTGAGTGACAGGCTAGTACAAAGTGGTCTGTGTTAAACAGGAGATACTAAGACTGCAATGAGAGGTTCATAATGAGATGACGAATATGTTAAATGAAACAGGTGGAGGCATATATTAAAAAAAAAACAGATAATATCACTAATAATAAGTCCGTATAAATGAAAAATTCTATAGTATTGAGGGAATGTTTGCATAAAGGGCATAACTTATCACGAATAATAATAATATTAATAATAATTGTTATAACATTTGTAATAATAAGCAAAGGGAAAAACCAAGAGGGTTAAGGGGAAGGAGCACTCTTGATGAGAAGCAAAATCTTCAATCCAAGGTTGGCCACGGTAGGAACAGCGTCTGGACGTGTTCTTTTTGGATACAGAGTTCCGGTTTAGTCGATGTTATTGCAACAGCTTCAGTTATGTGTAGGAGACGTAAGCGAACTGTACGTGATAACGACTTCAGAATTCGGTATATAACCCTGAAAGCTGTGTTGACATCGATCTAATCTGTTATTCTACGTCAAAAATATATCCGCCGCATAACTGGCCTACATTGTAACGACAACAAATGCATTATATTTTATAATTATAAGAACCTGAAGTAGAGAAATTATTGAAAAGAATATTCTTCGTTCAGATTGACTTTGAAAACCTTAATTACCTCAGGTACTAAACGAGCAAGGGAAAAATAACTCCAATAACTCGAATCATATTACACATTTTATATGTTACACAACATTTTCGCATATTGTAGAATAGATAATGTAAGAAAGAAAGAAAGAAATCAACCTACCTTAATCGGTGAAATATGGAAATTATCAAAGATTGAACGATTCCCATCTTGTAGATGCGCTTGTACAACCGGTGAATCAATTAACTTGCTGGTGATCAGAATATAATCCTGTTTGAATGCCTCCTCCTAGAATGTAAAAAGTGAGAATAGGAAGCAAAGAAATAATAGTAATAATAATAATAATAGTAATGATAGACTTTCGACGACATGACAGCATAATGGTGGGAATAAAACGAATCATGGTATTGATTAAAAAAAACCAGGCGATGCATAATCATTATTAAGGTGGAAATCGAATGCTGATATCACATAAATATTATGAAATGGAATAAAATAAAAGCAAACAATGTAATGCAATGAAATTGCCCAGATTCCACCGATGATAATTCACGAAACTCTTAAAAAGGAGATCACATGCTAAGAGGCAGATGCAACGTAGTGATAAGAGCACGAGAATATAACAATAATGATAGTAATAATAATGGCGATGAGAACAATATGACATAAAATGTAACAAATAAATATCGTTATGTGTATAAACAAATAAAGGTGAAGACTTTAAATTACGAAAACGGAAAATTTCTGCCAGAGCATTGAGAAGACAAAAGTTATTTTCCAGTGTTGATCTGAAGGATTTTGATTGATTTCACGGATGATAACGAAATGACTTCAGTTGAAGAACCACTAAAGATTAGCATTGATGGGCCATTGAATTTCGTCTTCGCCACTGAACGATATGCAAGCTCGCCTTGCAAATCAGGGATCCTAGACTCGATCTACGGTAGAGTCATGGGTGCGTACAAGTGAGGAATCCCGAACTGGGACGAGACAGCTGTCCAGTACTCCCTGGTTTTTAATGGTTCTCCTAACTCTAGTCAGTTCATGATCAATGTTGAAACATAAGTTAAGCGGAAAATATACGCTTTTTTAATTAATCCTTTATTACGATGGGACAAGAGTATTCAGAGTTTTTTCAGTATTTCAGATAATATCAAACGATCAACTAGTAGTTCTAATAGACTTTTAAAAGGAAAGGGATCATTTAATTTCAGATAATAAAATGTAATAAGATGATATGAGATAAATGAAAATCAGTTTATAAGTTTCATCCAGCTATAACAAAAACTGGAGTTTTCTGCATTTTTAATTTATTTACCCTGAAAAGCACCATCTGTGTGAAGATGAACACTATGCACAAACTACTCAAAACACTTTATACAATATATGACAAGAGTCAAAATAAAACTAATATGACTATGGTGTCCGAAATCCTATCATGATAAAGTATCTGTCTTATGCGGTACTACTCCATATTTCTAAGTATGGTACAGGACTAACTGTTAATATACTGTTGTTTTTATTCAATGGATAGCTGAGACAACCTAAAGTTACACTTATCAGTACTGTCAGATATTTCAAGGAAGTAACCAAGACATTGTGTGCTTCTGATTGATTGACGTGAATAGTTGAACACTACTCACATTCACCAGAAGGGTTTACGAGCAAGATCAAAGTGATCTAAATTCCGGACTGTCGTTTCGCTTGTTTGGGATCGAGCTCCTTAGCAATGTGTCCTGTTTGAATGAGCTCAGAGAGGCGAACTAGTGCAAGTCATCTAAATTCTGGTCAGTCATCTAGATGAACTGGTAATTCGTTTAATCAAATGCTCACTTTGAAAATTTATTCACGATTTACAAATGGCCAAGTGTTAATAAAAATGTAGTGATCATATAACAAATTACAATTGTCACAATCATTAGTTGTCCTATAACCGCTAAGGCTGAAATACAAACGATCTAATCGTACATGCATCAAAGAGATAATCAGATAAGTCGTTCCTTCAATCACACATAGGCAAGTCTGAACTTGTAAAAGGTGGCTTCTGAGTGTACTCGTTTATTTGTCAAAATAGACTTTTCCATATTGATGTATTTTACAAAGTAGAATTATGTAATCAGTGGAAGGTGAACAACACCTCTTAAACCTTCCCATACTAAACATAAGATTGAGAATGAAGCTGCAATCAATACTTCATTTCATCAAGCTTAAACTCTTTTCTTTAACATAAGCAGCAAGTGATTATTTTAGAAAGTTAGATGCGTAACGATAAATCAGAGAGACTCTGTGTGTGTGTGTGTGTGTGTGTGTGTGTGTGTGTGTGTGTGTGTGTGTGTGGAATGATTAGTAGAATATTAAGAAATGAAATTAACAATCTCCATTGAGACACAAAGACGAAGATTTCAAAGAAGAGAAATTGTCTAATACTGGTTGGAGTTATAGTTAAAAATAAATGAAATGAGAAGAAAGACGAATGACTAAGGTCACAAAGTAGTACGGCAGGCTTTATTTGATTAGTGGTCGCTAGCACTGCTTTCTTATAACGAAATAAATGAATATAATCAGAGTTTATTGGTGGAGGGGGTTGAGTACAAAGATAAGAGAGAAATGTGAATTTACCAGGTCAGATGTAAAGAAAACAGAAAACAAGCATAATGAACCTTTCTTGGTTAAAAATTTTAAAAAAAGTAGGAAATAAGAAAAACACAAACTTTTGTGGATTGTATGTTTGTTTTAATCGGTTAAATGTAATCTAATCCAACGAAGCGTAACAATTGTTTTATTATTATTTTTTTTGTCAAGAAGCTATTCCCTTTGCATTCAACCGGATACATTCACGTATTCGCATTTTCGAATGTACTTAATCTCCAAATAAAAGTTAGCCAATTTGTTTATTTATTTCCTTGTGGTGTTTGAATTTTGCTTTGACTTCATTCATCAACTGTAATTTTTCCAATCGATTTGGGATTTATAATCAACTCAGGAAATATGATAAAACTTCAGTATTTTCACTAATTGTCAAAATTGTAATACAGATAATAGAGAAGAGTACTCAAGTATGTCTATGTCTGTTTTCGACATAGAACTTTGCACCGATGTGCAGCAGTACAAGTCACCACACTCCATGTAGCATACAAAGCAAGAGAAGAAGGTAGAAGAAATGCATAAGAGAGAGACAGTAAACAGAAGTGTGAGACAAAGAAATAGTAATAACGAAGAACAATATAGTTTCATTGGAAATCATAAGTCACAAGGAGTGGATGCATCTACACCAGCCATTGAGAACGATTTTGAGCCATATCACCAATTGTCTCCAGCCTTCATTGGTTTTTACAGTCCCGAGGACCTTATCCAGGAAGACTACACTTTCCTAAGTGGCTTGAACTAACTGTTGCGGATTTCATTGACTAATGCCGACCGATAGCTGCTACCTTGACGTGGTGGTCTGGCTTGCACATCGCGATGACCCAACAAGCTACACTGGCTGGAACTATTGTTCCTGCAGGTCCTACCATGCCAAGAAGGTTGTTAGGATAGTGATTAGACTAAAAAGCAGTTACCGGCTTAGGGTAAGAATTTTTATTTTACACTATGCTGGGGGTCTGTGGGCGAAGTTGTATTGCTAAGGAACAGGGATCTAACAGCCCTAAACTGTTTCTCTCAGATGACCAGCATGCCAGTTATGGTATCTCTTCAATCTGGAGAGAGGGGATTAAAAAAGGTCAACCCCAAAAATTGTACATCCCGACTTACCCTACGATGGTCCATAAACGGTAGTAAGTTTACTAATGCGTAACCAAACCAAGAAACCAGTTCATACAGGGTATGTGTGACCGGCCTCAAGCAGTTGTCCCCTGGGCGCTGCGGTCAAGCAACACTAATCCTCTTTCTTTTTAAGGTGCCTGAAGAATCAATCAACGCCCACACACTTTCAAAACAGTACTCAAATGGAAGAAATTACCATGGTGAGCAATTTAATCGATGCTGTTACATGAAACGCCAACCATTATGCATGGACACCCATAGGTGATATGGAGGCGATTATACGAAGAGGAAATGAAAGATTGTGGGCCTTCACAGAGCCAGCTGAAAGTGATGACAGAGGACCGAGTGGAATGGAGACATCCAGCTGAACGTTGGTGTTCCACCCGGAACTCAACAGATGAATAACAATAACCACTATAAAAAAGTCCACAACAACGATGGAAAACCTCTAATGGCTGTTAATTATCGTACTTGGAATTTAACATTTCAAAATTTTATACCTTTTACGTATTAACTAAGAACGAAGTTAGAGATCAACACCATCACAAGAATGTGGAAAAATTAATTCATGAGTTGAATGAGCACGGCAAATCCCTCACGGCTGACACTTTCCTCAACTATTTAGATATTATCACTTCTAAATAATTCCTGGGTGGTATCCGATTATTTTCCATACACTACTAGAGTAGAATTTTACTGTTCGTTGTTGTTGGAAATGAAGCATAAAACATAAACCACTTGTCAAGAATATTAAGTTCTCACATTAATTCCCTATTTCGTGACTAAAACCTACTACTTTGGCATTACTGAATTACATAGTGCGGATTTCAATAATTCAGCTAATTGAGTACGCTAGTAGGAAAATTATGTTTTACAATGTGATATATCATTTATCTCTTTAGGATCTATTCAGTTTAGTAACTTGAGTAAACGAAAACTGGTAAAAACTGGTAAACTTCGTAAATGAGTACACACTTCATTGATTGATATTATATATGAAGTAACTTCGTTGGCTATCAGCACCAAAGAAGCCATAAAGCCTTACATTTAATTGTCTCTAAATTATACGCCGAAATGGCCTATAACCCCAATTTAAACGAACCCGAAGTAAGAAATAGTTGAAGACATAACAATGTGTATAATTTACAACTAACAGTTCATTCCTCTGGGTAACTAGAAATCGGATGGTGTGAACTAATTCCACTCACTGAACAGAGTCGAACCGGGCGACACACTGCTAATGAGTTCGGCCCCCCAAAAAAACGTGAGAAGTGGCTTTCCTGTGTGTTTAGATAACTCCCATCTGATTAGCAGGCAAGCACTACTGGTTGATATGAATGGCATTCAACTACTCATCTCAATCAATCAATAGCGAATAGTAACTAATGTGTTTAGTTTTCTCTGACTGCAGAGCACTCTTCAAATAATACATACATTACACCTAATACAGCTTATTTAGCTGTGGGTTATATTTAATAATGTGAAGTTTTATGAAATCATTTAATTACTTAGATTAGAGTTGATAGAGAAGCATTTGTACTTGATTATAATTGCATGGAATCGAAGTGCTGAAGCCAACAATTCACATCTCTGTCGTCGGAATTTTTTTCAATAACTTACACATAAAATGAATTGCAAGAGAAAAATAAGTTTAATTTAATTTTTAATTTTTGATTACAGCTTAATTCCACACTGTATTTTTGGTACAAGTATGGAATTTTCAGCATGGATATCCGTAGCCCAAATTTTACAGGCCGACCATAGATATCAGGTGTGCGTCGGCAGGGGATCGAACCCCGGACCATGTGCATGGTCGGCGAGAGTCCTGACCACCGTGCCACCGACTAATTGAATGAGTTTGAACATCGAACCTTGCACAGAAGTGCCGCAGTTCAAGTTGTTACACTCCATGTAGCACACAAAGGTAAAGAAAAGGAAAAAAAGAGGTAGAAAATAGACTCAAAAGAACTATGATGAGAAGAGATGTGCAGGAAAAAGAAACAATACTGTAACATGGAAAAAACAGGATATAAGAGATTGCAAAGGAGTAAGTGCATCTGTACCATGGATAACGATTTTCAGCTATATATATATCACCAAGAATAAGACAAATCTATTTGAATCTATGTGTGCACCCTAATATAACACAACTGTGAAACATATATCTGACAGTCATATACATATAAGTAAAACAAAAAACCAATGAATTACCAATGCTATACAAAAATGAGAGTATGAATTTGCAGACACGCCACATTCATGAAAAAACTAAAATAACATTTACTACACCATCTGATAATAAATGAATGAGTAATATATACACTGACTGATTGATGGTAGACAAAGGAAAGAAGATGTAGCGAAAATGTAGCAAAATTGGGCAAATGAAAAAAAAGGGTTGAGAACAATCAACAAGAATCTGATGACTGATGATCTCATGAGGACGGATTTCATCAAGTATCTCTCACCTCTAAACATTTCACCTACACGATGATTATTCCGTATTAATTTGTATGAATGGATAGTAGAATTAATTTAGTTAACTTGACATTAACAAGAAAAGTTATCAAAACGACTAAGTATAAACTGATTTTTCCCCCAATGTTTCTTTCTTCTTCTTTCTTCCCTTCATGTTCCCCAGTGGAACATAGGGTGGCTTCAAGTTAGAGGCTTGAAGTTTCTGTAGCAGTGTTAATTTTTACAGGATGGGATTGCTAGCCTCATGTCCAACGTTTCCTCTTTACCAGCATTATTTTTGGCTTAGCGAGGTAAAGGAGTGCGTCTGTGGCCGGGGATCGAATCCCGAAACATATGCATGGTCGGCGATCGGCCTAACCGCTATGCCATAATGTACATGTAAAAAAGACGTAACAAAACATTCAGGTCTGAATTATAAAAGAGATGAGTAGTTTAGTAAGATTAGAAATCTAAAAACTAAATGTTTTTTGTTAGGATCCATGCGACACAGCTAGCGCTTATGTGTGTCAGACAGAAACCCAATTTATATCACGACCAAAACTAACAATCTCAAGATTATTGACCTGGTGCCCAACCAATACATATATGGAAGAAAGCTAATAACTCAGTGCTATCTTGATTTTAATAAAGGGATTAAAACATAGATTGTCGAACCACTAGTCTGGAAAATACTGAATCGAATCTTGACATAATCCAAATATACGTTCTAACACTATGCATCACATGGCTAGTAGAGTTAATAACAACGATACATCCTTATTTAAATGTAAAACGGATGAAAGAGTTAAACAGTTAGATATGACGGTGCACACGACACAAAGTTGAAAAAGGACTGATTCGTAGTCAAGTTGCTGCAGATAATTTAATATTTTCACTTCGCTGATTACTTAATTTTCGATAAATTATAAAAAGAGAGTGAAATTTCTATAGCTAATGAAAGTGAAATGATTGCGCAACTCATCTTCTGTTCAAAATATCATTATTGGTTTGATAGAAATCTTAAATAAATGATTAACGAAACACTTGTTCAGGAATTATCAGAGTTGATGTGTCACTTTGTGTCACTAGCTATGCCACAAGGGACGAGACGTGAACAGTCACTCACATAGTTGATATTGCAAAACAACTGAAGTATGTATGACTAAGATGTGAATGCGAATGTGAACTCTGGACTCCGTAGTTATGCAGCACATCAATATCGATAATTAGCAATCTCAATATATTTTATATGATTTATTTAGTTTATTTTATTCCTTTACGTTCCCACTGGAACATACGGCTTCAAGCTAGAGGCTTGAAATTTCGGTAGCAGTGGTGTTCATTCACCAAAGTTAAACTTTAAGTACCGTTATTAACCACCAATCAGCGAATGATCTCGAAACCACAAGTCACGTGGAGGAGGCATTTTTGTGTATGGAATACATATATATTTATGAAATAATGCATAAAAACTGTAAAAAAGTGTTACAGGTGATACGTTCCTCTCAGTTTTAGTTTGGAGTATCAACAGAGTATAATTCTATTGTGAATAAAATTTATTTTGTGTAGTAACATTTACTGGACAATAAACTGTGCTCGAAACGTCATCAGTAAATATTACTGTATAACACTGTGAGAATTTATCAGAATAAATTTTACCCACAATGGAATTATACTCTACCACAGTGCACAAGTTTTATTCTTATATCAACAGAGTAATTTAACTACATTCTATGCATGTAATTATCTAGATCTTCTAATCCTAACAATAAACCTATTCTATCTTGAAACTAGCCCTAACGTGAAAATATCCCTAAACTAACCTTAATGTAACTTGAACTAACTCTAATGTCACCTTTAATAAGTTAACCTAACCCTAACTCATCCTTGGCTTAAAGCGTAACTTAATCTTCCGCAAACCTAAGCTGAAACTTGCCTGATATCCCATTTGATAGCGTTCGATGAGTATATTTTATTGATGATGACAAAATAATTTCCAGGTTTCACTAAGTTGCTTAGTGAGCATTTCAAGGTCATCGGTGCGGTTGCGGTGCACTCCATTGGTATTTAGTGGTGCTTAAAGTTTAACTTGGCAGTTTATTCGTACGGGATGGAGTTGCTAGCCTCATGCCCAGCCTTCTTTCTTTACCAGTCTTATTACTGGCTTAGCGAAGTAAAGGAGTAACCTCGGTCGGGGACCGAATCCTGGACCACCTGTACGGCTGGCGAGTATTCCCACCGCTGTGCCATCGACGCACATTTTATATGTTAGGTGTTGTCAAATTTATGATCCTTCATTTGCCACCTTTAAGAATGAAGTGAAGCCAAGAAAGACAAGTAGGCAATCACATCATCAGATAAAGATCAATAACAAGCGAGAATGTTAGTTTGAATTACAACAGTATGAAAACATCAACGTTAGATATGTGATAATGATCAGAGGAGACAAATATTTATTCTTACCAAACAGCAATAAAGTCGGTGAGTAAAGCTTATTGGAATAATTATTGTTAGTTATTTTATAACAATCAACTAGTAGAGTGGTATGTTTTGTTCTTCCTCAAATGAAACACGGCTTACCTTAGATACATGAGCTACAGCACTACCGAAGAAATTAGCTACATCGTACAAAAATCCTTGATCAAGTTTCAGTTGCATTTCTTGTATAAGTACACGGAAATACCTGTGAACAAAAGAGAATTACATAACATTAATGATATTGGATAAATTGTCGTGAATATTATCGTCAGAGGAAATCGGCTAGAAAACCAGACCGAAGAGAACTGATGACAGGTATTGGCCTAGTGTACACATACTATTCAATAGAAAGTCAAATACAGAAATATCAAGTGTTTTGAAAACTTACAAATAAAGCAGCCTGTCAAAATCTAAAATTACATATTTCAAAAACTTCTAAAAACTTGAATCCAGTGTGACCCATCAGCACTTGTCCTCAGATTCAGTCTATGATTGGCTCTATTAACCACAACTTTTCTTTAGAACCTTAAGAAATTATGAGCCTTCATTTTTAGTAATATTTCGAGTGAAACTATTGCCCGTGATCATACCAACTGTTGGAACTCATATAAACCTTGATCAAGATTTGACCGGATAGTTGCAAACTGTTTGTTTTTATAAAGTATAATTATATTTCAATAGTTTACACACAATGATAAGTTTTGTTACTAATAATTTTGCTCGAAATATTACCAATAACAAAACTTATCATTGTGTGTAAACTATTGAAATATAATTATACTTTATTTGATCTAATCCACACAAATGCTCAAACTTTTTACTGATATTAATGTTTGTTTTTAATTTACTGATTTCACTCATATTTCATTTTTTTTTGGTCAATTTATTTTTGTGTATCCAGAATTATATTCCAGGTTGTTGACAGTTGTACTGAGTCACCCTTGTTACATTTATCCAGTGTGACCTTAATGAATATAGATTATCTCTTTCCATTTGTTCATATTGGATTTCAGAGTACAAGCATTGTTCCAATCAATATTGTGGTTTTTGTCCCCTGCATGTGCAGCTGTAAACGAATTTTCTTCTAGATTGTTGTAAGCTTGTGTTACTGTGGGATAACCTTTACTTAGGCGTTTATGTTCATTTACTCTTATTTTGAGTGATCTAGACGTTTGACTCACATAAATCTATATCATGGTACGCCACAGCTGAAGCTACATGGATCAATAAGAACCTACGTATGCAAAAAAGTATATTCCTCCTCTATTTTTACCTTGGCCTACCATAAGGTCATCAGGGAGGTCATCATTCCATAATTTCATGTTTTATTATGGCCTTCTTGCTTCCTCACTCCTTTCACCTAATTCACTTTATACCATTACTATTATTGGTCAATCTTTGGATTTTTACTAAGCTGATCTCGTCTTTACCAAATGATTACATTTCAATTTATGAACACTTAATTTGTTATCTGTCAGTCCTTTAACTTACATTCAATGTAACAAATTCTTTAAATGGTGGATTGTGACTATCAGTGGAATCCAGCTCACCAACAAGGCTTGAGCCTCGGTGGGAGCATCATCACTCACTGTGGAATCCTGGATTCCACTACCAGTCACCATCCACCAATTAACTTATAATTACATCCCTGAACATCGTCGAAGCATCTGCACAAGGAGCCGATATGTCAACCTGAGACTCAGTCCTTCGGTCCAATCAATCGACAGGAGAATCTAAAATTGAATTCAATAACAAATTCTTTGTCTGTATTTCCCTCGCATAGCTGAATAAAACTCACTCCTTGAGACTTAAGTTTTGTCGACTTTAAATATGTTATTTACTTGTCTATTCACGTCTTATCTCATCTTCTGAATGACTGTACATTTTATAATGCATTTCAATGACAATCAAAACCACCTTATAATTCTGAACTGCCTTTACTGGCAGATATGGTATTCTAACTATCATGGATATATAATAATATAGTAGATACTGACTATGCAGCATTTGATACATCCTTTAATATAATCTGCAAAGTTCGACACTGCATGCCAAAAGTGACACAAGTGCATTTGCTTTGCATAGCGAATGCTTTGGTAATACGTGAAATATGGCCATACCTATCACACCATCTCAACTAACTCATCATTCAGAGTCATTTACAAAGTAAACATAAATCTACCAAAGGCAGTGTGTTTCCGACTTCTTTGTACTGCGGAAACTCTCGCCAAATGCATCGAAAAGCCGGAGGTGTGTGTTCAAAAGAAACTAGTCCAGCCTTTACAATTACCGTGGACCTAGTTCGATATGCTCTCTTATCCTTCAGTTTTTTTTAATTTGTCCTCTGTGTGTTTGTATTTTCTCTCTTCGTCTTCATTCAATTCATCCCATGTTTTTTAGTTATAAAATCAGTTACTTTAAGTTTCTATGCCCCTTGTAATTTATATTCACAGCTCCTAACTTACATTTCAAGTTGAAAATTTTGATTTCAATTTGTTTCCATACTCATTTTGTTCACACCTGTAATTCGTTCTGTCCCTGCGTCTCTAAGCCTCTTGTAATTCATATCAAGTTGAAAACAAATATCATCTTTTATTCGCCGGTGGTATAGCGGTTAGTACGCTCGCCGACCATGCATATGGTTCGGGGTTCGATCCCCGGCCACAGACGCACTCCTTTACCTCACTGAGCCAGAAATAATGCTGGTAAAGAGGAAAGGTTGGGCATGAGGCTAGCAATCCCATCCTGTAAAAATAAACACCACTGCTACAGAAACTTCAAGCCACTAGCTTGGAGCCCTATGTTCCACTGGGAACGTGAAGGGAAAATTAAAAATTAAAATTATTATCAAATATTAATTTTGCATACGTCGTAACTGTTTTCTAATCTCGTGTAATCTTGTCTCTAAGCCCCTTGTAATTTATATTCTTACCTTTAAACTTTCATATCAAGTTGAAAATTATTATCATCTTGGTTACTGTGTGGAATTAAATATATAGTAATTGTAGCCATGTTAACTAATGAATATAAATGCGATTGTGCAGCTGCTTTTGAGAATGAAATCACCGAAAAGATCGCCATCTTTGCTGAACTACTTGTTCTTTTCCCTCTTATGTCTCGATGAGTATTTTCCATAACACAGTGTACAAAAACAATTGGTACGATCTCTTTCGTTACCATAATCTTGAATACATCATGTGATTCACAAAAATGTTTTTATCCTTCTTTATTCCATGTTCCATTTTTGTTTTATTTTATTTCATTTTACGTTATCACAATCTAACAACAGTCATGTTCCCATAGTAATACATACACATACTCATATTCTTGAATGTACTTTATTTTCCTATCATATCTATGTCACGCACGTCTATTGAACTTTATGCTGACCTTTATTTATTCAATTTGTGACTCATAATCCTCGGAACCAATATTATCGCACTTAAGCATTTCCATTCACTGTCAAACTTTAACACACACGCACACAGATACACATAGATAACTAATTGTTATTATCTATTTAGTATACAATTGGTGGATGGTGGCTAGCAGTGAAATCCAGAATGCGCATTTCGTCCTATTCGGGACTCGTCACTGGATGTACCTGCATTTCTCAGTGAGTGATGATGTTCCCACTGCTAGCCACCATCCACCAATTGTACACTAATTAAATGCCCAGACATTGTCGAAGTATCTGCACAAGAAGCCGGCATGTCAACCTGAGACCGAGCACTTCGGTCCAATCAATTGATGGGAAAATCAAAAATTCAATTCAATAGTTATTATCTATTGTTATGCATACATATTTCAAGTTTGATCATGAGTAGTCACCAGTTAGAGAACCATTGGAAAACCAGGGAAGCAAAAAAGTCATATAATCGTTAAAAAAAGTATTAAAAAACATTACAAACATGATACTACACTGGACAATTGTCTTTTATGTGTTGTAAGAACGTTTGTCAGTAACTCCAAGAATAATCCGTAGAGAAATAGTTCTATGCGCGATACGTGTGTTCATTCAGAAGACTGTAGATCTTTATGCACTTAGGAGTCCACTGATGTTTTCGACTGTGTTCGTTAACTCCCCCCTAACCTTAACCCTAACCCCACCTAACACTTTATAGATTTACTCAATCAGTCTTCATGAAACTCGTTCACATAATCAGTCATCAAAGCATGATTTGATACAGGGTGACCTTTCATAGCGTTCCCCAAACCTGATTGGTTCTTGAAAGTCACCTTTCAGGTGTATTTAACAACGTCAAGTCCACAAGCATATTTTTTTTATTACAGCTTGATTCCACACTGTATTTTTGGTACAGGTATGGAATTTTCAGCATGGATATCAGTAGCCCAAATTTCGCAGGCCGACCATAGATATCAGGTGTGCGTCGGCGTGGGCTCGAACCCTGGACCATGTGCATGGTTGGCGAGAGTCCTAACCACTGTGCCACCGACGCTGGGAAACTGTCCAACTTGGCTAGCCAGAGGATAAAAGAAGAATACCAATAGCTCTATCCTCGAACACCTTGTCAACTCTAGACATAGAGCAACCCTGTATAACTACTGCACAGTACTACACAGAGTTCTTCAATACCACACAAAAGGATTGTTGAAATGAATCATTAAGAGTTCAAAAAGCATTACATTATATCATTACACTTACTTGAAACGAAATGAACCAGGATTGGCTGTACGCCCAATAATAGCCGACCATTCAAGTAAAGGTTTAATACCTACAGAAGAAACAAGTTAACTTATATTATACAGTGTGTTGAAGATTTATTTTCAAAAGACTATTTAGTTAACACGAATGATTTCAAAACTAAGTGCACTTATTATCGAGATTATTATGTTTAGCATTAAGTATGCATTCCTTTTTAGTCGCATCAAAAATTCAAGAAGAAATAACTATCAAGTATTGGTTTTGTAGGGATTTTTGTTTGATTGCATGGAGGATTTAGTCGTAAGCTGACATCAATTAGAGAACCAATGAAAAACCTGGGAGTACTGGACAGCTGTTTCGTCTTCGTTTGGGAGTCTTCACAGTACGCACCCACCGGGGTTCGAACCCAGGACCTTCTGATTCCAAGGCGAGCACGGCTTACCACTAGAACCCCAGTAGGGTACAACAGGTTGAAGATGAGGCAGTAACTCATCGAAGAAGACATTGCGAAATGGTCGCGCTATGTCGTAAATTGGCAGAAGTTAGAATTCAAGGACCATTGGATCGGGTCCCAGTGGCTCAATAGTCTACGGGCTAGCTCGCCTTGTAACCAGAAGATCCTGGGTTCGAACCTTGGTGGCTTAGTTTTGTTGAAGAATCCCAAACTAAAATGGAACAGCTGTCCAGTACTCCCAGGTTTTTCATTGGTTCTCTAACTGATGTCAGCTCATGATGAAATCCTGAATGCAATCAAATAACTATCACTTGAAAAATTTAAGCTATAAAAGCCACATAAATCTTAATGTGGCTTTGTGTGCTACATGGAGTGTGGCGACTTGAACTGCCGCACATCGGTGCAAAGTTCTATGTCGAAAACAGACAGACAGACAGGCAGACATAAAGATTATGTTAGTCATCATATGGAAATAACTGTCAAGTTACCTTTATTTGTGCATTTTTTTTTATACTTTTGACACTTTTCAGTTTTAAATAACAGTAGTAGTAATAATAATGGTTTCAGCACACAACTCCTTAAGTAATTACGTCACCACAAACTCTTCTTATTCATTCCAAAACATTACACATATATGTATATATGTCTGTTTGCACATTTATACCATGAACGTACGAGTTATCACACAAAATTTCTACAAGCTAATTATTAACTCATTTAACGTAACCGAAGAGAGTTCAATGAAGTAAACATGACATCATCCCATTCTACAGGGATTATTTCCATTTATGAAAACAAAACAGATAGTTCAGCGAAGAGTCTCTTTTCGGCAGCGAATTCATTCACTTAGCTCTAGAGTCTTGCATGTGTGTGTGTGTACGTTAGGTTGGTGGGAAAAAAATTAGTTAGGGTTATTGTTGGCAATTAGTCAGGAAATATGTAAGGAAATGTAAAAATAAAATTAATAATGATAGTAGCGATAGTGGTAATAATAATAATAACAATATTAATGACGACACCAACAATAAAGAATCTAAATCATCAGTAGTAATTCCGTGCAAGGAAGGAACCTCGAAAACCTTACTCAGAATTCTTAACAAGGCAAGAAATTAAAGTGGCATTCAAACCCACAAATTCAATTAGAAACAAACTTTGTCAGTTAAAGGATCCTGTGGAGCCAATTAAACAAAATAATTTAGTTTACCAAATACCCTACCTGCAATGATCGTCAGGTCAAATACATAGGTCAAACTAGTGGAACAGGGACAGTCAGATTAGCTGAACATAAAAATCTAGCCAAATCTAGATTGGTTGATCCAAATGAGATAAGAAATCTAGAGAATAGTTCAGCTATACCACTCACTACATGCAATCCCACACCACCATACAACAGGATGGGACAGGATGACAGTTTTAAAATCTAATGTTACAGGGTGGAGGGAGAGATTGATAACTGAAGCCTTACTGAACGAATCAACTGCAAATACATGTAATAGGAATGATTCATCACCTGTCCCTGACATCTGGAAAATTCTACAACCCTTACGACAAATAGGAGAAGACAAAGAAAGCTATAAAAGTCAAGTTTCGAAGTCGTGTGATTATAATTGATGGCATGATTATGAACAATAAATTGTGTTCGAAACGTCATCCAGTAAATACTACTATTTCACTGTATGATACATCTAATAAACAAACTAATATGGAATTATTGTTGGAAAGACATTTCAAAAATTTGATGAATAATCAACTTGCAACTAGGGCGGATGAAGAGTAGTAAGAGGGTAGTGGTGATGACATGTCAGAAAACTTAGTTATCAATGTTAATCAACACATAGAAGAAGTTGAATAAGCCTAATACAGTTACGTAATAAGATGAATAGTCAAATGAGTGAGTTGTGATTGGGATGCACATAGAAACAAAGGAAAACACGGAATTATGTAAGAGATCTAAAAATTACGAATGTTATAAGGAGTTAAAAAAACAAAATGCAATAAGCACAAAAATTTCCATTTAACAGATTAAATTCATACATAAGAGTAGAATGCCTTGTAACTTACTCTGGATAAGATATGATTAGTGCTCACATGATGTCTGCTTTGTTTTGACAGTCTGATATGTTTCCTAAATGTACATTGAACGTTATTCCATTATAACTCACAATATGCTTTTGTCTGTCCATTAACTAAATAAACCATGTATGACCTTTTGTCACATGACATTACAATTAATCAGAATCCAATGGTAGGAAGAAAAAGTACTGTGTATCTTATCTCACACTCTTGTGTGACAGTTAATTTTTTTCTCGTTGGAATACACACGTATCGTCGTGAACGTGGTGGTCTTCTGATTTGCCTCTTCGAGTCAGGACAAATTAACTACTCAGCAGTGTCAGTCTGTACATTAATCATCCGTTATATCTCATTAGCGCATGCATATTTACACTCGGTCACACCATAATATCGGCAACGACATCATAACAATATTGGCGACGAGTTCATAATAGATAACAGGTGATGTGATTATCTAACCAATTATTTCCCCAACCAATTATCAACCATGACATCCCTACCAGTCTGCCAGTTCACGGCTAGTCTGATAAAATTAAACTGACAGTTAAGTATCACTTAGACATGGTTGAAGTGAAATAATAACCTGGTTAGTAACTACCTGTCAGGTGAGCGATCCGGAGACTGCAGGTTCGAATCTATCTACGACTTAGGTCATCAATACACCTTCGAACACCATCCAATAAATCAATATCAGTCTACCGAATACAAGATAGTTTTACCAAACATTAAAACACTTTTTATACCTGAATCAAGTGCGACTGATTTCGGTTGAGGATAAGCTGCCAGTACAACAGGAAAGGTGGAGTCTAGTCGTTGACTATCAATCTGAAGGAAGAGTAGAAAGAAGAATCAAATACATACGTTAAAATAATGATGACTTATACAACAGAAAATCACCAAGCAAATCTGAATAACCGAAAGTCAGTCTATACAGTTTCTTAAACAGGAAGAGAGGTTCCACAATACATTGTTCAAGTAAGCACAGCAACACACACACACACACAACACTGAAGTTCATATGTGCTTGACTACAAAAAATGAGTTTATTGACTTTTTTATTCCTTCACGTTCCTAGTGGAACACGGGGCTTCCAGCTAGACTAATATGAGCATACAATGAGAGCTGCTGATACTGAAAATGACACAGATGATTTCTTACCTGTAATCGAAACAGTTTTGCATGGATTTGCATCTGACTAAGTGAAGATTTATACTGTAAGAATACACCAGGCTCAAACGCCCGTCTTAATTCGTATTGATCAGGTTTAAGCATAAGCATTCGACTGAAATCCACTTCAGTTGGATGACTGATATCAGTTAATTTAACAATACTCGTTGATGTTTTATCTGCATCACTCGATGAATTCGCGTAATCTGTATAAGCACGTTCTAGGCTTTCACTTAAGGCAACTTGTAATGGCTTAAGACGATTGCCACGTTTTACTTGACTCCATCGAACACCGGAACTACACAAAACGGAAATAAATAAACGAAATTCTATACTGTTCATGAAAAGAAATACACTTATATTTCAGAGAAAGTGAATAAGTAGACCAATAATAGAAGTTTAATTCAATGATTTAAGTGGTCGACTATTAAGGAGTGAGTCCGAAAACGTTACACCTTGATGGTGTCCCACAAGGCGCTGTCCTTTCTCCTTTTCTTTTTTCTTTCTTCTTACCTGACTTGTCTCACTCTGATGAAATAAACTTTGTGAAGTACGCTGATGATTTAACAGTTTCAATGGCTGTTAACTCCCAGCTAGATTGTACCAAAATAAATAGCTTTCTATCGGGAGTCAGTAAATCGTCTGTCTAACGGTCTTAAACTGAATCCTTCTAAATGTCAAACTGCTAATTTTGATTTGATTTTGATTTCTGATTTACAGCTTGATTCCACACTGTATTTTTGGTACAAGTATGGAATTTTCAGCATGGATATCGGTAGCCCAAATTTTGCAGGCCGACCATAGATATCAAGTGTGCGCCGGCGTGGGCTCGAACCCCGGACCATGTGCATGGTTGGCGAGAGTCCTAACCACTGTGCCACCGACGCACAGTTAAAAGAAGTCGTCGATTCTCATGACAGTTCTGAGATTGATGACAAAGATACAGGAATTAAATCAGAAATTAAGTATCTTGGACTTATTCTCTCTTCTGATCTCTCCTGGTCTTCCCATGTCTTAGCGATCTCCAGTAAAATATTCCGCCTGACATTTTACATTAGGAAGTTAAGGCACTCGGGTATAACTCGACCCCTCCTCTTACAGTTTATAAACTCTTGCATCCTACTTGTTCTTCTTTATTGCTCACCCTTATTCTTTCCTGGTTTCCTTAAAAAGGACTATGTCACAATTCATTGAATGCTGAAGACTGTCCGTAGGGTGAGTGGTGTCCCAGTGGATCACATAGTTAACATCGTTGTCGATAGGCACTTGACTTCGTGCAATAAATTTGCTAAAGGGACTTTGTCTCACTTGGAGCATTCACTTTACCCTCAACTTTCACCTAGCATGTCCTCAGGTAGAACAAGAAGTAACTTTAGAAAACTGTATGCTCGCACGTCTAAGTATAAAAATTCTATGATACCATACTCGGTACGCATTTTAAATGTGATGAAAATATTGTCAGGCAATAATTAACTAACCTTTTTTCATCTAGTAAATAAACGATTTCCTCCATCCATCCATCCTTAGATACCTTCAAGTTTGACTTTTATTATTTCTATCATATTTATGATCCTGTTACTTCTTTGTTTTACTCTCATAATTGCAAACACCAACTTATCTCTATGGCTGCTGTAATCTTTGTTTTCCCCTTATCATATCATCATGTAAAGAGAACATTATATTCAATATTTTTAAACATGCTAGGATTTCTATACCGCATTGACAATACTGTGTGAAACAGGCCCACAGTAATTTTCCCTTGTATTATTATTATTACCCTAGCTGTTATCATTATTATTATTATTTCCATTTTATATGCTGCATGTTTTTGACACTACCTCTATTGTAAATGTGGAAAATTTTCTGTGTGGTCAAATTTTATTTATAATTTGAGGAAATTAGATGCAATATTGTGATTAATGCTGGAAATACCATTCTGTATCACAAATAGTTTTTGGAATAAAGAAAATAATAATAATTATTATATCATCTGGGTAGACTATTACTTTACATTGTCCTTGTGCAATACTTATGACAGACTTACGCTAAATCGTGCTTAAATATAGCGATGTAAGTCTGCCTGGTCTACCTGTTGTAGACCACATTCCAACCGTCGGTTAAATCAAAAGTATATCAGAGCAATATGAAGCTGAAGGACACATGCAATGTTCGTTTTATTCCAAGAGGAGATATAAGTGTGAAAAATAATTTCATGAGAGAAAAAATAAAAAAACAATAAAAAAATAATTAGTATGAATATAGTAAATGCAAAGACTTTCAATCTCACTAACCTGGTAATAGACACATAAGCTATTTCAGCCCGTGCAGTATTATCGACTAAAGAAATGCCGATTGATTGAAGAGAGATAACAACTTCTTGATCTATTGGTTCAAGATCAGAACTCTAGAGGCATAAAGCGATAAATATAAGCACATTGTAAATAATTGTACACAGTAAGCTAATGTATGATTACACAATACTGCACATGTGAAGATTTCTGAGAAAAATAATTGGATAAGCACGAATCAATTAAATCCTATAAATGTAATCAAATTATGCACTTCCAAGACAATTGCTTTTTACGCAGATTTTTTCTGTTAAAAGATGGCAAGATAGAATCCATACGATAGACAAATTTGGTAATAAGACGAAATTTGTTTTAAAATAGTGGGGAAGATTTGCAGCTCAAGTGGTGGGTTCTGTTATGCCTTTTAAACGCAACGATAACTGAGAATTCATTATTATTTATCCAACAACAACGATAAACTTAGGGATATGATGTTGTGTAGAATGATATCTCAGCAAAACAAGATGCTGGTTACAGGGTTTCATCATGAACTGACATCATTTAGAGAACCATTCGAAAAGCTGGGAGTACTCGACAGATGTTAAGTCCCGTTTTGAGAGTTTCCAGAAGTACCCGCCAACTAGGTCATAACCCAGTCCCTTCCGGTTACAAGGCAAGCTCGTAGATCATTAAGGTCACTGGGACCCAATCCAACGACCCATGAATGCCAACTTCTGACAATTCACGAGCTCACCATGTAACCGGAAGGGTCTGGGTTCGAATCCCAGTGGGTGCGTACTTCAAAAGAGCCCCGAACTAGGACAAAACAGCTGCCCAGTACTCAAAGGTTTTCCAATGGTTCTCTAACCGATGTCAGTTCGTGATGAAATCCTGTAACAGATCAGAAAAGTTTGCTGTCCTCCCACTTTGACAAATCAACATGGATAACTACACAGGTTTCATTTTTCTTTGTCATGCAATCATTTTTACATTCGGTCTACAGTACTCATCTACAGCGTAGTTAGTATTTGTGCATATTATGTGTTGACAGTTAATAAAGTCGAAATGAGAACAAAAAAAACGCTCAAATTTATATATAATTTCATTCAAATTAGCGAAATAATCTACAAACAGGCATGAAATCCACTTTGAGTAATAATAATATTATTTTTACAGCAATAACAACATTCATTAGTAGTCAAAAGTAATAAAACTTACTAATCTAGCATTTTTAGCTACATTTACATCTTGAGTAAACAACAATACTCTTTGCATATTCCACATAAACGATACCCAATAGGCTTTTGTATTATTTACATAGAATTCTTCAACAGCATCCTACATAAAGTAAAAACGTAATATATATAGGAGAATAAGAGTAAGTATTAGTAACGGCTGGGTTAAAAGGAGTTAACTAACACGAGGACAATTCACTTTTTATTCTTAATTAGAATATATATTAGTGAGAATACTAACTGGTATTGATGCCATTCACTGCTGTTTATTCAGGCAGGATAAGGTAAATTACGTAAAATCTTTATTTGTATTCTCCTCATACCACTAAATATAATCAATCACTGCTGTTGCATAACCGTCCAGATGACTTGTAATCATCGGGTTCAAAGGACCTACAAGTAAAAAACCTGCCTACTTAAGTACAGTATACAAATGGATGAAAGCCTAATGATATGGAGAATGAGATTTCCAACATAAAAACGATTTTGATTGGAAATAGTTATCCGAAAAATCTGCTAAATAGTATTGTCAATATAAAGGACAAAAAGGGAAAACATAAAATTGAAAAATCTCGGCTATCAACGATGGCCATTCCATGTAGAAAGTAGACAGCTGAACGACTTAAAAGACTACTTGCTTCACATAATATTAAAGTCTACTTCAAGCCCTCTAATTCTCCAGAGAAAGCTTTGGTAAGAATGTCAAAGATATCTTTCCCAAAATGACACAAAACAACTGTGTCCTATAGGATAAAGTGTTCGGAATGTGAAGCTTGCTATATAAGAGAGAGAGAGAGTAGCAGACAAATGAAGGTCAGAGGGAATGAACATAGCCTGTGCACGAAATGTCCACCTAGAAATGAAGTAGAATTAAAGAGTCTAGAAAAAAGATCAGCAATAGCAATGCAAGCTATAGACAGCAGACATAAGATTGATTTCGACAATGTTGAAATTCTAAGAAGGAGCTTCTATTTGAACCACATTGAATGCAGTAAATAAAAGAGAAGGGATAGACTTATCACCTACATGACAGACTCTAATGGAGTAAACCAAATAAGGGAAAAAATCTTATTTTATATTATGAAATATTGTCATGTTTTGATGTGTTTTCCACATAACAAAAAAACATGCACACTCATACAGACAAATACGCATATATGATAATTTGACATTAGTCATTGCAAATATGCGATAGCTACCTGGATTTTCTATTGGTACAAATGTCTACCGACAAGTGACCTTCAAAGGAACTCACGTCAATTTATGTAATTTTTGACTATATATATTCTGATGGTTAGTAAAATCCGAAAAATTTTGCTGAAAAAGTTGTGGCTTACACAGCAAAGCGTTCAGAAACATATTGTTTCAAATTTTTCTTAAACACGCTGGGATTATTTAAAAATAATTTATAACATTTTCACAGATGTTGAAAACAGGCACATTTTATGCGTGAAGCACCCAAAGCAATATTAGGTTTTTGACCGACGTTCCCATTTTCAATGAAACACAACAAAGACAGGAATAATATGAAGTTTGTACAAGAGATGGGGCTTTGTAAAGTCTTTTTTAATTTAAAATGATGATCGATAGGCTCCAGGCCCTATGAAAGCATCATTATACACTAGAATAAAAGCCCGCCTATTTTATAGGTCTTAAATGGAAAGAAACGTGACTACCGAATTCTACTAGCAAAAACTGATATGAGTAAGATATTCTATAAGAAGTGGTTGAAATATTCATTAACAGGCAAATCCGCTGTTCATTTCAAGATTAAAGTAGAATCCAGCTAAAAGAAGGATAAGAGTCATTAGACTTGGACATAGTACTAATCTATAAAATCTTATGCACATATCATGTATGCCAATTGGTTAAATAAGGTCTACAAAAAAGCCCAGATAGATGCTTAAGGCCTCTAAATGAAAAAATTTAGACGCAAATGGGGAAGATTGATTCGAAGTGAAGATGACACAAATTTATGAATTAAATTATGCAATGCATTCATTAACTGTTAATAATTAAATGTAATTTATTTATTAAGTGAAATTGAAATTTACATTGGTCAACTTATTTGAATGACGACTGTCAGATTCTTTACAATAGTGGACTAATTCACGTTTAGCGCGTGGACAATCCCATGCATACATGATAGACATACCAGCGTCTAAACGATGAACGGTCTGTGGAAGTCCACTGTAAAACAAAGTGAAAAAACATGACATTATTGTTGGAGAAATTTATGCTTACAATTCAACCAAATAATTACACAAAAACGCTCAACAATTCATATTCGGATTTTTTTGTTGAGTTACTTGTTTTTTTTATTTTATTATTTATTTTTCCTTCACGTTCCCCACTGGAACATAGGGCTTCAAGCTAGAGGCTTGAAGTTTCTGTAGCAGTGTATATTTTTACAGGATGGGGTTGCTAGCCTCATGCCTAACCTTTCCTCTTTACCAGCATTTTTTCTGGCTTAGCGAGGTAAAGGAGTGAGTCGACCGGGGATCGAACCCTAGACCATGTGCATGGTCGGCGAGCATCCTAACCGCTATGCCACCGACGCACTTGTTACTTGTTACAAACCATTAATTTTACCTAAACTAAGAAATAGCTACATTTTGCAGACTAAAGCTGGCGTAAATCAAAATCGATAGTTTAAGTCATTGGGCTTAAACAGAAGGTTTTGTCATGGTTTGACAGGGTAACTTTTTATACCCTACCATATGCAACTATTCAGATTACTTATAGATAGTGTATACATATGATGTTTTTTATCATCGACACAAGTTAGTCTAATTTAGAACAACACATTTAAGCGAACAATATTGTTTTCAATTAGATTTCATCAGGCTTAACTCTAATACATATAAGTTTACAAATAAAATTCAAGCATAAACCAATCATGGTGTTTTGTTCATAGGATAATACGACGGTGAATATAAATTATGCAATTAGTCATAATAATAATAATAATAATAATAATAATAATAATGGTCTGTGATAACACGAACAATGAAAAAACAGTATGGTTAAACAAACGAATGTTCAGGTAGAAGTAGTCGATAAAAGGCTAGTAAAAACAAATGAACCAATTAAGTAATGCTAGACTGATTGTAAGGGAAGTAAATGAGACATGTTTTTAATGGAGATATGATAAGATTAAGGGATGATAAGAAAGAGGTTGAAAATATAAACAAGGGGTGGTGTAGAAGTCATTAGTTGGTTATGTCTTAATAGGCCAAGGGAGGGATAATGGCTGTACGAACCTCTTTTGAATGCATAGTTTAGGTTTATTAGTTCGAATGCCTATCGCCTCAGCTGTGTGCAGTAGACGAATATGAAGTCTATTAGAAAGATTCGGTGGGATACGATAAATTACTTTGAAGGCTCTCGTTTTCTCCACTACATGATCACTATCAATTAAATCTGATAAAATTGAGCTACGGATCGTTTTTGTCTGTCCTTTGCCAAATCATGATGGGAGATGTTCACTAACACGTTGGCTAAGCTGTCTAGTAGTACGCCCAACATAACTGTCACCGCAGGTGCAGTGGAATTGATAAATGCGCACAGATGTGACAAAACTAGCTAGCTTATCCTTCGTTTACGTCCCAATCATTCGTCGGCTAGAGAATGACAAACATAGGTGTACCGAGTAAAGTGTTCTTCGTATACTCCTTGAAAGTCTTTGGAATAAAATCTCACTTGATAAGTCACCATTAAATTGTTTTGTGGGCTCAGACAGTAGAAGGCATTGAATGAGGGAGTGCAGTCATATTCAGCCTTCATTCGAGTTTTCCACTGGATCTCAGTATCGAATCTAAATCACCAGTATTATTATTGACATTATTATAGCAACTAGTAAACCATTGTTTAATCTAAGCTAAGAAGCGGTTGAACGGAGATATAAAGGCATCGATTGGTGTAGTTGTTTGAGTATAAATACAGAAACGTTGTCTGAATACAGAGTCATTCACCTGGCATTATACTATCTCTACAATCTTGAGGGTGGGGTGGGGTAGGGGAACAACTACAAATATCAGTGGTAATACTGACGTGTTAGAGAAAGAAAATGATCCTGTCTGTGCCATAAGACAAATTGGAAATAGTAGTCGATAATGATCTGATGATTTGGCAATAAGTAGAGATTATGTCTTTCAATTATAACTAGAAAATGATAGAACACTCTGTGGCCTGATAAACAGAGAGAACTATGAACAGATATTTTAAAAAAATATTATTTGCCTAAAGTAATAACAGTCAAACGGCGTATAACAAAAATAATAATTATTATTATGAAAATAACGTTGTTTTGCAGGTTTTTTTTAACCACGTACCTTTGATGATAGAAAACAGACTGTGAATCACCTAAATTATTGACAAGACGAACTAAAGCCATTCCTTCTTGATACATTTGCAAGGTAATGACAGTCGCTTCTTCAGTTGTCTCGACTTCAACAAATATGCCAGGATACTGAAGAAGAAGAAGAACAAAGTAAAAATTCACACATGTATCTTCATAACTCTCAGCAATCTACCCTTATTACAAATTATTGATTAATCATTGTTGTTCGGTACACGTTTAAATACTGTGTATGAGAACATAACCACCAAATAAACATCAGAAAGTTCAATTAGCATGGTAACACTGACAGCCATTAACTATAACAAGTAGTTAAAACTGTAGGAATTAGGGTATCCACATTCATTCCTAATAGCAACTGATTATATATATATATATATATATATATATATATATAACGGTGAATCCAGGCGACGTGGCTGTTTATTTGCAGTCATGAGATTAGCCATCTTGATCTCTGGCTTATATTTACTGAAATAAATAGCTTAGTAGGACACTAAAGATCACCTATGGTAAAGTTACTAAAACCATCCATCAATAATCTTTAGGTTAACTTTATCAATTTGACATCAATGAATTCAGAAATGTTTGAAAATAGAGAAACTCACCTTTTGATCCAATCTCATGAAAGTTGAGTGTGACTCATAAATTGGAAATGATGTAGTCATAATATCCTTTTCAACACGACATTTCATTAACATATTCTTTGAATTAGTTGCAGTCGGCCAAAATGGTGCAGCTTCACAAGCAGGTACTTTAATCCATTGTGAGCTAACAGTCTGTGACGTTTTTCCATCACTTTCATCCACTTCACAACATTCAATATCTATCTACAAGTTGTCAGATAATACAAATAATAAAAAAGTAGTATAGTAAGTAGTTGCATTATGTTTGAAGTAGGTTATTTGCATTGTAGTGAATGAATGAGGCTCATATTCCAGCAGATGTGGAAATCATATGAGTTTGAAGTAGATAGGCTAAAACTGAACTAGAAGAACTTTTCTTCATCCTAACGATAATATTAAAATAGATGGCTTTCCCAAGAACTCCAACAGCTGACAACAACTCGTAAGTTGCAGATCTCAATACTTTCTCAAAATGCACATACAAATGCATAACTAAAGCCATTTAAGTTAATGAAGTTATAATAAATAAAAGAAATTTAATTATGAACGAGGAGGAACAAATGAAACGCTGGGTCGGTCGCTTCAAGGGACTTTTACCACCTGTAACTCATCCAGATATACCACCAACTGCCACAGAACTGCCAGTGAACAACAGAAGTCTTGAATTCCATAAATTTACTGAAAGTCAGTAGGGAAAGCAGCAAGACAAGATAGAATTCCCACAAAAGCAGTGAGAATGGGCCCAGAGACCACAGCAGGTATAGTCGCTCTACTATCACCGAAGGTTTGAATGGAGGAAAGGTAGCTAATAATTGAAATAACGGACATCCTATCAAGCTTCTGGGCGTCAGTGGTATAGCGGCAGAATGACTGCCAACCACGCATGTGGCTCGGGGTTCGATCACTGGCCGACTCACTAATTTACCTCACTAAGCCAGTATTACGACTAGTAAAGAGGGATGGTTGGGCATCAGGCTAGCAACCCCATTCCGTAAGAATAAACACCACTGCTGACGAAACTTCAAGTCTCTAGCTTGAAGCCCTATGTTCCACTGGGAACGTAAAGGAATAAAAATATTTTAAAAAATACCAAGCTCCTAGATAAAGACGACCTAAGCCTTTGCAGAAAATAACTGGGAATCATGATGATATCTTCCAAAAGTAAAATATTAAGCTGCATTGTCCTAGAGAGGCTAAAAGATGCTCTGGGTGCAAAAGTCTGCCTCGAACAAGCTGGATTTAAGAAAAACAAATCATTTGAGAATCAGATCACAACTCTACGCATCATAATTGCATCGACTTTGAAGAAGTCTTCAACTGCGGAGTATTTTGAAGACTTATCCAACACTACAGTGTACCCGAAGCTTTACCAACCTCGTTCAACAACTAAATTATGTCAATTAATTCACAACGAGAAGCTCAGTGAAGTCTTTGAAGTGAAAACAAACGTAAGATTAAGTTGCTTACTATTACTGATGATCATCTTCGTTTCTAAAGACTGGATCATGCAAAAGACTGTGGGAGTACACAAACGAGAATACTTTGTACCAACAAGAAGACACTAGAAGACTTGTGTCTAGTGTCACACAGACTCAAAGATCTACAGGTGAGAACCCAATAAGTTTGCTGAAGAGGCAGTACAGAGAGGACTACAAGGAGATACAGAGAAGACAGCCGTGATGAAGATACCTGAACCATGCAGGAAGGTGTAGATTGCTCGGCTAGGATGGTTAGGATGGTATGAGTAAAAGGTCGCAGACTGCTGGTGAAAGGCTACAGTCGGTTGAACTGAAGCATATGTGTTGCATTCATGTTACCTTTCAGATTTTGAAAATGTTCACTAATCTATATTTAAATATGTTATATCCCACTGCAATTACACATCTTTATTCTAGATGTGCGTTTCCAAAGTGTGACAACTTGGACTCAACCATCTTTGTGGAACAGCCTAGGCTGGTAAATCAGTCAATGAGTGAGGTAAGTGATTTTAGTGTAGCGTTGAAAAGATAAATTTTCTACAAAAATCTGCAAACAACATAAACAGATGGATAGATGAATATAAAACCTTGAACAGGAAGTAACGATTGAAGTCGCACGTCTTGACAACAGAAAAAAAAAACGAAAGTTGACAGAAACAAAGTGACAATAGTATCAATCATGCATATTTAAGAATAATAAAAACGTTGAAAACTTCCAAAGTGATAAAAGTAGGTTAGTACTACTATGACCAACTTGTAGACACCTCATTAATTAACATGTATTGATCACAGGAAATTTACTTAGGAAGTCTATAATTCCTTTCTCTGTACAAAGCAAAACTACGAGAAACAATGCCTTGATATAGAGATTTTATGAGGAACAGATGGACGAATCAACGTGAAATCATGCACAGAAGTGCATCAGATGTAAGTTCACATACTTCAAAACGGTGCACAACGTAAGAGAAAATAAGAATAACACTATGCTACAATAGACATATAAGGGTGTAAGGGTAAAGACAATCGTTTATTGAGGACTTAATTTAATTAAAAATTTCAAAGATCGCTTGTAATATATAGGTAGAACATAAACATCAACGGAGACACCTAACACAGCACATCGTGAATAGTATAGCTGCTAATAAACGAATTATCTCAGAAACTTCACTCTGCAGAATATTTGAACTGAATAAGTAACAAACTTACTAAGTTTTAGAAATACTCATCAGTGAGACATCACTTGGTGAATATATATTTAAGATAAGCTAAGCAAATAACTCGAATAGACGACAACGGAAAACAAAACTATTAAAGAGGTTACATATTTAAACTCCATCTTCATCTAGACTTTTATTTGAACCTTGTGAAGCACAACATTCTACCAAAGAAATTCATTCTAGCTATCAAAAATACACATACAGAAAACTACCAAATTAGTAAAAATAATGCACTTACGTTAGCTTTATTCACAATCAAGAAATATGGCATAAATGTTACAATCTTTGTCAACCCAGAACTTGATAAATTAATTTTTATTCCAACCTGTAAAAATATACAGGAAAATATACAATTAATCAAAAGAAAGTACACTTTTCTTAAAAACTGATGAAAGACACTTATCTTACTCAATAATCTAAAACTGAGCAGATGAAACGTGCCATTTTTTTAAAAAAGAGGCTAATTTACAGAAAACTTTGCTGCCTACTGATATTAGACGATCGAGTACAGAAAACAGAAGTGATGCCTAAAAACTACTTCGCAGTAGTTAGTTATTCATGAAGATTTAAAGATTTGTAAATTATAAAGTCGACCAAGACATGGATGACAGACGATATGTAAAGACAACCGTTTTATAAATCGAAAAGAAAACTTGTGACTTTCAAGAAAACTCTAAAGTTGAGAAGGTGAATAGTGGTTAAAGTTACAGATTCATTGTTGTTTAAAACAAAACTAACTAACACGAAAACGTTTCTGATGAAAGTGGTAGTTTATAAAGAGCACTATCTGTTTGTAAGATAGCATCAGCACGACACACCCCCTTGTACGTTAATCAGAGACACATTAGACTGCAAATAATGATGTTACAGTTCTGTCTCAAGGAACACTTCTCTGACAAAGGACAGTAGTGATTCTTATCCAGTGGATAAGCTCTGTCATTTTCCTCCTTATTTAATCATTCATAAATCAATTGTCTAGTTGTTCAACCAAATCTGTCTATCTGTTTTCGACATAGAACTTTGCACTGACGTGCGACAGTTCGAGTCGCCACACTCCATGTAGCACACAAAGCAACAGAAGAAAGTAGAAGAAATGCATAATAGAGACAGTAAACAGAGGTGTGAGACAAAGGAATAGTAATAACGAAGAACAATATAGTTTCATTGGAAATCATAAGTCACAAGGAGTGGATGCATCTGTGCTGTCATTGGGAACGATTTTGAGCCATTTGAGCTCAACCAAGTACAGAATGCCAGTGAGCATTAAAATAAAACAAAAAAAGTTTTCTGCATATAAGCATTCATGATAGGTATTATTTCTATTGGATTTGAACTAAACAGAGAGTTTTAAATAATTCCATTATGGGTAAAATTTGTCTTGATAAAGTCTCACAATGTCATACAGTAATGTTTACTGATGACCTAGTTTCGAGCACAACTGATTACTGCTCATAACCATATCAAGATACTCACACGACTTCCTAACTTCATTTATATAGTTCCATTATTTTTCGCTTGATTTGATTGGTAGTAGTATTTTCCATATTCCGGGTATGAGTGATGAATCATTCCTATTGCATGTGGTGGGTGTAGACTCGATGAACAGGGATTCAGTAATCAATCATGTGTGAAAACCTTGAAATGGTCATGAACAGTAATAAATTGTGCTCGAAACGTCATCAGTAAACATTACTGTATAACACTATGAGACTTTATCAGAACAAATTTTATCCATCATGGAATTACACTCTACCACAGTGCACAAGTTTCATTCTTATATCAATGATTTTTAAATAATGCCAAAAATGAGGAAAATTTCTAAATGGTTTATTCCACAAAGCTATTGTAAAGCCAGTTCATTCTCTCAAATTCATCGAAATAAAAGAATAGTCTTCAATATATTGTCAAATAAATCACATGAGTACCAATCATTCTTTATAATTATTAGTCTATTGCCTCATGTAGTCATAATATCTGATCAATAAATAACGAACAAAAAAGGAAAGAAAGAAAAACAACACTGAACTAACCTCATAGGAAATTTTAGATTTTGTTGTACAATGTACGCGACCTGCACTTCCAACAGTATCCAAAGAAAATTTATCAGACCAACCAGAATCACATACACGAACAGCAGCCTATGAAACAAAGAATAAATATGAAGTAAACGGATAGAAGTATCAGATTATTAAATAAAATAAAAAAGTGTATCGTGTTTATCTACAACAAATGACACAACATAAGTACGTCCACGAAAGTATTAGAAGGATGAAACAGAGGGAGGCAAACGGAAAGAGGGAGAGAGAGGTGTGCTTCTCCAAGAAAAAATAGTCGTAAGATTTCAGTGGTAAACATTTTGAGTAGACACTACAACCATTTTAGAACATTATATGGTTAATCTTCAAAATTTCTCAGTAGAAGTTGTGTAATCGACGAATTAATACCAGTCTACATCAATTAAACAGTAGTTGTGAAATGTCAGTGTATGATGGCTTTTTAAGAAGAAAATAATTTGGCAAAAATGTAAAGATGAACAAATCAAAAAATAGAATAGTAATTCATGAAGATTAACGACTACTATTTTGAGCCAGGCGTGGGAGTTGGGACATAGTCAGTCATTTAGGAATTAACGACTATACGTAACTGATTTTGAACAGACATATTTACTTTTCATGTTGGGAAATTTGATGGTTTTTTTAAATTATTATTCTATACCTTACAGTTATGGTTCCATATTATTGTATTGTATAATTATAACCTCATAAATCTGTACTTCTAAATATCTATTAAAAGAAAGCTGTTAAATGACGAATACTTCTATTATAAATAATCCACACACCAGACCGTCGAGTGGAATTCCAATGGGAAACGACGAGTTCAGTGCACGGGAGAGAGACTTGGGGATTGTGTGAGGAGGAGGTGAAACTTACAGGCAAATAAAAAGGACCGCAGATAACAGGAAGAAATGAAGATGTGTTGCTGAAGCCCTATGTTCTTAATGGGAACACACAGGATTGATATTATATATATATATATATATATATATATATATATATATATATATATATATATATATATAATCCAAAGAATAGGGAGGAATGAAGTCTGAAGTATACTTATAAAGAATCATATGCTAATATCATATTTTCAACGAATTTATCATCAAGCTGTACAGTCGGATATATATGGTTTTTTTTAAGAAGTTATATCCGGTGAGGGAATTGAATCTTAGGTGTGAATGCATAAAATAATAATATGAAGTTCAATTAGAACTAAAATGTTTGTGATTATAATCGTAGTTAAATGTCAAGTGGCAAAGCAAATTAATGTCATATATAGAATAATTCATAGGAGGGATAGAACTTGAAAAAGGGTGTGCAATTATAGAATTAGTAGACAAATCGAATAAAACAAAAACGTTGCGTAATTTATTGTGTGAAATTTAATAGCATAGAATTTATCGTTGTAAAAAGAATTGATTTAGAATGACAAGTGGAACAAGTGAAATAATACCGGGGCAGTTGAAAGTGAGAATAGTAATAATAACAACTGACGTAATAAGGAAGAGTATACAAATTGAATAGACAAAATGAAAAAATGAAAAATTGGTAGAGCTAAAATATGATTGGGGATTACCATATTTTAGCATAGAGGGATTAAGAGCATGAAAGTTGGAGGGGATGAACGAACTTTTTCTGTACACAGAGATCTGGCTTTTCTGTTTCGATAGCCAAAGCTTCAGCAATACAGATGAGTCGGGTACGTAGGGATTTGGGTAAATTACTCTTTGCCTTGTAGATGACTTTAAAGACGGAGGCTATAGATACAGGGCGATCATTATCTACCAGATGTTCAATGATGGCGCTTCTTATTGCTCCACTTCCACCTTTTCGTAAACATGTAGAATAGTGTTCTTGCACCCTCTTGGACAAAACTCGAGTCGAACGACCGATATACCTAGCTCCACACGAGCAGGTGAACTGATAGACACACACAGAGTTGGTCCTTCAGGTTATTGAACAATAATGGTCGGCTAGTAAAAGCTATTCTCAGAGATGCAGCAGGGAATGTTCTTTTCAGGGTCTGTGCTATCCTTCGTTTTATGATATCGGAGGCTAAGTCCCCTTTGAATTCCAAGCTCATGCAGAGTATTTTCTTGGGTACGGTTGATAAGTCACGTTTTGTAGGCTTTGAATGTATATTCTTATCTATAAAACGTGGTGGAAATCCATTTTCTATTAAGATTTTCCTTAAAATGTATAACTCATCTTCCACAGTATCATTGCTACATATGCGTCGAATACGATTACATTTCATATTATTAGTATTATTTTATGCATTCACACCTAAGATTCAATTCCCTTACCGAATATAACTTCTTAAAAACCATATATATACGACTGTACAGTTTGATGATAAATTCGTTGAAAAGAGTCTCTTCGCTGAATTACTTGTTTTGATATTCTATATGTTACAATGGGAATTTTCCATGACTTAAAGAATATCATATTTCACGATTTTAAAAAAATGATATCAAAACATTATTCTGGAAATCACGTTTAAACAGAAAAGAAAGGATTTTAAGAGTTATTTGTTGCAGATATTTACTCTTCGTATAGAATCATCGAAACTATATCGTCATTCTGTTTGAAAAAAAAACCCATTCCTCTACTATAGTTTCCCCTCTGCTATATTTTCACCTTCTTCTTGAAGGTGCACACTGGAAGGGTTGGAATTCAATTTAAAAATTTGCGCAAGTTCAAGTCACAATTCAAGGACATAATTGGAAGATTAAAAAATCAATAAGAAATGGTGAAAAGTTGATGCATTATATCCTGGATTGAAATATAAGTCTAGCTAGCTAGCTCAGAGGTTTAAGCAAGCCACTTACCCAATGAACACTATGAACTTGCAATTTTTATGAAAATAAAACCTTTCTGGTTTTTTTTATATAGCCTCAATTATTCAACAACCTAATTACACAGATAATATTTTGATATAATAATAATAATAACAATAAAAGTAAAGCTAAGCAGCAAACTTAGTTTTAAATTAGATGAATAGTTAGCTCGTGACAAAGTAATTTGTTTTAGCAAAACAGAAGCAAATCGCACCCATAAAAACAATCTAAACATCAAACCTAATATATATAATGCTATTTCCGCTGACGGTGTAGGTCAGCTCATAGTAAGAAACCGAAAGCTTTTCGTTAATAAAAACAAAAAAAGATAAACACAAGGTTAAAGTTCACGCCTGACATAAAAAAGAAATTTAAAGCAATTAATTCCTTTTATGAATTTCGACAACACAATTAGAAGACGTAGTTTATCTGAAACGTGTAATGTATTGGCGCAACACATTTCGGACATTCTGATCACACACACATACACACGAGTACTTGTCATACACAGTTTTTATAGAAGGCAAAAAAAGCATGAATAATTACAATACAGGTCAGATTGTGTACAGGTCAAGGTCACAAAATAATGGGTAGGGAGACGCAAAAGGTGTGGGTAAGAGAGATAAAGAGAGGAAAAACAAGGCAAAGAAGGGGGTTTGAAAATATTATGAAGTAAATTGGTCCTTGGTTCTAAACTGGATTACCAAGGCAGGTTTAAGGTGATAACAAATAACTTCTGGACGCATAAGACAGGTTTAAGTCTTTTTATGGCTTAGGCTTCAATGAATTTAAGTATGTGACCCAACCTTGTCTTATATATCGGCTTAAAGGCATTGTTAAAATCAACCTTATGAACCGTCTCTATAATATGCTTCGCTATAGATGATGTAGGACATCTATTTCCAGGGTCAATTGTATCTGGTGATTTTATTTGTTGTTGCAACCACTTTTGAATGTGTTCTTTTGCGTCTCCCTCCCCATTATTTGTGACCTTGACCTGTACACAATCTGACCTGTATTGCAATTATTCATGCCATCTTGACTTCTATAAAAACTGTGTATGACAATTACGTGTGCGATAAGAATGTCCGAAATGTGTTGCGCCAATACATTACACGTTTCAGATAAACTACGTCTTCTAATTGTGTTGTCGAAATAAAAAAGAAAGCCACAGATGAAAATACAAAATATATCATCACCAAACCTTAAAGCTATGAATAAACCTACAATGATTTTCGTTAAATAAAAAAGGGGTATAAATGCAAAAACAGCGATAAAAGAATTACAACTGTCTTTCAGATTAATATTATAGAGCAGCTAAACGGGGGCTAATCATATTAGTAAAAAAATCAAACAATACACACAACAGAAAATATACAAAATGTAGAGAATTAAAACAACAAAAAAGAGGAAAAAAATAAATGAAGCAATTCGCAGCAAATAATAATGATGATAATAATAATAACTCTTGACAGAGACCTGAATTTTACTACCGAATTTCAAAGAACGATTAGCCAGTTTACGTTTTGATGAAGACTTTTTACGCTTATTACTTGATGAGAATCGTCCACTACAGCAACTTGAATTTGAAGAATCTCTATGCCTTGATGAGATACGCCACCATTTTCTTGAAGATCGTTTCGATGATCGACTTTTTGAATGATCTGAATCATGATTATTGTGTTGTTTGGTTATTGGCTGTATAGTAGTCATCAGATGCTCGTCAGTTATTTCTGTAGCAAGATTAAATTGGAATTTAAACTATGATTACCTGTCTCAGAGTTTTGTCTAAACGACTGGAATGATGATGAGGATGCTGCTGCTGCTGGATGTAGTGGTGACGTTAAAGCCAATGGTTGAGTTTCAGTGTATTCAGTATAAACCTCTTCTTCATCGGATGAATGAAAACTTTTATTCCTTTGTATCTATGTTCATCATAAAATAATTGTTGTAAATTAAGAGAATATTGATGATGTAGGGGAATGGACGTGAGTGGTGAAATACACCAAGGAAATAGAAAAAAAGAGAATAAAAGTATGCTAATACTACTACTACTACTAATAATAATAATATTAATACTACAATTTATTTTATACATGTACTGTAGGTATTCCTTTCAGTCTATAGACTCCCAAATCGTATGAAACAACTCCTTAACACATGCTTTGTCTACTTTTGGGAATGAAAATTACTCAGTTAACGAGGAATATTCCCACAAAAAAAAGGGAGGGCGGGAGGGAAGGGTTATGCAGTACAACACTAATGAAACTTAGATGATCTCAAAAATAGAGGAAATAAGCATAAAGCATAAGAATCACAACAAAACGTGTCGTGTAAAAAGACAAAGGATTGACTTCAGATAACACGAGAGTGTAAGTGATAAATAATGAAGTGCACAAGAAATCACAGAGACGTTTTTAAAAAAAGAATGTGTAATGTGCAGCAACAGGAAGGTGAGTAGTGTCACAAAATGTTTGTTTTACAAATGGAAGTGTTAAAAACAAACAAATGAACAAAAAAAATGGGTGTGAAATACGAACACAACGATGACTAATCAATTTTGATAGTATTATTATTGATGAGCCTTTTTCTAAGGATAACACGCATCTGTGATGATGATATACGGGTTACACCTATAAGTACACACACACACAGTCACACACAAATACATGCTGCTGTAATGATCAAATCAGTAAACAGACTTTTAATCTTCACACTGAAGAAATATGTAGACACACTGTCAATGTGAATGCTCCTTTCAATAACTAATGAATGAATTTGCTATCATGTAACTACACTGAACAATAAATGGAGAGACAAGTGATTATACATAAGCAAAAAAATCACGATGGATGTGTCTCTGTATGCCGATGTATAAATGAAGGTATGTAAAAAGAATTTAATTTTATAAATAGAGTACAACTTGAGTTGTCATTTGGATTTATAAAGCTGAATATTCAACGGAGAAATATCTAACTATATTACTAGTAATGTATAAATGGCAAAGTTGAACTTTAAGCACCACTAACTGCCAATCAGAGAATGACCTCCAACGCACCAATCACGCGATGGAGGAATTTTGTGTATGGAATAAATTTATTGCACAAAACTGTATAAAAGTGTTACAGAGGATACCTTCTTCTCACTTGTGATAAAGATAGCTCTCAGTTTTAGGCTGGAGTATCAACAGAGTATAATTCCATTGTGGATAAAATTTATTTTGACAGAGCCTCATAATGTTATGCGGGAATATTTACTTAGCAATAAATAGTGCTCGAAACGTCATCACTAAATACTACTGTATAACACCCTGAGACTTAACCAAAATAAATTTTACTCACAATGGAATTACATTCTGACACAGTGCACAAGTTCTGTTCTTATATCAACAGAGTAATCTGATCACATTCTATGCATGCAATTATTCAAGTCTTCCGACTCTAACAATAACCCTAATCTTTCCTGAACCTAAGCCTTACATGAAAATATCCCCAAAATAACTGTAATGTAACGCAAATCGAACCTACTGTCACCTTCGTTAGGTTAACCTTACCTTAACTTGTCCTTGGCTAAAACGAGTAACTTAATCTTTCCCAAACCTAAGCTGAAATTTGCCGGATACCCCATTTTATAACATAATACTTCGATTGGTAAAATTTATTGATGATAACAATATTATTTGCCTGATTTCACTAACTTGTACAGTGAGAGTTTCAAGGTCATTGTCGTGGTCGCAATCCATTCATTGGTGGTGAGTGGTGCTTAAAATTTAACTTCGCCGTAACATGTCTGCCTCTAACAATTCATGGCGTACCTTTCTTCATTTTAGCTTTCCTCAGGGACTGATTACTTAAGCATTTTGAGTAATGACATTATGGTGTTATGCTCCATATATTCAGGTAAAGCTACTAGATGTACATTTTAGTATCACGATATTGCTGTTCCTTTCTTTTTTTGTTTGTGAGACGTGTGAGTGTATTGAGTTGTGAATATATTTAAACAAAAAAATATCTCAATCTAAGGCATAAAGATAAAGTAGGCGTACAATAGATTACTAATAGTGGGAAACTTACCTTTCTTTTGCCGAAAAATGATTTCGTCAAGGAGGAGTAGAGTAGAGCACCAGTAAATGTCGCTGGATGAGAAATTTCAGAGTCATCTACCGACTGTTATAAAATATTAAAAAATAATAATAATAAAAGGGTTGCAAAGCAAATAGCGTTTAAGATTGTGAAGAATGCATTCGATAGAAATAAAGAGGTTCAATAATCTAGCGAGGAAAATAATTCCAGTCGTGTGACAAAAATAGCAGCTTTTCATTTGACTCTGAAAACATTCTTAGGCTGTTACTGGTTATCAGACAAAAAGATGGACATTGTCAACACAAGAAAGGACATAGCTACTGCAGAGGATTGAGTTGTTACACCTTCAATCTCAACACCAAACAAATCAGGATAAGAAACGGGAAAACTTAATCATCAATAGTCTTAAGCTTCTTTAGGAAAAGGCGGAAGGAGTGGAAAGCCAGCAATCGGACTGTGAACTGTCTTACCATCATAATCTAACCATTGGTCCAAATTGTTTTCTAGACCACAGAGAGACAACCTACATTCCTTTACACATTTTAGACTTTCAGCTGTCAAATTCATGAATTGACTTCATTTATCATTCTGACAATCACTGCTCTTTACCACCTGAATCTTACTCCCACTAAACATGGCATGCAGTGATAGGTGTGGGTGTCTAATTCATACGCGAGTCACCAGCTGAAAATTCAAGTTCAACTTTTACAATGTTTTCCGGGTGTTTCTTCATATTAGCAGTGACCACTTCAAAAAATAAGGAATCTGCTAAAACCTGTAAAAAATAACCCCTTGAAAATGACGAAAAAGCTTAAAAGAAATGAGAGCCAATAATGTCGCTTTGCTTGACTTCACGAATTACCAATTACTTTATCTGGTAGATCATTCTTCCAATGTGCAGAGAAAACACATATTCTTCACAATTTCTCTTACATAATCCCTGCAATGCAGTAGAACAGATCGCTGAAGTATTGGAATAGCATTCTTTCTTTTAAAAAATCTGATGGGAGGAAATGCATTTTCCCAGTATCAGAGCAGTATAGCAAGTGTGGGAAAGCATAGAATCTATTGTGTTGTGATCATAAAAACTAGCCTTCTATAGAGAGTAATCCACTTTAAATTTTTAAATGGACATCATAGCTATCAGCTTTTGATTGTGTATGGAGAAATCAAAAATTAAAAGTAACCACTTGCTCTGAGATAGTAAGTTAAATGAAACTAAATGGAAGGAAGATAAATTGTCATGTAATAAAGATAGGCTTTACTACAGTGGAGTGAATTCACTGGCTTTGTATTTTCCCTATATTAACTCCAATTGAACGATTATAAAACTAGTTAATGTTGTACCCATATTATGCTTTTACACAAACTGATTTCTCGTATGCCTACTCAATGTTTCCCATTGTATAATTCAACATTGCCATCCGATTGACTTACAAATACTTTAGGTAGTTACGCGCTCTCTCATACTTTAAAGTTGGATTTCGCCTACAATGCATTTTTCAAGTTTTCACTTGTGCCTCTTAATAGAACATTGCTCGTAATCGGCCGTATACAGGACTTAGTACATCGTAGAACGTGAAACCGTGGATGTGTAATAGAATATTAATCGGATTTACATATAGTACGCTATAGCTTCATAATGTTAGATGCCATATTTGAAATTATTAATAAGACATTTGTGAATAATATGAAGCAGTGAATTTTTCTCATAACAAGTTACCAAACAAATGATGTCTATCAGACAAGATATTCTGCATGAGCACCGGCATGTATCTGCAATCTGTGCTATTTTATAGTTATCAAGTTTACTTTCCTTGATATTCTTGAAGTAACACATGTAAATAAAGTGAAATATTTTAGAATGGAGCTAAGACCTGGAAGTAAGGCGAAGTGTTAGTCTTTTGAAGACTCGATGGAGCAATGGCTGACTCATTGGTTTAGGCAATCGACTCATTCAGCTATGCTGCACGCCGCTACCACGGTCTAGGGGAACCAGTCACAAAAACTGTCATAAAAAAACTAACCAACAACAAACTTACTTTATAGGTTAAATCTTTTCCAGTTTTATTTATCATCCAGTAGGGTGCATAAAGTGTAAGACATATTTGGCCCAAATTAGAAATAGCATGCAATCCTAAGTGCTTTTATATGCATAAAAAAATAAACAAGAGAAATGAGAAATTGCAGTTATATACAGAGAGTCACTGGTGACAGGATATGCAATTTAATCATCTTAATCTTGTTCAATTATGATCAAAGATGAATTCAAACTAAGGATTACTTAGAACCTATTCTCTGTGATGAAACTTCTGTATGCTGTATATATATGGGACAGGTGTAAATTTTGATGAATTTTGATACATAATGATAAAGTATTAGAGTTTTTCACAAAATTTTCTTAATCAATAAATAGGCTTCAGTGGAACATCAGTCTTTAGTAGACTAGAAGTGAATTACTTGTTTTAGATAGCATCGCTAACTGCATAAATACAACAAAATAATACACTTAGGAAACCCTGTAAGACACAGGTCAGCTAAAACTATCATTCTAATGTAGCTCACTATTAACATTAGATTGTTACTTTTTAAAACTCGTATTCTTGTTTTTTTTCCTGTACGTTCCCAGTGGAACAAAGGGATTCAAGCTGGAGGTCTAAAGTTTCAGTAGCAGTGGTATTTATTTTAAAGGGATGGGGTTGCTAGCCCCATGCCCAACCTTCCCTATTTACCAGAGTCTTATTAGTGAATTGAGAAGGTGAAGGTGTGTCGACGGGGGATCGAACCCCGAACCACCTGCATGGTTGGCAAGCGTTCTACCGCTGTGCCACCGAGACGTATTCTTCTTTAACAACTGGATAATTCATACTTTCTATTTCTAGTTTTGTCGATAAAACAATCTACTAAGATATTGAGATTTTCATCCTATGTTCTGATTGATTATGTAGAGTAACATGCACAGCAAAGTCATAGAGAAATAACACTTAAAAAAACAGTAATTTTATGATTGATAATGCAAGTACTGTAAGATAAGTAAGTAGACGGAATACTTGAAAACCAAGATAAAGTATTCATGTTTCATCCTGTTTACGGTTTACACCGCTGTCGTCATTTTTTTACGAAGGACCCCAGTAGTATTCTAGGATAATTTATCATGCCTGTGTTTGATTACGCTGTGACATTCTCACAGTTTTTCCTACTGGATAACTGCTTTCTGTTGATAAACGAAAGTAAGTTAAATTTGTTGTTATATCCCATTGTATTAAATGTTGTAGCTGAAGAAATCCTACAAAATTAAAAATAGATCTAACGTTATTCTACCCCAATGTTTGTTCTTTTTCCTTTCATAAGTGTTGTTGGTTCCGTCGAATTTGTATATGAGGACATTTCTTGCTTACATGTTTCAAAGTGGACTTATTAGGAACTGATATTAGTCAGACAACGGCTAAAAGACAACCATTTTCTTCGGATTCGAGACACTTTACTGGTACAGCCTCGAAAGAATACAAGTCAGCTGCCAGAGTTCAAAGGATTATATGCTCTCGGAGAGTTGCCAATTCACAAAACGGTGTAATACTCATCCAGTATTGTTCATGAGTAGATTTCTTCACTTACACACTAAGACGATCATGAGTTTACATAACTGGTTCCTCTTCAATAAAAATTAAAAGAAAGATGTCTATGAACTGTATTTATTGCTCCAAGTGTAACGACAGAAGACAAGGGCCAGGCAACAGATCGTTTATTGAGGTAGATTTTTATGTATATTATTTTTCTTTATTATTAGCAGAGAAACAGCGTCTTTTGATTGGTTGTTTTCTCGCTGAAAGTTATTCTGTCACCTCTTTGTGGCCATTTCTTTGAAGGTCAAGACCATATATCTGCAAATCGTATTCGCCTATGCAAAGTCCTCGTTCTGGTATTTCTCATGAGCACGATTTGTCAAGTAAACACTGACGTATATTGCTGTCTACCGATTTCGGCTAGCAGACAGCTCTCACCGCACAAGTAGGACACCTTAAATGAGCTGGACTCACTTTACATAGACTCTATATTTGGATTTTTAAAACAGTTCCACATTTCACTTAATTTGTTTAAATAAAAAATTCAAATGTTATACACTTACCAAATTTGATACTTCATATTCGATACGTGATTCAAATTCAATAACACAATATTCATCCATTTGTGGGCGTAATTCCAATTTACCTCGATACATTTTTCGATCATATTCAAACTGATAATAAAATAAAGAAGTAAGAACTAGTAATAAGACAAAAAACTGTAAATGCGACAGGATAGATACGAATGTGCAGCCTAATTATGTATTTGTGCTACAAATTTAGTGTACTGAAACACAAGAAACATGTGTACACATTTAAAAAAAAGGTGTCCAAGAGTAACAGATTAAAAGATTTTAAACTCAAAGTAAAAATGATACATTTTTTGATAACATAATATTAATCATACACAGCATACGGAATCTGTGAATGACAGAAGACATTAGTATTAGAGAGTATGAGTTACTTAGCTACCTGAAAATACATTCCTAACTGCTAATACCAAAATTTAATGGGCCATAGTATATTGGTGCCATGTCAGAGCCTAGTGAATGCATTGACCAGTCGATCAGCAAACACCTAGTAACATTTTAGGACTAGACAATTACGACAATCACCACTTGCAACAGACTAGCACATGGTAAAATCCTTGACAATTTGAAGTGATTTTTGATGGGTATTTTAGTTAAACAACTTTCACGCTGATTGACTAACTGGTAAATCAATGTGGGATTATTTTACAAAAAAGTGTATCATTTCAAGTTACATCTATTCCACATGAAACAAAAGAGAGACTTAGTAATATTAAGATGAACAAACAAGTGTGGCTTGAAGAATAACTAATGGGAGGTTAGAGAAGATATCAGGAATATGGAAAATGACAAGGGATGAATACATCTGTATCAAGTACAACCGTTATGAGACATGTCAAAAACGATGGTCCATTCTAAAGAACCCAATCAGACAACCTTCACTAATATGTGACTCAGACCAGAGTCAACTAAGAGGAAGTTAATTTCTTTCTTATCAAAGCCAATCAGGGAACTTCTTGAGGTCAGTCACACACGACAGGAGATTTCTGTGTACAGATGAACTCAGCCACCGTACAGCACGTACAACTTTGGGACTGATTTTTAACCTCTCCTCCCAGTAAGAGAAGTAACAGTAGTAGCTCGCCAAAGTGGACACCTTAATTTCGATATACCCATTTCCAACGCAATCATAAATGTGCTCTTAGATTCCCCCCCTCAGTGATAGCAACAGTCAAGTAAAATAATTTGAAAATTATAACAGGAAGTTGATTTTATAACTGTTGATGTTAGATGGTTGGAGGCAATCGGCAGGAAACCCTGAACCTAGTTTTCGTGCTAGCTGGCACTCATCAGATACGGCATGCTGATGAGTGCCAACTAGCACGAAAACTAGGTCCAATGCTTCCTGCAAATTGCCTCCAACCATCTGATAGCAACAATTCCCAGTACACTGTGATGACGAGCCACCTAGCATAGTAGCCACCTAGCAAGCTTGACTGATAGAATTCAGCCTACACCGAAGATAGGACCAGACACATTAAACCAGTTACTGGCTAGTGTTCAATCAAAAAAAAGGATTTCGTAACTGTTGAATGTGGAGAGGGCTCTTTGAAAAAAATACCAATCATTCATATTTGACTTTTAGGCAATATTTTGAGTCCAAAAAAACCCAGAAATTTGAGGAACAAGTTAAAATAGGATTTTACTCACTGATATTTCTATAGTAGCATTGTTTGGTCGTACAGTTTTTAGTGCACAATGATTCCCAGCGGGAATTTGTTCTGAAACATCCTTAAAGAGAAAGTTTGAAAACAATTTATAGTTAGAGGCAAAATTAAAATTATTCTAATTTAGGTATAGTCAAAATTCAAGCGAAAAAATCTCAAAAATTTGAAATCAGAGGTGACAAGTGAAACAATTAAAATTACTAAAACATCTGCCAAATGTCCTCTTAGCATTGGTATATTGTTTAAAAATTAAGAAATGAAATGGTCGAATCCCCTGACTAACCAATCAAAGTTTATGAGATATTGAATTGCCCTATCAAAGAATATGTGTACTAAGCACTGATTCATAATATTAAACTCTCAAGTTGACTGTTCAAATGATAACGAGGTTATCGATTTTTCTGCATAATCACAAAAGTCGGATAAGTATAGGAACTCAACGATACCATATTTCGCCCGTGTTCTAAGTGACATAGACAGTGTTAAGAGCGAAACCTATGACTTGCTTTGTTGTTAATAACATAATTTTGGCCCTTTTATTTCTCCCTTATACTCTCTTATTTGTATTCGATAGTGAACACAACCTTCTTAAATATACTTAGCTACCTAAAGTTATTGACATTGGGTTACTTTTTTATTCTTTATTCTATTCCTTCTTTTGTGTATCTACTAGTCCCGACTATATTAGCACTATGAGTATTACAAAATTGTCCTGTCATTAACCATCACGTAATATTAGTTTTGTGATTGTTTTTTTTTGTTCGGCAATATTAAACTGACAATCTAGGTTGTGAACGCCGTTATCACCATCCAAAATTTTTTGTATTATGCATGATTACTCACACTACCACTACAAAAACCGCATTAGAGCTGACAATAAAAAAACCTGAAATGTTTATTTTATGATTGTTTAGTGTAGTTCAATCAAATTAACTGATCATCTTGGCTATAAACATTCTTAATAAAATTTCATAACTTTCTTGTATGATTAAAGTTGTTACTGTTCACCACGCATAAACATATCATAGCTACCATTACCCAATACTGAAATATTATTTATTATTGTTGTTTATTTTCCTTTCTACTAGGTTTATTTTTTCTTTTTTTCATCATTTTTGTTTTTTATTGTTTTTGAAATACTCCTTTTAAATGTGCGATGAAATTAGATGCAATATTGTAGATACGTGCTGAAAATACCATACTGTACCACTAGTACTGTTTCTGGAATAAAGCAAATTATTATTATTAAATGAAATATTCATCTAAGAATAATACATTAAAACGTCTATCAACTTTGTGGATAAGAAACCTTCTGCATGAATGTACATATTCTTTATACACAAAACAAAAAAACAAAACAGGAAGAAGAGCTTGACGCAGTCCTACTATAGAATAAAACTTACTGGTAGTATGAAATGTATTGGAAGAGGCAGTTGGTTGTATAAAACAACAGCATTCTGTACAACCATTTGAAAATCACAATCCGATGGAGACAGTTTATCTCCACTGATCATTTTCATTTGTGCTGTACGTAATTCATCGGCTATTGTAGTCAGTGATTTTTTACGTGAATCTGTAGTGTTCACCACATTGGTGGTGGTGCCTTTGCCACTTCCAGCAGTATGCTCAAAACTACGCTGTTGATTATAATACAATACAGCGACAGAATAAAAGTAAACTATTTCATTGAAATGTGATTGACATTCCATTAATTGATGAGGCCATCGATACTGTGATGCATTGGCATTTTCATTCTCCGCATTACTTGACATAGATTCAGCACATGGAGCAAGAAACGGCAAATTCACGTCATTATCTTTAGCGCATTTCATCAAACCGCAAGCGAATTCAGGCCAATATGCAGGAGTAACTGAGAGGATCGGTCTACGGATGATAATAAAATAATACATTGGACCATGAAGATAGCATAATTCATGTGTAAACATTAATTATGAAGGTTAAGAAATAGGGAAATGTTAATGTATTCAACAAAATAATCTGGGATTCAAAACATATAACATGCATTCCATCCTAACACTGTATGTGAACAAGTACAGACATGAATCACGTTGAGAAAGTATAGAAATCTTAGTTTTTCAACTAAACCACATGTGTTGCGGACTAAACGACTAAGTTCGTTTACACGCGAATAAAATGGACAAAGCAAATACAAATATGTATGTATGTAGAGACAAATTCAGTCCAAACAAATTCATATACACATAAAATACAGTTACTTGGTGAGTTATTATTGTCCCAAAATGCAGAATTCGCTATGGCAAGTGTGACAGAAAACTTAAGAAACGCATCAGATTACTTCACTGTCACAGGATTCCTGCTCTGCTTCAAACCACCGAAAATACCCATCCAGTCATGAAGAAAATAAAAGACAGATTCAGCGAAGAAAATTTTCTTTATCGACGAAATCATCTTCACAGGCTGTACAGTCGTATTTATACTTACAAAAATATATAGTGGTCTATTATTGAGTAATAGGGGGTGACATTATTGATATAATTACTCAGAAGTGGCTTTAGAAGTGACAATTAAAAGTTTGTACATTACGTGGTACTCAACGGCACAAAGTTAAAAATTTGATAAGGTTAAAATTGCTATAAAGGTATTGGAGTGTCAATTTAACAAGTGTGAAGAGGGTGTGAAATGTACAGATGGAGCATATGAGAGTGATAATAGTGAATTAATTATTAAAGCAAAAGCAAACTAAAAGTAAAATTAAAAAAAAAGAAAACATCAAATTTTTTTTACAGGGAATGATTAGTGAAGAGGTTAAGACCAAAGTAGAATAAGAAACTGGACAAACTTTTTCTGTATACAGAGTTCAGAGTTGTATTGACGAATTGCTAGCGCCTCCGTCATACACAAAAGCCAAAACCTGACGCCCTTTGTACCATTTACCTTCACTTTGTAGATGATGTTGAAAGATGACTCTGGTGGAGCTACGTGACCTGAGTTCACCAAATACTCGAGAATTGAACTAGTAATTGTCTTGCATTGTCTCTTTCCTAACCATGCCGGATAATGTTCAGAGATGCGTTTGGAAAGCGTGCGGTTTGTGCGGCCAATATAACTAGCTCCACACAAGCAGGTGAATTTATAAACACACATTAAGGTGACCCAAAGCGGCAGTTTATCCTTCACACATCTGTTGATCATTTGTCAGATGTAGAAATTGATACGTAGCTCAGCCACAAAGAAGGCTTTCCTCAGTGATCTGCATAAGCGATTCTTCAGGATCTCAGCTGCTGTATCACCTTTACATTCAACACTCATAAATAGCAGTTTCTGAAGATGATTTCGTCGACAAAGAAAATTTTCTTTCCTGAATCTATCTTTTATTTTCGTACAGAGTTGTAGTGATGATGTAGTCCGTTTTAGTATGCAGTTGCTCACTCCACTCCAAGAGTATGCCAACAGGCAGAGGGTACTTGTGGAGAGAAAAGGAGATTGAGGCAAGCGATCCGAATGTGAATATACGGATCAGGTACAAGTCAGAGATGATTGGCAATAGTGGAAAGCAAGAAGCTGGAGAGAGAAGTTGTGTCGTCCGTACTGCGCTCTGAACCAGGTCGTGTCCTTATTTAATCTCCAGTAACAGCGATGATGTGCAGTGAATTTCAACTATTTTAAAATAAACGTATAATCCGATATTTTTCGACCTCCACATATGACAATACAAGAAAACACAAGGACAAGAAAACGTCGTCAATTGCTGATGAAATCTGAACTGAAATTAACCGGGATGGATAGTGACAGCATTGGGATTAGCACATTCGGACTTAGAGCATATAATGATACTGAAAAATTACATATGCACTTATATATTGACCTTCTCTTAGTAATATTTACTGTTACACTCGAAAGGGCCTCGCTTTTTGACTTAGAAAATGAGAAACAGTCATTAACGTACCCATTTTATAATATGTAGCAGAAAGCAATCACGCAGTCTGTGAAGCATTATTCAGTATAATTCGAAAGGTGCGAGAGAGTCTACCAAAAATTGGATGATTACAACATTTACTTTGTGTAGAAAAAAGCCTTAATAACATATCTAGTGTGAAGTCGGAACTCAGTGTATGAAGACAATTTGTACAATCCATTTCGTCACCTTAGACCTAATTTTTCTTATAGTAAGCATGGGATTTACAAAATTTACTAAGTGTCTTTCGTGTTACTTTATTTTGTTGAATTTGTATCATTTAATGCTACAACCACCAGCCATGTTAATATTTAATTTTATCTTTATTTTTAATGATATATACAAGCTTTTTTTCCTTCACGTTCCCCACTGGAACATAGGGCTTCAAGCTAGCAGCTTGAAGTTTCTGTAGAAGTGTTTATTTTTACAGGATGGGGTTGTTAGCCCCATGCCCAACCTTTCCTCTTTACCAGGATTATTTCTGGCTTAGCGAGGTAGAGGAGTGCGTCTGTGGCCGGGGATCCAACCCCGGACCATGTGAATGGTCGGCGAGCGTCCTAACCGCTATGCCACCGATGCACTACATAATAATATAATTCTATGATACCATACTTGGCACGTATTTTATGGGATGAAAATAGTGTCAGGCAACAATTAACTAACCTTTTTTCATCTAGTAAATAAACAATTTCCTCTATCCATCCATCCTTATATACCTTCAAGTTTGACTTTTATTATTTCTATCATATTTATGATCCTGTTACTTCTTTGTTTTACTCTCATAATTGCAAACACCAACTTATCTCCATGACTGCTGTAATCTTTGTTTTTCCCCTCACCATATCATGTATGGAGAACATTATATTCAGTATTTTTAAACATGCTAGGATTTCTATACCGCATTGACAATACTGTGTGAAACAAGCCCACTGCAATTTTCACGTATATTATTATTATTATTAACTTAGCTGTTATCATTATTATTATTTCCATTTTATATGCTGCATGTTTTTGACATTACCTCTATTGTAAATGTGGAAAATTTTCTGTGTGATTCATTTTTATTTATAATTTGAGGAAATTAGATGCAATATTGTGATTAATGCTGAAAATTCCATTCTGTATCACAAGTACTGTTTTTGGGATAAATTAAATTATTATTATTATTATTACAAGCTTAGTCATATTTTATTTCCCCGTTTTATTACATGTGACCCGATAAATTCACATATTTACAGTAATTTATTTATGTTGACCTTTTCTTTATTTATTCATTCATATTTCTAATCAATTTGTGATTTGTAATCATTGAAACCAATATTAATATAATGACAATTCAATATATATTTCTATCCACTGTTAAATTCTGACAGGCTTGTCTACACTGTTTAACTATGAAAATGAAATCATCCCATAAGGTGAATATTATTTTATTATTAGATAAATGTGATTAACAGTTCAGTTTAACACATTCCTCCTATTAAGTTAATTAAATCCACGCAATCAATCGATTTCCTGACTATAACCCACTGTAATAACAGTATTTTTTTCTAATATCCACGCATTCACGTATAGTTTTTCAAATAGAAGTGATTGAGAGAAAACCCCTTTTTTTGTAACTTCATTTATTGAGTTTCCTGATTTTCGAATATTGGTTTGTAGGGATTTTGTTCAATTGTTTGGAGGATTTCATCATTACATGACACTGGACAGTTGTTTCGTCATAGTTTGTGACTCTTCATCAGCACGCATCCACTGAGGTTCGAACCAAAGACCTTCTGGTTACAAGGCGAGTTCGTAGACCATCAGGCCACTGGGACCCAATCCAATTTACGGCCCATGAATTCCAACTTCTGCCAATTCACGATATAGCACGACCGTTCAGTAATGTCTTCTTCGATGAGTAACTATCCTCACATTCGACCTGCTGTACCTCACTGGTCACGGCTTCCCAGTAGAAGCCCAGGGCCAATTCGCTAGTGAGCATCAGATATATAACCAATAATAACAGGCATCAATCCCCCACTACCAATGACAGAAATCTAAAATAACCTCCTTCACCTGTCTAGACAGCATCGTTTCAACTACAGACAGGTGGAACGGACAAGGATATCATAGGTAGGAGCAAAAAAGTAGGATAGGCCTCCATTAGTCTGAAATCAGTGTAGGGATGTTTTGTACTCGGAGTACGGAACAAGATTTGAATTTTCAAGTCAGTGTTTCAGAAACTTGGGGCGTCAGCAAAAGGAATTCCAATAGGCTGTAAAACTTTGCCAACACTATCCTTAGCTCCATACTGAAAATCAGAAGGCCACAAAAAATAGAGAAAAAGGAACTCTGATAACAAACAAACTAGGAACCTATTTCTCAACAAATATGCAGAAGAAAATAGAGATGAATTGGACATATGCTGAGGAGACCACTGAGTAACATAACGCGCCAAGTAGGCCCTCAAATGAAACCCAATTGGGGAGCGTCGAGATAGGTATCCTAGGGTGACATGGAGGAGATGAGAGCTTATGGACAGCCGTGCGGTCGGCTAAAAACGACCGAGCAGAGTAGGGTGAAATGGAGATGTGCTGCTAAAGCCTTAGGTCCCACTCTGAATCCAAGGGAGTTATAATATAGTATAATATTAGGTGTGAGGACCAAAAGTTCAAATTTTTGCATGCATCTGTTTACTTGTTATTGTTAAATTGTGGTGAGAGCTGGCTGCAAGCCAAATTGGTAGACAGTAATTTACGTCAATATTTATGTACCTAATATTGGTCGTGAGAAAAATGAGAACAAAGGCTTTGCGTAGGCGGATACATGATCTGACATTCAAGAAACAGCCACAAAGAGATGAAAGATTAACTTTCTGAAAAAACCAATCAGAAGACTGTTTTTCTGCTAACAATAATCTATAGTAATGTACACGAAAATATAAAAATATGTGTTGATTTCGTAAATAAACGACCTGTTACCTGGCCCTTGTCTTCTGTTATTACAATATGATGACCTGGTCTCTTAGCTCAACTGGTAGATCGTCCGCCTAGTAATACGGTAATCGTTAGTTTGGAACTTACCATGACCAAAATTTTAATTTCACCTTCAATCATCACTCATTACATTAATAACAGTGTAGTGAATGATTCAAGACTATTTCAGACAATCTCAACATCGCTTAACGATTTGTCGAATAGATTAGTAAAAACACTGAACCCATTGGTGACTAACTGACTCGATTTCAACAGAGAACTTTTGAACAGAAAGGTAGACAAAGGAAAGAGGATATTCAAAAGAACAGTAATGAACAGAAATGTGCGCGAGGAAGAATAGTAACATAGAAAAATAATGAAGGTTCTAGGAATATGGGAGATCATAAAAAGTGAATGTATATGCGGCTCTGTGAACGATTTTGGGCCATATCAACAAGTCTCCAGCCATTGGTCTTTAGCATCCGGAGGACCCTAATCAAACAGTCTACACCTACCGTTGTAGCTCGAATCAATGCACTGATGGCAGGTTTCGGTTTCACACTCCTAATCCTTTCCAGCATAATCCTATATCAGCTAAGGTTGTCAGTTGAAGAAGGCAATGGTTCAGCATGCTCAACATGTGTCCTCATCATGAGGCTATATCTATTGGTACCTAATATCATGATACCATGTATACTAAAATCAAAACCTGAATTTTTGAAATCTAAGCACTCAAAGTGAGGTCAAATATGAAAAAAATTAGACTGGAGATAGGTATTGTAATTTTTGCTGTTTGACTTCATTTCTTCTTGGATTGCATTTCTGACGTTGATTTAGATATACAATACAGTGTTATTACATAAAAAGAAACCATCAAGACAATAAATCAAGTAAACAAGTCACAGCGAAAAGATGGTTATATAATAAACCAAAGGAAATTTTCCCCATTACAACGTTTCATAACACTTAGAGGAACTCACTTTTCAAATTCTGGTCCAATAAATATACCTGTATACTGACGAGAGCTAACCAACTCAACAGGAAGGGCATATGATTCACCTGCATCAATGACTGCTAGTAAGCCAGGCTGTTTCATTGCGGAAGATTTGATTAAATGTGAATAGATGCAGATACGTTCAGAAGTTCGATTCAACACCTGATAAAAGGGTAATGTTAATAATAACATTAGTAATACAGAATTATGACAATCTGTGATTTTATTAAGCTAAATTTCCACTAGATATGAGTATTATAAATAAAAGCTAGGAGACAGTTACCAAATAAGGGAGACAGATCATATGAGATAATGAAATTCAAGCATTCAAGCGTATCACAACACAGAATTTGGATTTGAATCCCAACAACTAGTAATTATGGGAATGATAATGAATGAAGCTAGAAATTTATACTTAAAAAGTTACATTGTATAAACAGAGAGAAAATTCAAAATGGCTCCATTTTTGATTATCTTGTGGGTGTGTAGCGGAGTGAAAACATCCAAATGATTTCTCAAATACAAACCACCAATGAGTTTAAAGATACATTAAATTTAGATTTCGAAGATAAAAACATCTGGGAAATATGATTATTGCATTGATCTTGCTTTACAAATCGATATTATTTAAAAAACACTAATATTGTTATTAACTACCAACCTTGAATATTCTGTGTATATAAACATGTATATAATTGTAGAGCCAGAAGAGGAATTTATTGAAAAGAATATTCTTTACTCGATTATGTTGTGTTTTACAAATATGATTATGTCAACATGATTTATGTAGCTAAAAAGAAAGCTTCTGTGTTTCCTTATAATAGATAAAGATAATAAAACTGGGTAGTCAAGGGATAAACACTGACACTAGTGTTATTAAACCAAAATAAATATAAAAAGGGATGAGGAATTATTGTTTTGATTATTTTAATGTATTCCTTAACTTTCCCAGTGGAATATAGGGGCTCCAAGCTAGAGCTTGGGAGTTTCGGTAGCAGTGGTATTTACTTTTTACAGGATTGAGTTGCTAGCCTCATGTCCAACCTTCCCTCTTTACCAGTCTTATTACTAGCTTGGCGAGGTAACTTTTACTTTACTTTTTACTTTACTTCGGCTATCTCCTACGGGAGGATGAACCGGCTTCATGAACATCTCGAATGTTTGTAAGAGAGTTGATGAAGTTTCATGGGAATTGGGTACGAGTGATGTCCCCAGCATCGCTCCGCGAGGTAAACGAGTGCATCGGTCGGGGATCGAACTCTGAACCACTTGCGTCGTTGGCAATCATTATACGGCTATGCCACCGACACTAGGTGAGGAATTACGCTATCGCAAATCAAACTTGCTACCCTTTCATCTCAGTATACTTGTATGTGTAGAACGAAGGTAATCAATCACGACTTGAAGTTGATTCTATGTTAAAGACCTAGAGGTATGCTATAATCATATCAGATGTGACGTTTGGCTGGTTTAAAGGTATTCTATCAACCTTTTATGTTTGCTTTGTTATGCGCGAAATAACCTCACGATAACCTTTACTATCACTCCTAAAAAAGCGATAAAGATTCGCATTATATATATATATATTCACCAGTTCGACAAATTGGAAAATGATCAATTATTGGGTCAAGTGGTCAAATGAATCTATCAATTCAATGAAAATAGATTTAAGTGGACTTTCAGAAGAGTTGTTAAAAAGAAAATATATATATTTGTTCTCTGAACAGATGTTTGTTTTTTCTTCTATTCACATGGATGAGTTGATGCATTCCGTCATCTAAGATAAAAAAGCTTTGACGATTTCACCCCCTTTCTAGTATATTTGGAGTTTGTACGCCAAAAATATGATGAAGACTTAATGTGACTACTTTATTGTGTTAACAAGGTTAAAGATATCATTTTCCTGATCTAATTATTGTAAGAATAAGATTTCAATTTTACAATTACCTGAACAGTCGATCGAAGAGTAATCGACTTCATACCTAAACAGGCATTAACTTCCGCCATTACTGGGAAAACTGTATTGTAATTTGAAGAAGTAGTTGTAGCAGAGGCATCTTTTGATAAGCACAGTAAATCACTGTCACCACGATATAAACGAAATACAGCTTCTGTACTAGGTGGACAACCACCACCACTACCATCACGACCAGCCTGTGTTTTGCTACTGTCAGCCAATGAAATCCAGATATGATGACGTGAATCCTTTGATGAACTCGAGGAAAGTACAGATTGTTTCTACAAGAAAGAGGAAAAGAATTATGTAGCTTATAAAAGGGTTAAGTAATAAATATCACTGACAGTTGAAATAACGATGAAACAATGAAGCAACCGAACAAATCTTTGACATATTTAGGTGAGAGATTTAAAATTTGACAGGTTGTACAGTGATCAGCAGTATGAACTGATGATAATACAACGAAAGCACACACATTAGCATACCCTTATACTTACGTGAGCGGCAATAAAACCCTCTGTTAGGAAACCACAGAAAATGTTAGTATTTTGCGACATACGTATGCAGACACATGAGTACTATAGGGCGAACACCTAGACAGCTTAACAAACGCATTAATGACATCTTCGTTCATGGTTCAGAAAAGGTTAAATAAAATCCATACGAAGTTCTATTTTGGCTCATTTGATTGATAGCGGTCACCAAGTGGACAAAAGTAGCGCCTTCAAAGTTATCTGTCACATTCCATCGAGCCTTTCGAACGGAATTCGAACCCGTCTTTTACACATAGCCGAAGCTATGGGAATCAATTCGACAGAACAATCCCAGTGTCGCTGCATACAAAAGAAGTTTGTTCTACCTTTGTCTCTCTCTTGGCCTAGGTGAATTCTATTCAAAACCCTCCCAACCGCTCTTATTTTCCATCTCCTTCGTATTTCTATGATATTTATTTAAACTCTGATTATCTGTCCACTTCACCTTTAGTATTACGTAACTTTTAAGATTTGACCTAATTTATTTATTGAATTGTCTACGTATACACATATTACTACCTTTGTTATTCTTATCGCCACCTGTATGAACCTTATTATCAATATTTTGTTATCATTATAATCATCGCTATTAACTAAGTTCAAAACATTTACCACATTACTAGTTTTATTATTATTATTTCATCCACAAAATCACCGTCATTGGTTAAAATTTTTATATATAAATCTATGTAAATTAGAGTAAAGCCTGATGAAGATCTAATTGAGAACAATATTGTTCGCTTATATATCTTGTTCTAATATTAAAAATGGGAATATTTAAAGATACAGTAAAAATTCAGAAGTGGATAAGTGTTCGACTTTACACTAATTAGTCATGCGTATCATGATACTTCTCCCCTGTATGTCTGTGATCCACTGCAGATTTTGTGACATTTCTAAGAGCATTCAAATGTAGTAACAGATTTTTTCATGACGCCCGTGTAGACATCTACCAGCAGATTATCACGTTAGTAAGTCTGATGTCTATTCCAAAATTGACATTTGTCAAATTAACAAATTTGTATCCACACAGAAAGGTGAATATAAGACCAATGTGTTGATATACAGGGGACAGTTCCACATAAAAATACAATGAAAGAAGTCAATCAGTATGTAGTGACATGAATATTGTAGCAATATTCGAACAGGCCGCCAGGTCAAGGTAGGTAGATTTTCACTCACTCACGAGGCGTGCAACATAGATGGCACTGAAATAGAAACCAAGTAGGAAATTAAATACCCAGGCGTCATTCTATCTGCTGATCTTTCCTGGTCGTCTTGATGATTTCTAAGAAAATATTCCGTCTTACCTTCTACATCAAGAAGTTAAGACATTCTGGTATAACCCAACCCTTACTCCTACAATTCGTTAACTCTTGCATCCTGCCTAATATTCTATATTGTTCCCCCTTAGTTTTTCCTGGGCTGGGCTACTGAAGAAAGACTATACCTTATTACGCAGAACGTTAAAAGTTGTCAGCAGGGTGAGCCAAAGGGTGCCACTTAACCAGCATGTTAATATTTTGGTTGACAGGCACTTGAACTCATGTGAAAAATGGGCTAAATCCATTCTATCTAACTCACACCACCCTCTTCATTCACAACTCTCCCCTTGTATCTCATCAGGCAAAACAAGAAGCCTATATAGAAAACTATATGCTCGCACTAGAAAGTACAAAAACTCAACCATAACCTACTTAGCTCATGTTCTGTGCGATAAAGAAAGCATTAGGCGTGAAACTTATGACTTATTAAATAGTCAGTAGAACAACTGGATCTCGTCTTTCCAACTCATATCATTTATAGGTACAACGTTTTCTTTCTTTCTTTTCCTTTTCTCTCTCTTATGTGCTGCTTTGTTTCTTTCTTCCTTACTAACTCTATGTAAAGCATTCTTCTTCGTTCTCTCACACTCTGTATATCTCGACCTTTTTGTTACCGCTTACGCCAGTAAATATGCTAGCATCTACTTTTCTAACACCTTCAAACACTCTGTTCAATTTTGGCTTTGCTACTGACATGCCAATATGTTGTTGTCATAATGAACTGAGATTACCTTAATCTATGTAGAATTTTATTTATTGATAATGTACTAACTGGATGCAATACTGTAGTAAAATGTTGAAAATTCCATACTGTATCACAAGTACTGTTTTGGAATAAAGCAAATTATTATTATTATTATTATTATTATTATTATTATTATTAGCAACATACTCTGACCAATTGTGTTGCTTTCGAAAACCAAGCAATATGCTTCCTAGAAAAAGTAGAACTCGGAGTAGAAAAGAAATTGGCCGAAACGCATGCAGCTTAAATGATTTCAGGCACATGGAGTAAGAGCTTGAAACAAAATTCGACACAGAAACACTGTTCGATGGGATTTGTTGAGGGTGTAATTCCTGCGTATATATAGTTAGCTAAACTTTATAAATTAAGGCAATAACATAACATGTCGTAAAAGTACTAACCTTTTCTGTTTTAACTAATTCAGTTAGCCCAATTTCCTGTTTAGTATTGAGTACTATTGAATTGTAATGTGTACTGCCTGATCCGATTGATTTATCCAAATGTTGAATATTGCCAGTATTGTCAAGTTGAATAAGTGATAAAGCCTGAGAATTATAACGTATGCCTAATTGACAACCAGTTTTGTTGACAATACGATAAGGTGCTATAATTTGATTGGCCGAATCGTCATCGTACTTAGATTTGATGTTTTTCAATTTATAAGCTGCTTCAAATGACTGAAATGTTAATACGGAAAACAGTAAATCATAAAATGTATAAATTCCATTGGAAATAGTAAAAATACACATCAAAAGAATGATTATTGGATCTATCCGTGTGAAAAAAGTACTAATTGATATCTTCAGGAAATTGATATGTATGTGGAACACATATCAACTGCAGCTGTCCACAGACTTTTCCCTTCATGATTAGGCGTTTAATTATTAATGATAAGCGAAAACTTCTAAATCTCTATACTTAGTCTGTTTCTGATAGTTTCACTCATTTCATATTATACTTTATTAGGAAAAAACAAAAAGAAGTTTGCAGAGAAGATTTTCTTTGAAAGGAAATCATCAACCAGACTGTAGATTCGTGAATATATAACAAAGGGATAACAAGGTCCCAGAACTATTTCCTGTCGATGGGCAAACTATAACGATGATGATTGTGTTTAAAAGAGCTCGCCTTGTAACCATAAGGTCCTGGGTTCGAACCCCGGTGAGTGCGTACAGCTGAAGAGTCGCAAACTTGGACGAAACAGCTGTCCAGTACTCCCAGGTTTTCCAATGGTTCTCTAACCAATGTCAGCTCATGATGAAATCCTGTAACCGATTAACCAAATCCCTACAAACCAATACTAGAATATTCTAATCTGTGACTATCCTTTTGTTATTTCCTAATGTGTATATCCCATTATCATCTGCCGAAATTGTTATCCTCTGCACTAGAAATACTATTTTTCAGGTATTTCAGAATGCTATTATTATTGTTCCCTTGGGTTCCGTGTGGAACACAAAGCTTCAACAACACATCCCCATTTTGTTCTATTTTCTGTTGTCCTCTTCAACTAGGTTCACGATTGTCCATAATTTTTCATCTCCTCTGCCCACGATCTCCTCCGTATCACCCGAAGACGAAGCACTCGTAGCTTCCCATTTGGATTCCACTCGAGCTCTGGCCTGGAGCGCTATGTCATTTGACGGCCTCCTCAACATATCCTCGACCTATCTCCATTTTCTCCTACATATTTGTTACACAATCAGCTCTTGGTTGGATTGTTGTCAGAGTTTCTTATTTAGAGGATAATTTCAGCATAAACGGATATTACTCGAAAGGGAGATTACACATCAAACGCCTTTATTCCAACTCAACAACAACTATCCAACTTCGGTAGTATCTAAATATTCTCTGCATAGATCTGAGACGTTATGACTTTTTGAATAACCAACAATTTGCTTTGTTTGCTGCCACCATGTCTCAAAAAATTATCAAACACACATTCCTCTAAAAGTAATAGCCATAGAATTACACTATCACAAAAGATACTTTCTTCATTAAGATGCTTGCCATTGTTTCAGAAATCAACAGTCACACAGAAATTTACACAGTATCAATATTGTCAATTAATCTGATATCAGCACAACTCAGTATAAAGTAACAATATACTATTTTACTGTAAACTGAAATATGCAGTAAGCCTAATAAACGCTATTGTTCAAAGATTTGTTCACCTTTAAGGAGTTCGCTGAAAATGTGATTGTTGTAGTCTATGAGTAAAGTATTCTAATAGTATTTCGCGAAATAAAAATATACACGGAAAAAAAATATCAACAGGGTGTAGACAAACCTTAATCGATCACCTAATCACATAGCGAACAGGCACTATATTGCTGATATGGTACATTCTTCCCCTAAGTGTATATACTTAATTTGATTAGACGCTTTGACATCTTTGGATAGCCAAATTTAAGATGTTTATCTATCTCTGTATTAAAGACTGTAATTGTGCAAGTATGAGTCAGTGCTATGGGATTGTTATAAGTCCTGAAGTTGAAAACACTACTTCTTTAACATTATCAAATATGGTAACACTCTTCATATATTAAGAACAGTTTAGTGTCCAGGACATTAAGTAACATTAAGACACTGAATTGAAATATACAGATAAATGGCAAAGATGAATAAGAAGCGTCGGTGGCACAGCGGTTAGTACGCTCGCCGACCATGCACATGGTCCGAGGTTCAATCCCCTGCCAACGCACACCTGATATCTAGGGTTGGCCTACAAAATTTGGGCTACCGATATCCATGCTGAAAATTCCATACTTGTACCAAAAATACAGTTTGGAATCAAGCTGTAATCCAAAAAAAAAATTTGACAAGTTTTCATTACTTTCAAGTCTGTGTGGAGGTCAACAGCACTCAGAATCAAAAATAAGATCCGGATTTTCAACTCCGATGTGAAGTCAGTACCACCATACCATTGGTTTAGAGACTTGGCGCGTCATAAAGAGCATCTCAAACAAACTACAGACCTTCATTAACAGTTGTCTTCGCTCAATACTCAAGATTAGATGGCTGGCCAGAAAAGATCAGTAACAGGGATCTCTGGAAGCGAACCATCCAGAAACCAATTGTGCAACAAATCTGCAGGGAGAAATGGTGACAGATTGGCCATACTCTGAGGAAACAAACCATCAAGTGAGTGACATCACAAGACAAGCCCTCAAATGGAACTCGAAAGGGAAGCGGCGAGTTGGTCATCCAAGGGTGACTTGGAGGAGGTCATGTGAAGAAAAGATGAAAAAATGCGGGGTGAAAATGTTGGCGTAGAACCGAATGCAAAGGAGACACGCGGCTGAAGCCCTACGTTCCTCTAGGAATTAAAGGAAATAATAATACTAATGACGTAAAATCTTCATTTATCATGTATCAAAATAATTGTTTATTTGATTGTTTCTGCTGGCGAAACTGAAGGATACAGAAATCACTACGACTACTTTCATCATTATTTTGAATAATAGACAAAAAAACAAAACAAAACAAACAAACAATACTTACACGTCCTAAATTACTAAGCATATCTAAAGCAGTTTTAGACAAAGTGATTTCCAAGTTATCTCTGGATACAATTAACATTGTATTAGTTGATGCTTGTAGACAACCGACTTCTTCCCAGTCTTCTTCGGCTAAACACTCTGCTTTATTAATACTCATCAACTCCAATTGGAGTGACCACATACAATCACCTTCATCTGGTAAAGTTTCAATTAACGGTTCCCATTGATTAAGAGAATCATTATAGTATGACAAGGACAAATCGATCATAAATTTTATTTCAAGCTGAAGGAAAGGAAGAAAGCAGAAGAAGAAGAATCAATGAACAACAAACTAATCAATGAAATATAATATCTGAGAGTGGAAAAAAACCATAATTAAGTACTCCAAGTACTTGATTCCCAGCGGTAACATAGTGGAGAGGCTTAAAACACACTTTACCTGACCGTGTTTCTTTTTAAATATTAACTGATTAAACTATATGTAAGTAGTAACAATACACACTGTTTCGTCCTAGTTCGGGACTCTCCATAGTACGCACCCACCGGGGTTCGAACCTAGGACCTTTTGGTCACAAGGCAAGCTCGTAGACATCTGAGCCACTGGGACCTGATCTAATGATCCTTGAATTCTAACTTCTGCCAATTCACGACATAGCACGACCACACTCAGTAATGTCTTCTTCGATGAGTTACTGTCTCATCTTCAACCTGCTATAGCCTACTGGTCACGGCTTCCCACTAGAACCCCAAGTCACTGTCTGAATAGGGCCAGTCGCTAGTGAGCATCAGATTAATTTTCAAGTATTGGTTTTGTAGGAATTTTTGTTTGATTGCGTGGAGGATTTCATCATGAGTTGACATCAGTTAGAGAACCACTGGAAAACCTGGGAGTACTGGTCGCGCTATGTCGTGAACTGGTAGGCGTTAGAATTCAAGGAACATTGGATCGGGTCCCAAAACATATTGTGTAGTTTACAAAAGCACGTACATGAAAACTAAACAACAAAGTCACAAAATCCCTGTGACATATAACACTCATATCTCTGTTTACTGTCTCTATTTTGCATTTCTTGTTACTTTCTTCTCTTCCTTTGTGTGCTAAGTGGAGTGTGGTGAATTGAACTGCTGAATACCGGTGCAAAGTTCCACGTTAAAATCAGTTAGTCAGTCAAACAACAAAGTCTGATTCTGATCCGTCTACCCTGACGACAACTGTTACTTGACAAAGGAAAAGTGTTAAGGAGGGGAGAGGGTCGAAAGAAACCGTTATATAAGTTCATGAAATCTCAGACAGTTTGAGTCACGTCGGGAGGTGTAGACTGCCTTAGTTTCGATTCTGAGGATGCTAGGAACTAATGGTTGGAGATTGTTAGTATTATCGCTAAGACAATTGGTCATGATTATTGTAACTAAGCAGGCGAAAATTATTACGTTTTGGGCGGAGTTACGTAATACAAAAAGTATTCAGATAAATTGAATGTTGATATAAGAGGGTAGTAACAAAAGTGATGAGTCGTCCACCGTGGCTACAGAAAGGAAATAATAGCCGTATGATGAGTGCAATAATCAATCATTCCATCGCAACAAACGCCTCCTTCAAAGTAATCTACAAAGTGCAGAACAACCTGCTAAAGACAATATGTTTCCGTCTTCTTTGCATTACAGAAACCCTATCCATTCAGTTAGAAGAACCAGAAAAGTTATTCAGCCACTTCTATTATCATGGTAACAACTCTGTTGATATGACTTAACATTTGCTTGTTTTCCTAACTACTCGAAACTCTTACGTAACTTCGTATTTTATTTTGTTTCCATGTTCGCCCTGAGCACAACTCTTTCAACAAACTATTCATGCTATTACGTAACTCTTCCTTAACAATCGTTTGTGACAACTTAGCACTTTTGTTACTACCCTCTTATATCAACATCCAATTCCTCTGAATACTTTTTGTATTCCGCATAACCCCACCCAAAATTTAATAATTATCGCTAATAAGCTCTTTTAATAACACAGATGCATTCATATATATATGTTCATTATAGTATTTTTGAATCTCTCTTTCGTCTACCTTTGTGTGGTACATGAAATGTGGTAACTTGAACTGGGATGCACTTCTGTTCAAAGTTTTATGTAGTCATTCAGTCATCATTCCAATCCTAAAAAATGTCTATGGCAGATGGAGTATAAATCAACTAAACACGATTAAATAAGTATCACATGAATTTGAGTGCAGTTAAACATTTCATTGTGGAAACAGAATCTATTGTATATTCTCTGGGTGACAAGTGCATATCAATATTTCGATGCTTCCTTACAGCTTAAAGTGCATTTAAATCTTCAGTGAGTAAAGCATGATAAATATTCATTAAGTTTTTATTAATATAATGAGGGCAATGTACTGGTAGTAATGACAAGTATTTACTGGTTTGTATACAAGATTTATGAAGTTATGTCGACCACTAGTAGTTACCTTATTATCGTAATGATGAATGTGGAACTTTATGATATATCACATTAATTATATGTGAACAGTGTATAAATCTCCACTCTCATAAAAATTCATAAGATATACATACACAAAGAAGTGTCAAAACCTACATTTGTACTTGGTCTGTTTAAAACCGCATCAACTGAAGAGTCGAGAACCAACATGGGCATAGTTTTAGTGTCCAACTGTGATTCCAGAATGATTCGAACAGTTTTTAATTTAACATTGATCTACAATAATGGAAAAGGAAATGAATAAAGGAAAAGAATGAACAGCAAATAAAAACAAACAATATGTAGAGAACAAACCAACACAGATAAAATCCAAGGAGAAAAACTCTGATACTAGGTGTTTTATTTCCATTCATAAAGATTCGTAAAATATAAACAGGGGAATAAGATAATAAGTAATCAACAAAAGGAAGGGGAATAATGAGAATTATTCAAATGATGTTGACATTTGGGGTAAATATGTTCAAATAAATATTTAACAAAAAGTATATAAAGTAAGGAAAATAAATACTGAATGTAAGAATTCATTTCGCATCAAACAAGAGAAGTGGACACATGACACTAGTGTTACTACCTAGGGTTCAACCAGAGAATCCTTCAGGAGGTCAGTCGTGACCTCGAATAGCCCAGGCTGTATTACTAGGTGACACGGGTCTGAGTCGCAGAAGGAACATGAGTTCCTCCAAGACTGTAAATATGCCTTGCTGACGAGTGCAAACAAGCACGAAACTCAGGTGTATGGCCTCCTGCCGATTGCCTCCAAACAAATGATCGTCGAACGATAAGCATATCATTATACTGAATGTCTAGCTAGTTTTTTTCAGCAAACATGATTCCTGTGATGCATTAGAACAATCTAAACCTCGCATCATATATATATACATATGTTCGCAGCATAAATTGTGTAGTCTGCATTAAGTGGAAACGTGTATAAATTAATGGATGTAAGAAATCCTTAAGGAACTTCTGTATTTAGCCAGATAAAATGTGAATTCAGTGCCAGCTATACGGTAAAGTCTAATACAAAACATTACGTACTAGATGAACCACATATCTGAGAAGCTCAAATATACAAATTAAGTAATAGAAAAGCGATAAAGTCATCTTTTTTGATTATTGTCATCGCCACACACAAAACTAGGAGTGCCTAAAACATCCGTCCATCACATCAACTGTTTTGGTTGGTGATGAGTGGCAGTGAAGTCCATGATGAGCATTTCGTTCTATTTGCTCCTAGATAACTAAATATACTTGCATTCCCAGTAAGTGACGCTGTTCCCACTGAGACTAGAACACTGCACCCATCGTTTTAAACATAAAGTAGGATGAAACATGCAGTTTGGATTCCACTGCTAGTCACTACCAACCAAGATAGCTTGACGTTATTCCTTAGAGATTGTCAAAGCGTCCATACTAGGAGCTGACTTGTCAATAGTAGTGACTGAACATTTCTGTCGAACACAATCAGTCAACGTGAAATGCAAAATTAACGTAAAAACAACTAATTCCATTATGGGTAAATTTTGTTTTGATAAAGTCTCACAGTGTTATACAGTAATGTTTACTAATGACGTTTCGAGCCCAATTTTTTTCTCATAATCATATCAAGGTAATCACACGACTTCCTAAATTCATTTATATAGTTCCATTGTTTTTCTCTTGATTTTCACTTGATTTAATTGGTAATAGTATTTTCCATATTTCAGGTATGATGAATCTTTGTTCATTGAGTCTACACCCAACACATGCAATAGGAATGATTCATCACTCATTGAAGTAGAAGTAAAGAAATTACTTGTCAACAGAGTTCAGTAAATATTTTATTACTGCAATATCAGTGAATATCCATTAGTAAAAAAGGGCACAATAAATAGCATTATTTAGGTGTCAAAGATACGAAATACTCCAAAAACGATCATGACCCCGAACAACCGAAACGAGTACTAGGTGTTTAGATAACTGTGATCGGGATAGCCGGCACAGGAAGGTAGGATGAGTGATCAAATTCAACTCTGTGTTCTCAATATTATAGCTTTCTAAACCGATGGAACAGAATCTCAACATTTTCTTTTGCCTTCCATACTTCATCTTTTATTTATTATACCCGTAGAATTTATTGGGTAGTTTCTCGAAAGTATCACTAGTTTATATTTGGCACTCCGTGTAGAAGCAAGTACTGATATCAAGTCAGTATGAAGAAGTTTAAACCTACCAGTGAAATAAGGCAGTTTTTGAAGATTACATCTGGAAAAGAGAACCAACGCATAATTAATATAGTAGAAGACAATAACCATCAGACTACAGGTGAACCAGTTGACATACACACAACTTACAAAACAAACATAGCACATCAAAATTTGTAACTGGCATAAGGTAGCAAATGACTGACAAACACGAAACTGATGTATATACAAAGTCAAATATAAACTTCACTAATCAAAGCCATAAGTCACAAAAAACATTAATAATAATAATTCTTTTTAACACCAATAAAATATGAATATCAAATAGGAAAGAAGACTGGTTTACGGGGAATAAAACGTGCTTTGGAGAATAATAATAATAATAGCAATAAACAAACGCAAAGATAAGAACCCATCATTATTTCTTGAACTTGTAAACGTATCACAGATAAGAGTAAATGAAACAGAGCAACTCAGAGCACAGCAAAAACAACTTACAACACCATTATCTCGCTATAAAAAGAAGTTGTGAAAACTAGTGAATTTTAAAAGTAATGATTGCAAGCTGATTAATGTTTGATCAAATTATGCAGTTGACAGATCAAAGTCTTCGGTCAGTGTTATCAAGAGCACATTGTACGCCACACATCTCGAATATTTTTAATTCTTGTGCTTACAACTTAAGGATGTAGTTCTGTGGATTCTACTTCACACAGTATCTACAAGTTCACCTACAGTTGTGCGGTTACATACATAGGCGGAACCAAGAGAATGTACCAAGGCAATAGGGAAGAACATATTCTTAAATGGTTATTAAGTCACACAGAAAATCTAAATGCATTTTAATCTGAATAGAAATCCAGCATGTTCTATTACAAGGAACTTATTATTTCTGTTTGGTCACAAAATCAATGTTAATGACTGTTTCTCAATTAGATACCTGTTTGTATCAGTGGTTAAAACAGTGTCGCTACGCCAACAAAATAGTCAAATATGGAGAAATTCATTGCCTAGTGATATGAGGAAATAAAACGATGTTCGATACGAAAATTGAGTGTGATCCAAGAATTAACTGCAACTCATAGAGTATATTGCGTGTTATAGTAAGCTATTCTTAAAATATTTGTTTCATATGTAGATAAGGCGAAACGTAGGGCTACTATCGAATAAATATTCGTTTTGAAAATGGAATTGTCACGAGGAAAGACATATTTAGTGAACGATAAAGTAATCATGACACGCTTTTGAAATTTAGCACAAATTTGTATACAACAGATTTATCTATTTAACAGATGGTTAATTACTTTTTTTATATTCCTTCACATTCCCAGTGGAACGTAGGGCTTCAAGCAAGAGGCCTGAAGTCTCAGTAGCAGTGGCTTTTATTCTTAAGGGATGGAGTTGCTAGCCTCATGCCCTCCAACCTTCCCTCTTTACCAGTCTTATTTCTGGCTTAGTGCGGTAAAGGAGTGAGTCGGCCGGGAATCGAACCCTGGACCACCTACCTGCACGGCTGTACCTATGACGCACTGGTAATTACTTTGGAGGTGTCAATTTACAATAATGCTGTTCGAATTAAACAAATCACCTAAATAACGATAAGGAGTAAAATGGGTACTACATAAAAAGCAATAGAAATAGTCAGGATTATCAACTCACGATATCTACGCGTCGATTTTCCATTTCCTCCATAACCTTTGAAACATCACAGGCAACTTCGGGCGTTTCATTTTGATTCTTCCCATCTTGATTAGTAAGTAAGATAACATTTTTTATGAAAACAATAAAAATAGTGTAAAAGTAGATGGAATCGTTGATTAAGAAAAGTATTTTCTGTAGTCGTTATACTGTATGTTCCCCCACCGCACTATAGAATCACTGTTTCCTGGAGATATAGTACATATTTCATTTTAGCACTAACATAGAACACAATAAGTTTGTATGATTTTTTTCCTTTCCTTCACGTTCCCCAGTGGAACATAGGGCTTCAAGCTAGGGGATTGAAGTTTCTGTAGTCGTGCTTTTATTTTACAGGATGGGGTTACTAGCCTCATGCCTGACCTTTCCCCTTTACTAGCATTATTTCTGGCTTAGCGAGGTAAAGGAGTGCATCTGTGGCCAGAGATCGAACCCCGGACCATGTGTATGGTCGGCGAGCGTACTAACTGCCATGCCACCGACGCCCTAAGTTTGTAAATGGCAATCTATTATGAATAAGAAGAAAACGAACTACTTGTTCAAGCAAGTAATACACGAGTATGAGAACAGAGCCAAATGTAAGGCTGAGTAAAAGGATACTTCTATTCAAACATTGGATTGCATTAAGTTATTCATCTCAAAGATGGCATAGTTAAAGCTGGTACCAATGAGGAAAGCTTGTCAATTCAATCCCGTGAGGAATTCGGACCATATAAACCTATCTTCGAGTTCTCAACACTAGGTTACTAAGCGTGATTTCAAATCGTGCTATTCAACATTTCCACCTACATGTATCTAATATCCTATACCCATAACGAAGAAAAGACTGAAGACAGAGACATAATAAATGAGCGCCTTACTTTAATAAATAAACACGGTCACTTCAAAAAAACATTTACCTGATGAAATTCCTAAATAAGGCATATTTAATTCTTCAATTGGAATTGGTTTCCAGAAATTAGCATAAGATTTATCATCTACAGTTTTACCATCGGATACTTTTACCAATTCACTTGAAACAGATTCATTGGCTGGTAGATTTTTACTAGTGGAGATTGACGATTGAACAGAAGCAGATATAGTGGATAACAGCCTGATTGTATTCGGATTTATTTTGATAGTTAATGTGTCCATGTGAAGTGTTCCATGAATGCTGCCGTCAATAGGTTGAGATGAGTAGAAACTTAAGTCAGCTGGAGATAAAATCTGAAATGTTAAAAAGCAAAATAGAGAGAGAAATCATAAATCATTTCTATAGAATAAAGAAAGATATAAAAAAAACAAGGATTCCATAGCAGTGACTCATTTCACTTGATTACACACTAACAAATAAGTTAGCTACAATAATAAAGCACTTCGCATAAACAGATATTGAGTTTATTGTTAAATGGTTGGAGGCAATCGGCAGGATCTTATGGATCCAGGTCTCGTGCTTGTTGGCATTTGTAAGCAAGGCGTATCTCCAGTCATGAAGGCACTAATATTCCTTCTGAGATTCAAACACGGGTCACCTAGTGCTGGCAGTGAGAGACATTACCACCGAGCTATTCAAGATCACGATTGACTTCCTATAGGACCGTAGTGGGTATTTTCATTGAGCACTAGGCAGTAACTAGCCTAGTCCCTCGTTTATTGCAGATTACATTCAAGTTTAGCTGGGAAGGAAGAATCTCAGTTAATAAAATCTTCCATGTATAACGACTAACATGAAGCTGCATCAAAATCAATACAACCTTGATCCTAAATTGTACACTTATATACCTGACCAAATAAACTGAAGATTGAGACTAAACATATCATCACTTTTCAATAGATTTTTAATTCCGGCATAAATACAATGCCCCCTTATGTGGTGGCAGATAATTGCAGCACAGGCTTTTGATCATTTTGATAGTTTCAGTGCTCCAGAACCTTGAATTTATTTTTCGAGAAAGGCTTCTGTGTCTGACTATGCATAATCACTAATGCTGCTTCGTGAAATAAATGAAACTAAAACTTCAAGATGACAGACCATTTAACTTGAAGACTTAAATACTGGATATTATCAACCAAGAGATTTGAATGGTTACAGGTTTGATAACGAAATGACGTCGATTAGAGAATCACGTAAAAGCCAGGGAGTACTGGATAGCTTCAATGATATTTACAAAAGGCTAGCTCTATACAGGAAGTAACCTGGAGAACTAGTCAGACGTAGTGAACAGCGGGGTCCACCAAGTAGGGTTAGAGCTCCGGTGGATGAGTACTTCAGAAGAGTGTTAAGGTTGGAACGAGACAACTGTCTGGTACTCCCTGGTTTTCCAACAGTTCTCTTACTGTTAGCTTGTGATTAAACCAGTAATATATCAATGAAACACATGAATATTTAGACAATAAAGAAAGCAAAATGTACTATTAACAACTTCAAACTAAATTAAAAATGAGACGGATGCTGATCTAGTAATTAACTGTAATACTTGAATCCGACCGGTGTGTTGAATGAACGCTTATAGATCACTGAAATGTGACTTTTTTTTAAGATGTTAAAATCAAGTAGGTAGATTTTTCCAACAAAATTCACTTTCACAACATGATTAATCAGTTAAACAACAATTCGGTTGTGGTGACTGTCTAATTTTTCAACTTTGAATAACGGTCATTTCTGCGAATTAATTCTAAGATATTTCTGACCAAGTAGTCGACTATCATTACTTGTGGCTTGCTTACTAAGACATTCATATTTCAGTCAATGGGTCAAGAGTTCGAATCCTGGTTCACCTACTTCAATATGGGCAACGTGTTGGCATCATCAGACTCCACACAATAAGCGTGACTTGTAGCCTGATACATAAGAATTCTACAATGGTTAACTGAGTGACAATTCCAAGTAACTTCACAAGGACATTCTTGAGATTTTCCTAAAAATGTGCAATTAGGTGAGAAAATTGTAAGCAGTGAGTGTTTCTCAGGTTTGAAATTAAGATTCGAATAATTTTCCGTTAGTAAAACCTTTTGTACGAAGATGTAACAACACCTGTTAATGAGAAATATACCAGGAGTCCAAAGTCCTTCAAAGAAGCTTTTCAAAAAACATTTATTCATAAACAACATGAGACATACCTCTTTAGAAAAGGCTCCACCAACGTTTTCATTGTAAGGACAAGCAGCGACGGATAATCCATTAATCAAGGCATTCATAACAATTACATCTTGTTGCATGGTATATGTAAAGCTCAAGGCAGTCTAAAAAGTAATTTTGAAAAACAAATGTCTTGTATGAATAAAACTGCACCTCTATAAGGAGTGTTTCTAAGACATCAGATTGTTTTCTAGTTGGCAATGCAGACGTAAATATTCGAAGTAGAAGTTGAATTGGATTCAACGCGTATAACACATGGTTTGATTAATTTTTAGTTCATGGAGTTTCTCAACTTCACTAATTGTCATATTACACAACAAATAAACTATGAAGATATCAGTGATCGAGCATTTTAATCATCAATGGACATATTTCACAGTCACAGATTAGGACAGAGCAGTGTGATGAGCATTAATCTTCTCTTCTGATACACAATCGATGTCCTCAGAGACATCATTAGCCCTTTTACTTTTATATTATTCCACAGTAAACGGGTTCATCACAAGGGAATTAACTATTTAAGTAGGTAAGACGGTCAATTTTTTTTCTTTCACGTTCCCCAGTGGAACATAGGGCTTCAAGCCAGTGGCTTGAAGTTTCTGTAGTCGTGCTTTTATTTTACAGGATGGGGTTACTAGCCTCATGCCTGACCTTTCCCCTTTCCCAGCATTATTTCTGGCTTAGCGAGGTAAAGGAGTGCGTCTGTGGCCAGAGATCGAACCCCGGACCATGTGTATGGTCGGCGAGCGTCCTAACCGCTATGCCACCGACGGTCAATTAAACTCCACTTATACGAATAAACCTGTATCTTCAGGTGTAATGATAGCAAAAAATTAAACTTCACAGAGAAGGAAAAATCCATTGGATTATGACTGTTCATGTATGTACATCCGCTAATTTGTGATAGAATGCTTAAGACATCAAATAATAATAATAAGAGATTCGTTTTCTTGTTGAAATTAACACCAAGTAGTTCTATATGCCAAACCAAAATATTCGGATACTATTTCGGTGTACAATGAGAGAAGTATAAATAAAAATAAATTGTTTTGTTCATTTTTCTCCTTCAACTGATATTTCTGCTTATATTAAATGCCAAAAAAAAGAAGAAAGATTTTGGTATATGAAATCCTGTAACAATAAGCCTAATCAACGTGACTTATTTTATTTAATGAAATGTAGTGGGTTGCATCGGAATATTTTCATTCTATAATAGTTTATTTGTTTCTAGTCTTGCCATTTGATTAATAAATAAGTAAAACAGTACAGTCTAACAGTTAAGGATAAGATACCGCTTTTGGCCACTTCAATGTGTGTCTATCAGCTTACTTGCTCGTGTGGAGTAAAGTATGCCAGTCGCACGCAATGTCAAGTCCATAAATGCATTGTGAAATACTGTCCAGCTTAGTTAGCCAGAGGAGAAAAGGAGAATAGTAGCAGCTCCATCCTCGAACACCTTGCCATCTCTGGACATCGAATGCCCCCGCATTAATGCTTCACAGTGCTAAACGGAGTCCCTCAATATCGTACAAATGAACTTTGAATACGCCATCTGTACACAGTTGAATCATTGGCTATTTGGGATATGAAACCGGATCTCTGCATTCAAAAGCGCTACAAACATTCACTCGCTCCACCGTGACCAGAGTAACGTTATAATTACAATTTTGCTTTTTTCCTTTATTATGTAAGTTCACTATTATTACTATTAATACTTTTATTATCATTATTATTCCCATTACCCACATTTTCTGTCTGTCTGTTTTCGACATAGAACTTTGCACAAATGTGCGGAAGTTCAAGTCGCCACATTCCGTGTAGCACGCGAAGCAAGAGAAGAAAGTACAAGAAAAGCATAATAGAAACAGTGAGCAGAGGTGTGAGACAAAGGAGTAATAAAGAAATACAAAACAGTTTCATTGAAGATCATAAGTCATAGGGAGTGGATGCATCTGCGCCACTGAGAACGGTTTTGAGCCATGTCACCAATTGTTTCCAACCATAGATTTTTACCGTCCCGAGGACCCCAGCCTGGAAGTCTACACCTTTCTACGTGGCTTAGACCAACTGTTGTGGATTTCATTGACTGGTGCCAAGTTTTTGTTTGACCGCCGCTAGCTTTTTTCCAGCCTGACCCTATATCCGCTAACATTTCTCGTCGAGGGAGGCGATGGCTTGGCATACGTAACACATGTCCTAACCATCTCAGTCTTTGTAGCTTCACGACTTCGTCGATTGATTTCCCCTGTTTACCTAGAACTCTACGCCTAACCTCCATGTTGCTCACCTTATTATGCCACTTTACACGGGAAATAGAACGCAGGCACCTATGATCAAACACAGCTAGTCTTTTCATGTCTTCCACTCTCAGTGACCAGGTCTCACAACCATAAAGGAGGACGGAGAGGACTGATGAGCAGTACACCCGCCCACATTTTATTACCACTCTATTACTTTTTCATACAGATTTTATACAAAAGCACTTTATAGCCATTCCACTAATTCCTGTCCATTCTACACGAGCTTATTGATTAGTCATTATCTCACACTTATTACATCATGCCAACTGTTGCCTCCTGTCTAACTTCCAACTAATAACCTCTTCTAGGTTCACACCTTACATTACGTAATACCTTTTTCGAGAACAAATTTTACCAGTATCTGATTGGTCTTATGATTTCTTTGTTAAACATAATTACGGTTGTACAGCCTATGAAAATGGATCATTGAAAAGGAAATTTTCTTCGCTGTTTACATCTTCTTCTTAAAACAGTACAAATTATAAAATCAGTGAAGGTTTATAACTTTGAAGTTGTTAGGTAGTAAGTGTGTCACAATCAGTAAGCACTAACTGATTCACATCAGAAATAATGTTCAAAGCATGATAATGAGAATGCGTCGGTGGCACAGCGGTTAGGACACTCCCCAACGATGCACATGGTACAGAGTTCGATTCCTCGCCGGCGCACTCCTTTGCGTCACTAAGCCAGAAATAAAGTTGGTAAGTAGGAAAGGTTGGGCATGAGGCTAGCAACCCCATCCTGTAAAAATAAACACGGTTACAGAAACTTCAAGCCTTTAGCTTGAAGCCCTATGTAACACTGGGAATGTGAAGGAAAAAAATTGATAATGAGAAAATGGCATCTTCTAAAAAGACAAGGACTAATTTTTATAGTTGAAATTTAGTTACTGATATCAGGCGTAACAGGAAAACTGGCTTACAATCGTCATCGTAAAACAACAAATCTCAAAACTTACAGTAAGCTTGATAGCATTGCTGTCTTCATTGTAGATATCCTCCACTAGAACAAGTTCAGGATTAGCTATTTGAACCTTCAACTCCAAGCTGTAGGGATATGTGGTTGGCGGCTGTTCAACTTTTGGTCGTTCTAGAATGTTTTACAAAAGATTACAGTACAAGACAATCAGAGTTAAAGAGTGAATGAATGTTATTCAAATATGAAGACGTTCAAAACACATATCTGGTTGATATCCTTATATCAGTAATACATATGGTATTCCCTCTAGAAAGCTTATCAACAAACTCATACGACTTTGTCAAACAGAAGCAAGATTCACAAACCATTGAATTTTCAACAGTCTATGTTTAAAAAGTGGTATAATTCCTAAATACTACTTACATCTACGTATTTCAATTACTTCAAGAAAAATAACATCAGCAGAGGAACATGTCAAAGAACTATATGTTAGAGGAGAAGAACTACATAGAATTATTATAAAGCTAAAGAATATAAGAAATGAAATTGAAAAACTCAAACACAAAGTCAAATGTATGCTAAATGATAAAGATTATGAAATTGTAATTGAAACATCCAATAAAGTTAGAGAAGGAACCTTAAAGAAATTATAAACCGCGCAAATTAAGAAATTCAACAAATTATTAGAAGAAAAGAACAGCACAATGAACGAAGAAGTTGACAACAATATCTCATCTTCTTTTGACAAAACAAAGGGGGTAATCAACTTCTCTTGAAGAGAATTAAGCTCTAGTGAGGTAAAACATATCTTAGTTGTCCATTCCTCGATACAGTATCTGGAAATCAAGCAACTAGATATAAAAGTTAAATATTTCCAGGGAACGCTAGATACATATAAGCTAACATCTAAAACAAAACTGTAGGCGCATTGAGAAAATTACTTAATGCTTTCCCTGTACAAATGAGTCAAGTCAAGTGTGAAACAAGAGTTTGTCAAGTATATTTGGATCTCACCCCGAAATAATGCCAATGTAAACAAGTTGTTAAATGTAAGTATAACATGAACGGAATCCTCTTCTAAGTAGAATGATGGATTAGCTTTTGAGACCACTATACTTTATTCCACTTCGAGTAATGACTAATATGTCTGTCTACAAAATACCCTTAGGTTGAGGAAGTATCCTGAAATTTGAAAAATGTCTAGAAAAGCATTTCCCAAAAATATACTTTCACCATTAGGAAAGCTAACGAAAAAATAATAAGCGCCGGTAGCATAGTGGTTTGGACTCTCGCCAACCATGAACATGGTCTGGTGTTCAATCCCCTGATATCTATGTTCGGTCTGCAAAATTTGGGCTACCAATATCATATGCTTTAAAATTCCATACTTGTATCAAAAATCTGTGTGGAACCAAGCTATAATAAAAAAAACTTACTTATTTTTGTAGATGCTCCACTGTTCAATCGTTTCTGTTTACCTTTATCAGTGATTGGTGTCAAATCGGTCAATTCATTTTTCGATGCAGGTGTACTTTGTAGTTGAAAATCAACCAACGACATCAGATAATCCATTGAAGCGCATAAATGGATACTACGCAGACTGATAAGAACTGAAAAGAAAAAAGAAGATATTCCAAGAAATACAATTAGCAAGGAAAAGCATGCTATGGAAATAAGCATGAGAAGCATGCAAGCACATTAACTTGAGTAATGAAACCTTTTGGGGGAATAGAAACATAAAGGTTTTAAAAATTGTAGACGACAATAGCATCGAACAGTAGTTTAATAAAACTAGAGTCCACAAAATGAAGACAACAGGAAAAATATGCGCATTCTACGACTTAAGATAGAAAAAAATAATTTCGTTGTTCACTTTTCACACTTCCAATAAGCCTTATTGATAGATTTCTTTCTGAAATGATCTTAAAATCTGGCAGCTTCCAGACAGTTTTCATTTGGCAGTAGAAGACATGAATATATTGAAAAAATGAGTGGATTTCTTAAGAATTTGTTTCATTCGAAATGAAGTAACCCATTCCTAATTTATTAATGTTCACTAAAATTGCGTTTGTAGCTCAGTGACAGTATGCTCCCCAACACACCCAGGTGGTCCGGGATTCGATCCCCAGCCCAAGTGTTCTTAAACCTCATTTAGCCGACAGTAAGTCCAATAATGAGAGGAGGTTGAGTAGAGGATAGAAAGTGCCGAAACTTTACAGCTCGAGGTCGAAGTCCTATTTTCAATTCGGGACGCAAAGGAAGGAAAACAACTACAATATTATGTCCACTCCCAAACCTACCTAAACTGTATCGCTATATCTAATGTACAAAATCAAGTATGTGAAATAGCCTAATTGTCAGTTCCTTAATTTTATGAGACAGAGGGATAGTTTTCTAGTACATAATAATTAGCCTCTACTTTCGTATAGAATGAAGAAATTTCATGTTTCATACAGTGGATGAATAAACGGAAGTAGAATGAGTGAAAACAGCTCATGTAAAATATTTTGAAATAGTTCAATTTGTCAAAAACATTAAATGTATTAGCTAACTGTTGTATATCCACTTAAGCTATGTATATGCATTACGCAACTACTTTCAAGCATTATTTTCATTTCAGTTTATATTATATTAAGCCGGAAGATACTACTCAAAACTGGCAAAATCCGTTCACATTCTAAGAGATATATGCTTTTGATTTGTTACTAGGTAGTAACAAATGACATGTGTCCAGTCGTTGATTTGGTACATACTGAATTCTAGCACGGAAGACTGCAGTACGGTTATCATGCTAGATGAATTACCGTCACGGTACACTCTGAATTGATGTTAGAAGGTTGGAGGCAATCGTTAACGAGATGTATCTATAATCTTGAAGGAACTCTCATGTCCCTTCTGAAATTCAAGCCCACTGAAGAGAGAGTACCGACAAGCCCAAAAGCTAGATGAAGGGCTTCTTGCCAATTACCTCCAACCACCTAGCATTAATTCATTATATTTGCTGGCTAACAACCAAAACTTATCCTTCTCAAATGTCACACACTATCTATAAGTAACCGAATATCAAAGACATTATTTAAAAAGTTTTAAGAAACAGTCCAGTTAACTTTGTTGAAATTTACTTTGCTTATTCAACGAAGCATCTTGTTTGAATTCAACATAAATCAATTCCTCATGACGATTATCTTCTGCACCAGAATGATCCAAAATTCTACATTTGTTTTTCAAAAAAAAGGGAGAAATAAAAAGAAACAATGTAAGCAAGAGTAGTACACACATGAAGCTTTTTTTGTTTTCGTTTTTGAAGAACACAACCAAAACTTTACTAGTCAATACATTGAGATTTAATTGTTGAATGGTGACTAGCAGTGGAGTCCAGGACAACGCATATTTCGTCCTATTTGGGGCTCGTCGGCTGGATGTACCTGTATTTCTCAGTGAGTTATGACGTTCCCCACCGAGGCTCGAACCCAGCGCCCATAGTTTCAGACGCCAAAGCGTTATCCACTAGACCACTTGGGCTACGAGAGTTACCTATTGTGCAACGGGTCATATTAATTGAATTGAATTTTCCCAATTAAATACTAATTAAATGCCCAGACATCGTCGAAGCATTTGCACAAGAAGCCGACAAGTCAACCTGAGACCGAGTACTTCGGTCTAATCAATCGACGGGAAGCTCTAAAATTCAATTAAAATAAAATACATTGAGATGTTACAGTTACAAGTAAGTAGATTAAGGTTAGATCATCAAAAGACGAATAAAATAGACAGAATACAAAGTTTTAAAGTTAAGAGTTAAGAGAATTAAGAAAATAGCATAAAGCAGCAAGATATCAATTTTTGTTATGATTAGTTAAAAAAAATGTTGAATGAACTTATTTTGTATGTAGGAAGAAAATGGAAACAATATGAAAATCTCGATGTCAAGAAATAGTAGTTTTTCTAATTTTATTTTGAAAAACATACAAATAAATGTATCAATAAGAGATAGGAGGATTAAGTGTTGTACTCGCAAGAAAATGCACGTTTTATAACCATGACTGAATAAGACTTCAGAAATGTACAATTAATAGGCATAAGATAACTAGATAAAATATACACCCTCTATATAAGAAAATACTGTTTATAACTCCTTAATGCTTACAATACATTCCCAACTCGTATTACTAAAACGTTGAAGGGCTTACTGAATTGAAGTTCACAGTCGATATGTATATAAGAATTTGTCTAATACCTACTGCCCAAAAAATATGCCGAAGGAAAAGGCGATGTATCAGATACGCGCTGAGTGAAATCATTGGCCAGAAAGGCCCTAAAGTGGAATCCGAATGGAAAACGATTATTTGAGCATCCACAGTTGACAAAGCAGAGAAGAAAGCCCGAAGGCAATCGCTAAAAAAAACTACAGAGGACAGGATGAAATGAAGTTGTGAGCCTAAGGGCGTATGTTACACTTGGAACACAAGAGAAAAGTAATATTGAAGTCATGAGCTGACATCAGTTAGAAAACCATTGGAAAACCTGGGAGTACTAGACAGCTTTTCGTCCTAATTTGAGATTCTTCACAGTACGCCAGTGTTGCCAATGACATAGGCTAGTGGCCACGCTACATCGTGAATTGGCAGAAGTTGAAATTCATGGGCCGTAAATTGGATTGGGTCCCAGTGGCTTAATGGTATACGAACTGGCCTTGTAACCGAAAGGTCCTGGGTTCAAACCATGGAGGTAGGTGCGTACTTCAGAAGAGTCCCAAACTAAGACGAAACAGGTATCAAGTACTCCCAGGTTGGTTCACTAACCGATTTCAGTTCGTGATGAAATCCTGTAAGAAAAGTAATAACAATTAAACGTGTTGAATAACCTTAATCAAGAACCCCAAAGTTTCTAAATTTAGTTATAATTAAGAGAAGTACTGTCTAGATGAAACTAACGTGTGTATTGGTAATTTACGTTCTACACAAAATAGATATTTGCATATGAGAAATTGGAAACAACCAAATGAGTGCCCATTGAAGGAAGGAAAATAATGCTCATTCGCAGCAATGTATTGTTAACATATTCTAGTAACTTTTCGGTAATAGTTCATTAGTTTTACAAGACAAAGGAGTATTACAAAATTATTTACTCTGTAAGTAACGATTATAATTCAACTAATTTGTTTAAACATCCAATGAAAATACGTAAGGTATCTAATGTTTATAAACTTGAGGAGAACGCAGTGCTATTGAACGGTAGTCATTCTCTCATATTACTTAGTTGAAATTTACGAGACAACCGAAAACCATGTTTTGAAGATTTTCGGTAATAATAGCAAAGAAGCAATTGAAGCAGCACAGATGAATTTCTAAGTCACCTTATCAATTAATTTTATTTATCTTAATCTCCTGATTTCATGGGTTTCGATTACATTAACTCCTATCTCTTGTCTTCGACATTCATGAGCAAATGAGAAGTGTGAAGACGTCAGTCATTATGTGACATTGTCAAATCTTGTTTACAATACACCACATAAAGACTTACACACGCTATACAACACTCTGAATATTTACCATTATTACCTTTACTCATCAATATACACAAACATGTCTGACAACACACTAAAAAATACAACAAGCCAAAACAGTCGTCTCCAATTAGTGGTGACCACCAAGCTGCACAGTCTATCGTCTGTCTGTTTTCGACATAGAACTTTGCACCGATGTGCAGCAGTTCAAGTCGCCACACTCCCTTCATGTACCACACGAAGCAAGAGAAGAAAGTAGAAGAAATGCATATTAGAGACAGTAAACAGAGGTGTGAGACAAAGGAAGAGTAATATTTATTTTTGATTACAGCTTGATTCCACACTGTATTTTTGGTACAAGTATGGAATTTTCAGCATGGATATCGGTAGCCCAAATTTTGCAGGCCGACCATAGATATCAGGTGTGCGTTGGCGTGGGCTCGAACCCCGGACCATGTGCATGGTCGGCGAGAGTCCTAACCACTGTGCCACCGACGCACAAAGCAGTCTCATTGGAAATCATAAGTCACAAGGAGTGGATGCATCTGCACCAGCAATTGAGGACGATTTTGAGCCATATCACCAATTGTTTCCAGCCTTCATTGGTTTTTACCGTCCCGAGGACACCAACCAGGAAGACTATAACTTCCTACGTGGCTGGCCGGCTTAAACTAACTGTTGTGGATTTCATTGACTGGTTAACTCATGTTTTGGTTTGACCACTATGTGCTAGCTCTTTTCCAGCCTGACCCTATATCAGCTAACATTTCCCATTGTCGAGGAAGGCGATGAATAGGCATACGTAACATATGTCCTAACCATCTCAGTCGATGTAATTTCATAGCCTCGTCGATTGATTTCCCCTGTTTACCTAGCACTCGACCGAAGCCTAACCTCAATATTGCTCACCTTATTAAACAACCTCACATGGGAGATAGAGCGCAGGCACCTATGATCAAAGACAGCTAGTCTTTTCATATCTTCCACTCTCAATGGCCAAGTCTCACAACCATAAAGAAGGACGGAGCAGACCGCTGAGCCGAATATCACGTCTACGCCAGAGACGGTGTAAACTGGCATATGCGAAACTATACCTCTGTATCCGTGTATCCGAGATTTCGTCAGAGATCAACCCATTGGCGTTGGCTGATGCACTTCCCAAATAAGTGAAGCGGGCATAGTCTATCGGGAAAACAAGGGCATAAAAACTCCTCATAAAACACCGCCCGATAAAACCAAATATTTCACTGAAAAGACAATGGATATGTATATTACATTAACCCAAAATTTACTAACTGTTTTTCACAAGCATATGTGAAATGTGCATTGATTATTTTGAAGGTATATACATTCACACACAGCAAACAGACTAGTCAGGGTCAGCTATCATCATATGACAAATATTTAGAATTCTTAAAGAAAAAAAACTTTGTACAGTATTCTTTTCAAGTGTTGGATTCACTAATTTCTCATATTTTCCGAATGTAAAAAAACCAAACGTCGAATTTCTTTTTTCCGAATTAGAAACATTAGCATTTTTAAGAAGAAGAAGACTAGACTGCATAGGAATTTATAAACGATTAGAAATTATGTGTTAGTTTTTTTTAGTTGTAACCTATTTTTGAATAATGATGTTCTAAAATCAAATGTTTTGATTGGCACTTCATAACACTACCTTTACACTTCTCTAGTGTCAAGGCAGTTAATTGAAGGGTAATATAGAGAATTTACGTAATAACATCTTGATTTACTAACGATTAATGTAAGTCTTAGATTTCAGTAAACTATATCTGTCCATCAAAGCATTGTTTCAAAGAAAATTTGAGTTAAGCATACACCTATGTAAGATTTAACGAGTCATTTACTTGAAATAATAAATAGGAAATGTTAAGAAGCAGCAATTTAAATGGATGTATGAGATTTTGGAAGAAGAACTTTTCAGTTAAAATACGCTTAATACTTGATAATATTTATCTATTTATTTTTTGGATTGAGAGTAGATAGGAGGAATTCCTTTTGCCTATTCTGTCCTCAAAAGTTGGAAAGCTGAATAGCTGATCTTTTTAAACATTTTAGGGACAATAATATATAGGCTTCATCAGAAATGCAATTTCACTCTTGAAAATGAAAAATTTATGAATCATAAACAAAAAATACCATTCATCAATAGTCGGATTGACTTTGGTTTTGATATTTTGAAATGAATAATAATTATTGATAAAACACAAAATAATTGAGCTAAGAATATCCTTTTCGATAAATTCCTCTTTGGCTTTACAATTATATATATGTTTATATAAATACAATATAATAGAGAAGATTTGTAACTCAGGTGGATGATTTGCAATTAATAGTGTTTTCTGAGCTGGTTGGTTTAAGTTGCGGAGCTTTCTTCGTCCTCCTGGACAACATCTTCAGCGCAACACTTAGCATATTTAGCATGATTTAAATTTCTCCATCAATCTTGTGTTCTGTATCCACAAGATGAGATAGAATAGCGCTGCAAATAGATTTTGTTTGTCCTTTGCTTAACCACACAGGGTAATGTTCGGAAATTCGACGAGAAACACGCCTAATTGTACGGCCTATGTAACTCGCTCCACAGGAGCAGTTAAATTGGAAGAGGCGAAATTAGGCAGTTTATTTATTACTCTCGAACGCATGGATTGTTCTTTTTACCGCATTCCTACAGCGTTTTGTGTTAGTATCTCGCTGATGTTGTCCCCAAGGAACTGTATTTGTAAGAATAAGGCCCTTTTAGGAGCTGTACGTACCTTGGGCTGCCTCGATTTTTGAATCATATTCTTATCAATAAACTTTTCCGGATAACCATTTTTCACCCAGCAACCGTCTAATATTATTAAGTTCCTCATCAAGACATTCATCCGAGCAGATTGCTCTTGCTCTGTGAACCAATCACTTTACCAGATTTCGTTTGTATTTCAAGGGCACAAAGCTGAGAAAATGGGTATACTGACCCATTGATGTAGGTTTTCTATATACACTTCTTCTTATAGCGACATCCTCTTTTCTGGTTATAAGGACGTCTAGAAATAAGATACTAGAGTCTTTTTCTTTCTCAGTAGTAAAATTTATTGCAGGATGAACCTTGTTAAATTTATCCAGGATGTTCTTTGCTTCCTAACAAAAACACGGAAGTTTTTAGTGTTAATGTCCGATTGATTTCAACTTACATCAAAGAAATGAGATCAATTAGAAAATTGGTGAGAACCGGGAATTACTGGTACTTTTCAGAAGCAATCACACAAGACCCCAGCGGGGATGAAACATAGTAAACTTCAGGTTACAAAGAGATCCCATTGACCATTTGGTTACTCAGAAAGTGTCTAACCGTACCTGAATTCTAACTTCAAGTAATTGGCGGTCTAACTTGAAAAGATAATATATAATAGATCACTGCATTGATCCTTCAGGCTATCAACTAAGCAATATATCTATTTAGAGAAAAACTACCTGGATAGAACAGTATCTTGATTACCAGTGTACAATAACCGCAGAAAAGTGCATCCAATTCGATCACACACAAAATTTCTCTCCAGCTTACACATAGTAAAGATAGTGGAACTAGAAATGAATGTTATGAACTGTGAAAACCCTGATAATATCAAGAATTCAAAGCATTTAAGTAAAAAAACCGAGAAGAAGAATAACAACAACCTTATAGACACTGATAACGGTTGTGACATATAATCATACAATCAAATGGTTTATCTTCTTTCAAAAACAATATTTAATACAAATATAATCACAAACCTTAATATTTGACCTCTGAAAGTAAAACAAGAGAAAAAAAAGATTATTAACAGTTATTATACCATATATTGTCGAAATATATACATATTAATCAGACATTTATACAAAATACCTCAGTTGTAGGTAAAACGCACATGTATACACGCACCCCAAGTGTACTAAAGAATTCCATAAAATCCATCGCACATTTAGTTATGACTATTATGATCTCTAAACTATAAGTTACACATAATTTATGACACATATTTAAACTGACTGACTGAGTTTCAAAATGAAACTTCGTACAGAGGTGCAACAGTCCCAGTGGCAACACTCCATATATCACCTAGGCAGTGATTTTTCGCATCCTGAGGACCCGAACCAGGCAGTCATGTACGTGAAACCAACTGTCAAATGCTTCATGGGTTGGTGTCAAGTTTTGATTTGGCCAACCCCCCCTAACTCCCTTCCAACCCAACTCTATGTCAGCTGACATTGCTTGTTTAAGGAGATAGTGGCTCGGCATGCACAACACATATCCTAGCTATCTAAATCTATGTAGCTTCACAATCTTATAGATTGAAATTGCCTTTCTTAACTAGCTTTTTACGCCTAACTTTGATATTACTTACTGTATTGTACCAGCTCACATGGGAAGATGTAAGCATGTGTGGTCAAAGACAGGCAACAAACTTAAAACAATTCTTCCTTAGTTTTCTACACTTTTTGCGGTTTAACTAGATTAAAACACTCATCAACTGATGTTGAGTATTAAGAAACATACAAATTCGAAGAAGATTCTTACTTGGTAATTTGTTTTTCTGAACCAGGTCGACTATCCTTCAATTTGATATCATGAAGTTTAGCGATGATCTGAGAAGAAGAATCTGAGGCTATCTCTCCGGCTACATTAAACTTTGTCAGATTGAGGATAGCTAGTCGTTTATCATCTGTGAAACCAGTATGCCATTCAGCCTATATGTTAACATAACAATAAGCGATATATAGATAGCATACTTCGAAAAAGACTGAAATACAACAATGCAATGGAATCTAACGGAGCAGCTGAAAACAATCATATTTCATCTAAACATGACTCATCTTACCCCCCCCCCACCTTTGCGTTATTTTATAACAACATTTTCAGTAGTTGTGTAACCCATTATTTGTTATACTCTTTCTAGTTGAACTTGGTTCCTACACAGAAAATTCCAGACCAATGTTACTCCTAGTTCCTACCCCAATTACTCCTTGTCATCATGGAGAAAGTATGTTCGAATCTGCAATTTTATTGATATTTTTCCCATTGTATGTAGCCAGTTGAGGAGAAGAATTCTCGAAATAATAAAAGATGAGCTCATATCCTCCTGGTACGCATTCGTCGTTTATGCTTTGTTCAAGTTTATGGATGTAATAAACTTGATGAAATTTACTGTTGAACAAAACGAGATAGGTAATGAATACATTAGACGACCTACTACGGTTTTTCATTGCATGAGAATACTGTGCTAACCGTATTGATAACTTGAAGGAGAAATTATGCATTTTCCTCTCTCTCTCTGTAACTTACATTTTCACTCGGTTTAAATTCATCCTCTTATTATATTGCAGTAATCTATTCACAGTGAAACAAATATACATAAAGCACTTTTGGTATCAATATAATTTCGATACTTTCGATAATTATGTACCTATTTAAACCATAATTTCTAATTTTAAAAAATTTTACTGCCCCATTTTGAGTTTTGTAATGTTAAGTAGATTTTATATCCTATCGAACTTGGTAAGATAGTGTTTCTACCTAAAAAGCTGAAAATTGATCAGAGTCACCTGAAAAAAAGGCATCGAAATTAACTAGTTTCCAGTCGTCATAATTTATTGCCAGAATCAAGGTACTGACTAGATTGTAGATCGTGTATAAAAGATTGGAGCAGAATAATCGATCTGAAAATCTCTCCCTAAACAATCTGTTTATAATACTGATATTTATTTGGATATTACACCTAACTGTATGGATACTAGACATTTTTTCCCCTAAGTTGTATGCAATTGTTCTAAAGTTTGCACACCTCCTTTCGAATTAATCCTTGTCACTGGTCTTTGGCATCCGAAAGTGTCGATCGAGACGTGATTTGGCAACTACGGGGTGCCACCGACAATTATACATCTCATCCAACAGTTGTACGAAAATGCTGAATGCCGAGTAATACACAACGGGAAACTTACGGAATCCTTCCAAGTGAGGACGGGAGTAAGGCAAGGCTGCCTACTATCGCCAATGATTTGGATAATGCGAAAAACAGCGGACAATGAGGAAACAGGCGTAAAACGGACCCTCACAAAAAACTTGGAGGATCTAGACTTCGCCGATGATATATGTCTGATTTCCCACAAACTGGAAGATATGCAAGTGAAAAGCAACAAGTTGGCAGAAGAAGCATCCAGAGAGGATAGGACTTCAGGTGAACAGAGATAAAACAGAGGTGATGGAGATTCCTGGCCAACAGCAGCAGCAACAACCTTCCTTACCTACCTACTTGGGAAGCATCGTTTCAACTACAGGCGGAACTGACGAGGATATCAAAGCCAGAATCGGAAAAGCAAGACAAGCTTTCATTACTCTCAAGTCTGTGTGGAGGTCAACAGCATTCAGGATCAAAAATAAGATCCGGGTTTTCAACTCCAATGTGAAGTCAGTCCTACTTACTGTACGGATCAGAGATTTTGCACCGTGTCAAGAAGAGCACATCAAACAAACTACAGACCTTCATTAACAGTTGTCTTCACTCAATACTCAAGATCAGATGGCCAGCCAGAAAAGATCAGCAACAGGAATCTCTGGCAATAAGCGAACCAACCAGGAACCGATTGTCAAACATATAGGCAGGAAGAAATGGAGATGGATTGGCCATACGCTGAGGGAACCATCAAGTGACATCACTAGACAAGCCATCGCTCGAGTGGAGCCCGAAAGGGAAGCGGTGGGTTGATCGTCAGTGCGAGGGTGACTTGGAGGAGGTCATGTGAAGAGGAGATGAAAGCGTGTGGGCAGGCTTGGAGAGGGGTGAAAACGTTGGCAGAGAACCGAACGCAATGGAGACGCTCGGCTGAAGCCCTCTAAGAATTAAAGGAAATAATAATTTCTCTTTGTTTTGTTCGGCCCCTAAATTTAATGTTACTCTTTGCTATTTTGTTTGACAGCTTTGATAATGGACGATTTTACTAATGCGATTTTGTTTGAGTGAAGTCAATTTTACGCCGTGGAGTAACTGTTTGACCTGGGACTGTCCGTCAGAAACGTGTTTGTTGTGTTTGATTCTTGTAGTAGGAGTTTCGATCATAGCTTGTTTGAGATATTCCTGTTCTCTGGTAATTTATAATCGTGTTTGGTCAACTAGTTTTGTTGTACAGTACACATTTTGTACCTGAGAAACTTCTAAATAGTTTAACTGCAGGACGACATCGTTGAAGTAGGCATGTAATTTTTTTTATGTCACTATTGTTGAGAGCACCACAGATTCTATCAATCAAATTGTCTTTCATATTGGACTATTCTTGAACTCATCGAGTAGTTTCCACATTCCGACGAAATACTTGGTCGTTAAAAAAATTACTAAACAACATGACTTTGTGTTCCCAAATACCCAGTCATTATTAATAATAGTTAAATTCATAAAAATGAAAAAAAAATAACTAACCTGTGGTTGATCACCAGTGTATAAATTTAGAGTAACACTTTCCATTCCTAAATCAAAACTGACAGCCACTTTAACTGAATCTTTATTATCAACATTTGATGGGGATGTGATTTTATTGTCAGCCTTTTGTGATGGCACAAGTTCATTTTTAGTGTTACTAGGTGTAGAATTAGCCTTCCCTGGCTTTTTCGTAGAATCTGATGATGTCGGTGTAGGTTGAGATTGGGTAGTCGGTGGTAATTCACTGAAATTATCAATTAGCACCTCTTGAACAACACGATAATCACCCTGACACATTGAAATCTATGTGCAAAAAAAGATTCAGAAAAAAAGTAAGTATGAATACCATTAGAAGGTGAAGGCAGTAAAGTTATGCGAGAAATTTACCAATTTGAGAGGGTAACTAAGGTAGAACCAGTTGCTTTATCAGTGAGCTAAATACCTATGTGTGTAGGATAAGTTAGAAACAACATTTCCCAGTAGGGAATTTAAAACTTGCAGCACTTGTGAAAAAAGTGATAATTTAACGACTCGTCAACTGAATACACTGGCAAATTATCAGACACTTTTTATCGACCATGTACCTGTTGAACTTAGTAGTTATTCATTATCAACATGACCATGTTAGTAGGTTGACCTTTCGAATTGACACATACACACAATCGTGTTCAGCTGACGAGTCTTAAAGTGGATTATAAATTCGTCAAATACTGCTTTCTACACCACTGTCAATAATCGAAAAAGTGGTGAAAATAATGCATAATCTTAAAAGACAGCTATTTAAAGTCTTTAAAAAGACAAAAGTTGATTCACAGTACATTTTCGGAGAAAAAAATAAGTGTTTATATACTAAATAACTAATATTTCTATTGTTAACGCATGCAATTCAAAAGGACTACATTTAAAGCACAAATTATTTCGATTTTCCATACACAGATTCATAGTAGGCGGGCAATCGAGAACGAAGGGATGCTCATTTATTGGTCAGAAGTTGAATAAGTCGACCATGTCTACAATATATCACTTTTAGAAAGCATAACTATGATATTTCAGCAGCCCTTTTTACTTTCGCAGAAGTGGTTGCTACCCTTTTGAAAATAGAGGCTCTAACTCGGTGTTGAAGTAGCGTTTAGACTCTCTGGATTATGCAGCTTAGTGTTTATGAGAGGGAACCAGATGTTTTAGCAGATGAATATTGATAAGTAGAAAACTTAGGTTCTTCACATTTCACCTTCAGATATCCCAACAATGTGATGGCCATTACTACTAAACGGTTTGTAACTAGTCTGAGTATATAGAAAGATAATGGAATTAATCTCTCACTACCCTATTAAACTTAACGTCTCCGTTTCGTTTCTGTTGTCTTGTTGCGTCACTTTTACTATTTTGATTACCACTCACTAAGCTGAACTCACTATTAATTAAGCAATTAACTTAATTGTTGACTTATGCAACAATCTTACTTTTATTTACCATTTTTTCTCAGTTGCAAGTTTCGCCCTTCAAACCTTCCACCATATCATTTATACGTAAACTCTGGTTGTTAGACTATTAACTATCCTGTATTCATATCTCCCATTCTGCTACTATGCCAGTTTGAGTTGAAATAGTTTTTAAAGTATGTTATATATTTACATTTATAGTAACTGATGTCATTTTCACACTGTTAGCCACAAAATGATATAATGAGCTTTTACTATCCTGCAAATATGCTGGTTTATTCACTACCTTCACGCAGCAGGGATGTTCTTCACCTAGAGGAGCTGGAAAACTCTGATTCCAAACCAATCATGTACACGGGTTTCAGAATCAAAACGGATTGAACGACGTGTGAACTTGATTTCGTCACTGTGAGCTACGGGAACGCAGCTGTTAATGCTACTCCACTGTTTTGCGGATAAGAATTCAAGTCAAAGGCTGGGGGTGACCCTTTACGACAGCCAACTTCTTCAGTCTGGGTATCTGGTTAGTATTTAAGCCCTCGCACAAACTATGGGATTTTGTGAGGATCTCTTTGTGCCTATAATCTATCAAGATTGTTTTTTAATAATAATAATATGGTTTGAAAAAGACGATATAATAATGAGCAGTGAACAACGAATAATTGTAACGAAGTCTACCATCTTAGAAGTAGTCGAATTCTAAACCAAAAGAACTAATACCAATTCAAGTATATGAAAGTCGTTTTACTTAGGATGGTAAAGCAATAAGTAAATATGTTGCATTTCATCAGTATTTTCAATCTAATCGTTAACGTATTTTACACTACTGAACTTGGTCATTCAATGTTTTAAGCAGAGACAAAACACAAAAGTGTCAGAATCTAAGGTAGAGTAAATTTTTTATCGAATATGAATGACAGACAATATCTACTGACGAAAAACCACAACGGCTTAATGATTCAAGTTGATACACTTAATTTCGGAATAGAAAATTTATTTCTATAAAGAAAGGAAGACGAAATTTGCAGTATAAAATAATATCATCATTCTATTTCACAGGTTCTCATCATCTGCAGACTACCTGAAATTACAATGGTTATATAGATGATAATGACATATTTTAATGTTTAGCTGGTAGTAGAGAAGAAATGCTATAAAACTGAAGCATTCAAAGAGTGAGCATTACAATTTTTAGTTTACGTTTAACATATTCCAAGAAACCTATGCCTAAAAGGAAGCAAATATTCTCAGAGTGTAATTACCCAGACATATTGTTGATACCGGACATCTTGTAGAGATTTCTAAGTCCTTCAAAATATTAAATAAACAAAAGACAGCAAATTTACTAAGATTTGCCGAAGCGATCGCAATCAGACGATTCAAACCAACCAGACTTATGCATACAGAAAGAGAGTGTGATTAACCCCTCTCACTGCCTTGGTAACTGAATTTTGATTCTGATTACATTAATTAGTCATCTGATTCAGTGATCTCAAACTCACTGAACAAATCTCAGTCTTATAAACTGTAACCGCTTTTGTTTTTTAAGTTGCTATGTGAACAAACTACAAGCTAACACTGTTTTGTTAATTTTTCTGTCTTACCCCTCCCTCCCCCCCCGTCTTTTCTACTTTGAAAGCGTATAAATTGATGATGAAAACTTAAAATTGTAATGCTTACATTTTGAATGCATCACTTTTATAGTATTTCTTCTCTACTGCAACCTAAACATTAAACTGTTTTATCATCCCCATAACCATTGAAATTTAAGGTAGTATGCAGTTAATGAGGAGAACCTGTGAAATAGAATGATGATATCATTTTATACTGCAAATTTCGTCTTCCTTTCTTTATCAAAATTTATCATGGGAACCAAATGTATGAAGAAACTTTATTGGTGTACAGAAACCCGCCTCAGTATTATAACAGCGAACATTTTTCATCAAACAATTACCATCTAGTATATCGCATATTGACTACAATAGAAGTCATAATAAGTTGATCAAAATACTTTTAAAAATATGAATTCAATTGTTCAGTTCTTAATTAAACAATATACATATCAACTTACACTAATTGCATTTAGGCCGCCTTTCACCAATAAGATTGGTATTCCAGAATATAAATCCGGATTAAGATTTCGACGCATTTTCAACTCAACATTAACTGGAAGTAAAACATGCTTTTCAGCTGTCACAGAATTCTCTGCTAGTATTATTCTTTTGATATTTAGTTTAAAAAAAAGGGATAAGAACGAAAAGAAAGGCATATTTAGTAAGCAGGAGAGTGCGAAGTATGTAAAAACGAAGGAAGGCCAAAAAAACAAGAATAAAACTTTAATCATCAACTACTTATAACATCGAACAGACTAGTTATCAACTTCAATGGAATAACTTACTCAAGAACTCACTTCTTTACATAAATATGTTTTATATGAAGTCTTTTAGGCGATTTTACTAGTGTGTATATAAATCTACCTCTGGAAATATGTAACAATATATAATATCACTACCCTTAATAGAACAATTTAATTGAAAATGACTATACAGAGATATAAACATAGATGTATTTGAAATACATAATAATAATTTTTCCTTCACGTTCCCAGTGGAACATAAGGATTCAAGCTAGTGGCCTGAAGTTTTTGTAGCAGTGTTTATTTTTACAGGATGGGGTTTCTAGCCTCATGCCCGACCTTTCCTCTTTACCAGCATTATTTCTGGCTTAGCGAGGTAAAGAAGTGCGTCTGTGGCCGGGGATCGAACCCGGAACATGTACATCGTCGGGGAGTGTCCTAACCACTGTGCCACCGACGCACTTTGAAATACATATATACCTAAAAATATTTTACAGTGGCGCAGTGATCGCCAATGTCATCATTCAAAATGAGAATGTAGGTTAAAAATCTTCAAAATTTTACTGGTTGAATGATATTCAGCGTGAAATAAAACACTGTGTTAAGCTTAAAGCAGAGGAGATTTATTGCTACTCGAATTCTTGTAGAGAGTACAAGAAAAAGGTGTTTCTAAATAAGTGGGTATTTTTTGACAATTTTACAGATGCCACACACCAGTTAACGAAATGTTGCTTCCAGAATCTATAACGCTAATAGTAAAAAGATCATCTACAAAGTGAAGCCAAACGGTACAAAGGGCGTCAGGTTTCGGCTTTTGAGTATGGTGGAGGCGCTGGCAATTCATCAATACAACCCTGAACTCTGTATACAGAAAACGTTTATCTAGATTCTTATTCTACCTTGGTCTTAACCTCTTCACTAATCATTCCCTGTAAAAAAAATTTGATGTTTTCTTTTGTTTTTAATTTTACTTTTAGTTTGCTTTTGCTTTAATAATTAATTCACTATTATCAATCTCATATGCTCCTTTTGTATATTTTCACACCCTCTTCACACTTGTTAAATTGACACTCAGCTACCTTTATTCTCACTCAATAGCAATTTTAATCTTATCAAACCTCTATCTTTGTGACGTTGAGTACCACGTAATTTACAGCTTTTAATTTTCACTTGTAAAGCCACTTATGGTCAATTATATCAATTATGTCACTCCTCCCCCCATTACTCAATAATAGACCACTATACAATTTTCTAAGTATAAATACGACTGTACAGCCTGTAAAGGTGATTTCGTCGATAAAGAAAATTTTCTTCGCTGAATCTGTCGTTTATTTTCTTCGTAAAAATGTTTATTTAGCTCTCAGTGACGTGAACTGAATCTGCGCATTAAGATACAGGCATGTAGACTTTATATCACCATCAAAACATTGAATAGTTTAACCTATTTCCACTGAACACTTGATCAGTGTAGCATGATATTATTTCAGTTCAATCTGAATTACAGAAATAGATCTACTTTTCAATGCAATCGAAATGTAATCAGCAACAGGACTTAAAAGTAGAAAGGCTCACCTTGATAATCGTAGATTTTCTAATCTAACTATCATATGTTCTAACATTATACCAGGTTCAGGAACAGCAAGTTTTGCATCCGGCAACTGATTTAATGACTTTATAAATTCAAAGTGATTTGTCAGTGTGATACGACCAAAATCAAGCATTAAAGAAACATCTGACATTGAATGTTGTGGCACATATATAACTGGAGCTTGTGCAATAATGTTCAAACTTAGACGGGTTTGAACCGAGTTATCTACTGCTTGTTGTACCTAAAAAAGAAATTAAAGTTAGAATATACATGCATATATTGGTAGAAATTCAATTTGTCCTTTCTAATGATTCTCCAATAGGTCTCCCTATAAGTTATAAGGAGAAATACAGATAGAATCATGTATTGCCTGATAATATAAATGTAGTCAGCTGAGAAAGATACGCCTGGGATGACCAGACTAATCGCTAGAAGGTGACTAGAAACCGTTTCACATACTCTTAATTCAGTGGTGACTAAGGGGAAAGAAACAGTTTGAGTCGATCGCATTCATCAAAAATTATGTCTGCACTGGACTAGTGAGCTTTAATAAAATTGTTGCTTACATATCCTTTTAATTTACATAACATAAAGTTAGATCGTATCATAAACCGCCGTCTTATAAGAGAATAAAGCAGCCGCTATATTGCAGATGTAATAAAGTAATCTATTACTATAAATCACGATAAGTGCAGGGTGTTTTTAGAGAAAATAAGAGATGGCATCACCTCTTGAATGCACTGCTTGAAAAAAAGCAATAGTCATTATGATATAGACGTGTCACAGAAAACAAAGGTCACCACGGCATCAACGGAATTTGTCGCGAAAGAACGAGGATCAACAAATCTAACAAATAGTATGTTCGAGTTAAAGTGATCTATGATTAAACTTGATTCAATGTCCGCTGTTTTGGCAGAATAACTATGCATTTCGGGTGTTTAGAGACAATTGACAAGCAGTTTAGGACCTGGTCTTCATACTTGTCTGCAGATTATATCTGCAACGTCGAAGAAACGGATGCCCTTACCATGGATTCAAACTCGCATTAGTCGGTGCTGCAATGCGAGACATTGTATTCCTTCTCATGTTTTATTCTTTTGAGTTCCGAGTGGGAAATAGGGCTTCAAGCTTTTTAAGCTTTGAAGTTACAGTAACGCTTGCGTTGATTTTACGGAATAACGCTGCTAGCTTCGCGCCCAACCTTTCCTTATACCAGGCTTATTACACACTAAGCGACATTTAGGAGTGTGTCGGCCTGGTATCAAACCCCGGATTTCGTGGGTGATTGAGGAGTATTCTACCACTGAACTACCGACACGAGATGTTACTGGGGAATTATTCAGACTCACGATAGATCTTCTGTAAGATATTACACGCTATTAAAAATCATCGATCCAACCAAATGGTTCAAATATGACTAACATTTGTCATGAACATTTGATGGCATGTTATCACTAAACATGAAAAATGTAACTCGAAAAGTCATGAAAACACCACTAACCTGCTGAACAGCTGCATCTGATAAAGCTTGAACCTTGTTTAGCATAGCATCAGCTGCGGTTTGATAGGCTTGCATAAAATTCTACATTGAAACGGTGTAAATAAACGGAAAACGGAAATAGTTCCAAAATTTATATTAATATAATCGTCAACAGTTTAAGAAAGAATAATACAATAATAAACCAATACTTGAAAATTAATCTGATGCTCACTAGTGACTGGCCCTATTCAAGTGGGTAGTTACCTGGGGTTCAAGTGGGATGCCGTGACCAGTAAGTTACAGCAGGTCGAAGATGAGGTAGTAACTCATCGAAGAAGATATTGCGAAGTGGTCACGCTATGTCGTGAATTGTCAGAAGTTAGAATTCAAGGACCATTGGATCGGGTCCCAGTGGCTCACTGGTCTACGAGCTCGCCTTCCAACCAGAAGGGTTTGGGTTCGAACCCTGGTGGTGGGATAAGTACTGATGAAGAGTCTCAAACCAGGACGAAACAACTATCCAGTACTCCCAAGTTTTCCAGTGGTTCTCTAACTGATGTCAGCTCATGATTAAATCCTCCATGCAATCAAACAAAATTCCTACAAAACCAATACTTGAAAAAAAGAATAATACATTTAGATAAAAACTGACTATCATTAATATTAAAATAAATAGTTACTTATTTATTTTTAATAAACAACTAAGAGGTACTTATTCGAATATTCTGTGACTATAAGACAAGTTCCATGTTAGGTGAATTTATTTCATATGATACACAATAACAGAGTCATTATAATTGAATGAACGCGATTCATTGCCTGTAATCAAATCAAGGTATTCACAGGAATTCTTAACTTGTTTTAATAAACTGCTCTCCTCCTTGTCAAAACATTGTACTAGCGTAAAACAAGAAGGAGTGGATCTGTACCAAATATACATGAGGAATTAGACCACGTTGTTCAATTCCACTTGTATATTATAAGACATTATCTGAAGTCCTCATTCCAAACGGTTCTTAAAGTACCTAATACTCTAGATAAATACAGATGTCATCTTAGAAACATTTCATAACATTAGTCATTTCGGTGGGAATGGTAATCCACGTGCAACAGTATATTCGCATCCTGTTTCTATTCAACAACATAGAGGAACTAACACGAAAATGGTAACTGATATGCAACACGTTCAGTTAAAATCAGGCAGGATGTTAAAATAGGCTAACTAGTTGAAACCAACTAGATCTCTTATCGCCTATTTGTGGTTACCGAATTACGATCATAAACAAAACATAGAAACAAGCATGTAGATATGAAAGAGTCCATGCGAAAGATAATTTACTTGTATCTGACATTATGGTTCTTCTTATAATTTTATGAATAATCACAAAATGAATGCATCACATTACAGTTACAACATAAACTATTTTCTGGTTAATAATGTATGCTGGCAACCGGATATGGATAATTAAATAGTGAGGAAGAAAAAACAGGAGGACGGAGAGTAACAGCTTAACGTAGAAACTCATTTAACATGATAATTTTATCTTGTCGACTACCAGCTAAAGTGAAAGTCAACAGCTGACAAGAATCATGATTACTAAAGGCATATTGGGAAAAGCAGAAAAGATCTTTTCGAAAGATTAGAAATATATATATATATATATATATGTCGGTTATGTAATAGAAACCAGTGTAGAATCATATGCAAGAAGCTATTTCGTAGCACAGGAAACACCGTAAGTATAATCTAAAAAGCCTTCCATGAAATAATTTTTTGTCAGAAAGAATCCCAAAGCCGATTGCTTTAAGGCTAGCTTAGAGAACAACGCCTTATCACCGACTATCAACGACCTCCATCTCTACAAAAGATACATCGATGATACTTTCATTATTTGTGATCAGAATTGTGATGTAGAAAAACTACTTCAAATCTTCAATAATGCCCACCCAAACATCGACTTTACACTTGAGACTGAATCCGACGGAATGTTCCACTTCCTCGACGTCCATATGACAAGAAACGCCGACAACTCTCTGAAAAGGTCCATATACAAAAAGCCTACATGGAATGGACAATTCATCAACTTTCAAAGCTTCGTGCCCCTGAGTAGAAAGAGGAACCTGATATACGCTCTTTCCTCGAGGATTAGGAAGATATGCAGCGAGGAAGTGGTTGAAGAAGAACTGCGTAATCGCCGAAAAACCCTGATGGAAAACGGTTTCCCGCCAAGATTCATAGACAAGAATCTCAAATGTAAGAAGACTTCTGAACAAGTCCATTCCGTTCCAAAGAAAATACTTCTGCTTAATCTAGAATTCAAAGGTGATATTGAAGCAGAAATCCTTCGCAATCGCCTCTCCAAATCGCTAGGGAAAACATACTTCTCCGCGAGCCTACGACTGACGTTTTCCTGCAAGAAACTGTTCAGCCAGAACGCGAAAGACAAGCTGTCGCATTGGGCCACCTCAACGTGCATATACCAGTTTACTTGCTCTTGTGGAGCTGAGTACGTTGACCGTACCATGCGCCGACTTGAAAAACGCGCTCGTGAACACTACCCAGCCTGGTTAGTAAAAGGAAACCAAAAGCGTGTATACAGTTCAGTGACAGAACATCTGGTCAATTCAGGACATTCAGCACCTTTCGAAAAATCCTTCAAAATAGTATACAAGATTCAATCAAACCTATCAAAGGGAGTCAAATCAAGACATCTGGGCATAGCCGAAGCGCTAGCTATACAAAAGCTCAAACCCACCCTTTGTATCCAAAAGAAATACGTCCAACCCCTGTCCCTGCCATGGCCATCATAAACAGGTAATTTTTTAGTAATGACCTAACCATCGCCTTTCTTACCTAAACTTCCTGTTTATTCTTGTTATTTTGAGTTTTTCTTAATCCCTGTTTACACTACCATATTTTCATACCCGAACTTCGTGTTTATTTTGTCATTTTACTATTTCCACACATTTAATCCCTGATTGCATAAACAATTATTCATCACATTAGTTCTTATCCAAACATCCTGTCTATTTTGTTATTTCTACATTTCTAACCCCTAATTGCACAATGTCAATCTTCTTAGCTATCATGATGCTACCTTGTTTGTTTTATCCATCCCCCTGTTTATTATGACATTTTAATTCCTAATTTTAATTTTTACTAATTTGACCCTTGACCGGATATTATTCTGGAACTTTCCTATCCATTTGATATAAATACACGAATGTACAGCCTAGTTGATGACTTCGTCGAAAAGAAAATTTTCTTCGCTGCAATTGTCTTCTTAATCCCAAAGGGATTAGAAACAACTGAGTAAAAAGATGTAGGAAGTAACAATTGAAGTTAGCTTTAGTGTCTTTTCTAAACTGTAGATGCAACCGAAACGGATGCATTTTAATATTGATACTATTTTAATATTATAATTTCACCTTCATGTTATGTAACCGTACTCGATGAGGTCACTAAAAAAGAAATTGTTCCTATCAGTTTTTAAAGCACAAAGTATGAAACAGTGAATTAAACACAGACAGCTTACCAGTAGACGTGTAATAAAATGATACAGAAATATTAAATGTAATTTTCCTATTTGGAGATTGATAGCCATATCTACTTTGTCCGGATCAATTGAATTCTGTAAAGACTTAGTCCCATCTTGGAATTGGGTAAATTGCAATGAAACAATATTCTCAGATGGATCAACCCACAAAATCTGTATAGTAAATAAAAAAGGAAAACAGACACGTCGTCAGAAGTATACAAATTTAAAAAGAATTCTGCCTTGGTAATTCATAGCTGTTCTACCTTTTTCAATCTTCTCATTTGATAATTCCCAATAGTCCTCCTTTATAAGAGCTCTTTACGCTTTCCATAAATCCATTCAGCTTTCGTTAGTGCTAAGTCATATGTACTCCTAACTAACGTAAATTAGAATCCTCTCATGCTAAAAAAAAGGAATTGTTAACAAGCTCAAACCATGTTCATGAGAAGTAAACCTGAATTGATTGATCACAGAAATGAATCATTCAAACCACTTGAAATCTGGTTACGAGAATGAGTAGAATGGGGATAGGGGAAGAAATCCGGCAGGTGGTTTCTGATTACTTCTATATATATATATATATATATATATATATTACATGCTCGTAGTCTACAGGTCATTTACTGCATACTGTCCTATTCTGAATGCCTCATTTACGGATGTGCGACTAGCGAAGTCTTTGTGAAGTTTCATCGATTGATGTGGCTAGGACATTTTAGATGCTTGCAACACTACTACTACCTTTTTTAACCAGCAATGTTAAGTGAAGCAGGATTAAACTGGAAAAGATTTACGGACAGTCACACTAAAACATGTCATCAATCCATAAAGTCATTAACTGTTTGTGTGAGTCATGTAGGGAGCTGTAAGTACTCGACATACAATGAATCAGTGATTGGAAAATTTGTTGAGGTGGCTCTATGTCATTTAGAATAGTGTAGATAATTGAATTCTTTTACATCTTCCAGAGGCTTATATTTAAGTATGAAAGAATAAAGTAAATAATGACTTACCCTAGTTCTGGTTTGTGTTTGACTAGTGTGTCTTCTAGAGGACACCTGCTTAGATGTCATTTTTCCTCTGAATGCAAAAAGTCAAAGTTTGTTAATCTTCTCAGAAAAGTCCTGCATAAGCGTATTTTCCCTGTGCAGGTTTAACTTAACACCTTTACATGATCAAAAATATTTCTCTACGCTTGTCAATGAATTGGAAGATAATCAGTGTTCATTTAGAAAGATTGAGTAACTAAGATTTAGGACATTGGATGATGGATCGAGCACAACATGCACTTATTTCGATGAAATGAAGGTATGAGAATGTAGAACCTACGATTGTTACGATATATTGTCAACTACATGTGAAACTAGTAGCATCATAGATATTCCAAGACAAAAGTAAAACTGCTAGGCAGTAGCTAGACTTTTACACTGATTGTGATTTTGATAAACCTGTTATCATTGCAATGGTATTCAAAATAATTACACAAAAGAGAAATTAATTATACGTAGAACTGACCTTTCGATAAGATGTATTTAAGATGTGATCAATTACACTGAATTCTGATAAAATTGTAGAAGCTTCTAAAGTATTATATGTTGTACGAACATCAACTCTTAGACCATTAACAGAAATTGAAAGTAAATTGGCATCTTTTGAACCCATTGTTATTTCAACTTTGTCCAAAGTTGCATTCACCATCCATTGTGTAATATTCAATTCACGAATCAGTGCAACTTTACCTGATGGATATATAACAATAGTACAATACTAAGAAGTACATTTAAAATGATCTGACTTGAATACTAACGTACAAGTAAGGAAGTACATCGGAAAGAAGAGAGTTATCAGTATCTTGAAAGATCTACTAATATACATCACAAGTAAAGTAAAGACACAGAGATATTTATAACTCTTAAACCAAGAGTGGGTGGACATGTGCTGCGAATGTCATCCCAGAGGCTTCCGTAAGGGTCTCTGTTCGCTAGCCCTGGAACGGGATGCAAAAGGCGGAGGGGTGGTCAGTCCATGACGTGGCGTCGTGGGATGAAGGATTTTTGCGATAGATTAGTATCGGTTGGTGTGTCACAACTCCCTGGTTGGAGTCCGAGAGTTAGCTCAAATCGATGGCTCGAAACGTTATCGGATATGGCTAAGAATCGTAATCAATGGCGAACGTGTTGCAATTTCCTTCTTTCTTCCCTTCCCGATGATAGCTAACGAATACTGTTTGAACTTGTTAAGAATGACTGTCTTCCTTCCAGATGAAGTTCTTTTTCCGTTCTCTACTTATATATAAATATATATTTTTTTCTTTCTTTTGATCTGTGTTGTTTTATTATTATTGTGTGGCGCATCCTTCTTGGTGCCATTTTGTACCAAGTTTTTATGCGTTTAAATAAATAAATAAAATAAGGGTGGGTGCGTTGGTGGCACAGCGGTTAGGACGCTCACCGACCATGCACATAGTCCGGGGTTTGATCCCCGGCCGACGCACTCTTTTACCCCGCTAAGCCAGTAGTGAGACTGGGCATGAGGTTAGCAACCCCATCCTGTAAAAATAATCACCAATGCTACAGAAACTTCAAGCCACTAGCTTGAAGCCCTATGTTCCACTGGGAACGTGAAGGAAAAAAAACAAGGGTAGGCTTGGAGTAAATCATATAATTTCACCACTTTAATTTTAAAATCGATAAAATTTTAAAAATAGCCCTGGAAGTCGGTGGTAGAATTAATGACCCGAGTGAAGTACAAATATGATGCGTTAGATTTGTTGAAGTATTACAACTACCTGAATGGATTTCATGTAACCTCGGAACTCAAAGATTTCATACATCACCAGGTAAAGGTTTGAATCGTAATCAGAAGCGACTACCGAACGGTTTGTTAGAAAGGAAATTTTCTTGTGAACTATCCGGTGGGTATTGTGGAAAACAGACAAATTTGAAAGGAAGGCTTGTGCAGTACTTCAGAATTTAAAGATAATATTCATTATTGAAGACAACTAGTGTGTGACAAACTACATGAATAAGGATTAGCACGAGATAAGCTAATTAGAAAACACGGAACAAAAAGAAATTAAATACAGTATAATATTCATTATACTCTATTTGACTATATTACTGTTGGTTAGAATTACCTGACTTTTGTGCTTCAGAAGCTGCTTCAATACGTATAGTACGACGTTCATTTTTTCGAGCAATATGACTTTCAACTGCATCTACAGCTGTTAACCGTGCAGGCAGTTGTTTATTCATTTCAGCTTCTTGTGCAGCTCGACGTTTAGCCTTTTCTAAACCTTCTTTATCTCCAATACTTGCAGCCCATTCAATTTCAGGTGTTCCTTCAACTTTTTTCACTTGTTTAGAAAGTGTTAATAGTAGATTATTGAAATAGTTCATTATTAGCAGAGTAGCCTCTTGATGAATGTACACCTATAAAAAGAAAGATTATGAAAACAAAATAAGCGGTTAGCTGACTGACAATGTATAATAAACAGCACTGTAAATGTACTAACAGTTTTACAGCTACTGAGTTTTATGGAATATAACAAAAAATAATCGTGTCATAATCACGGGATGTGCTTGAAAAACTCAGTGATGTGACTGCTTATGACAGTATTCAACAACTGAGAAGATATGGTTGACTAAACATGTATAAATTTGCCAGCCGATAGGAGTAACTGTCAATGTTAACAATACACAATTTCAATTCTACAAATTGGACCAATTGATATAAGTATAAAACTTGGTCACTGTGGTAGAGTATAACTCCATTATAGATAAGATTTTATTTTGCTAAATCACACAGTGTTGTACAGTTATACTAACTGATGACGTTTCGAGCACAAACTATTGCTCATAATCATATCAAGTAACTCACACAACTTTTTTCTTTCATTTATATACATGTGTGGAATGGATTAGATATTGGATTAAAAATCAATGTGAGATAATGTCCATTCAGAAATAATAGTACGAGTGTTATTGACCCATTACAATTATATGGGAAATACGAATGTTTTATACGAGTGTATTTTTTATAGTCATAATACGTTACTTGTTAGAATGTTTCGATGTATTTGAATTGAAATAGAATTTTAAGATTATTTATTATCTTCTTCTGATTTGACTTGAGGTAATATTATCTTCCATATTTCTGGTATTTGCATTGAGTCACTTCTGTTGCATGTGTTGGGTGTAGACTCGATGAATAAGGATTCCGTAATCAACCTCTCTCTCCACCTACCTATATTACTTTTTAGAATTTTAACCCTATCCCACCCTATTGTGTGGTTGTTTGTTAACGCGTGAAGTGCAATAGCTGAGCTTTTTTCTAAATTACTTATCTTTTCAGGGTCAACCATTCTTACCTTAGCTAAATTCTTATGTTCTGATAATCTGACTACCTCTGACCTACTAGTTTGACCTATGTAGTTGACCTCACAATCATTCCAGGGTATTTTGTAAATTATGTTATTTTGTCTAATTGGGTCCATGGGGTCTTTTAGCCTACAGAGCTGGTCACTGAATGAGTTTGTAGGTTTAAATGCCACCCTAATTCTTGCTTTATTTAGAATCCTACGTAGGGTCTCAGATGTCCCCTCTTTATATGGCATAACTGTAGATGACTTATATTCTCTCTTATTTATGTTATTGTTACTAGTTTCACAATTATTTTTATTTTTCGTCTGGCCTTTTTCGATCTTCCTAATGAATTCTAAAGGATAGTTATTTAACACCAAAGCCTCACTCGTATAAAACATTCGTATTTCCCATATAATTGTAATGGGTCAATAACACTCGTACTATTATTTCTGAATGGACATTATCTCACATTGATTTTTAATCCAATATCTAATCCATTCCACACATGTATATAAATGAAAGAAAAAAGTTGTGTGAGTTACTTGATATGATTATGAGCAATAGTTTGTGCTCGAAACGTCATCAGTTAGTATAACTGTACAACACTGTGTGTGATTTAGCAAAATAAAATCTTATCCATAATGAAATTAGCCCAAAGTTGAGAACTGAAGATACGATAAAAAAACATACAAAATCATACTCATTCGCCTGATGTTAACTAAACTTTCAAAGTCATTTACCGCATACCAACTAGTCTGAACTTCACCTTAAGACTTCGACTACTAAACATTGCTGAGGCTGGCCGTTGGGATTCATATAAAGAAGCCTAATTTATGCGTCCAAAAAAAGTTAGTTCAGCCAGGTAAAGGAGTGTGTCGGCTGGGGATTAAACCCCGGACCATGTGCATGGTCGGCGAGCATCCTAACCGCTATGCCACCGACGCACTGGGCTTACATTAAATGACATGAAATAGAATGTTGAAATACATATAGCATTCTGTTGCTAATGCAGTAGTGAACTGTGGGAATATGTGAGAATATTGTTCCGTTGGAACACATTGTCTGTATCACACCCCTCCACAGAAGAAGTTCTGCGAATCATATGATAGAATTAAGATGAAAGAGATTGTACAAACTACTTTTGTAAATAAAGGTCTGGCATTATTTAATATGTTCTCAAAGCTCCCACTATACAATACAAATACACTTGTGTTACTCTTGACAGATTTGTAGACTATATTTAAGGATGCTTCAGATACTGCGTGGTCAGTATCTACTATATCTCAAAAGTATAGATGAATTCATTGATCATATGTCTAATCAATTTGTGATTCATAATTAATTTACACCAATATTATCATACTTTAGTATTTCCACTCACTGCCAAACGTTAAAACTCGCACACAAGAAAGCTATTTGTTATTGTCTATTATAATTCATATATAAATACGATTTTAAATCCTCCATGCAATCAAACACAAAATCCCTACAAAACCAATACTAGAAAATTAATCTGATGCTCACTAGTGACTGGCCCTATTCTAGTGGGTAGTTACCTGGGGTTCTTGTGGGAAGCCGTGACCAGTAGGGTACAGCAGGTAAAGATGAGGCACTAACTCATCGAAAAAGACATTGTGAAATGGTCTCGCCATGTCGTGAATTAGCAGAAGTTAGAATCAAGGACCATTGCATCAGGTCCCAGTGGATCAATGGTCTACGACCTCGTCTTGTAATCAGAAGGTCCTGGGCTCGAACCTCGGTGAATATAAAACTATATATATATATATATATATATATATATATATAAACGGCGGTTTGATTAATTAAAAATATACCTTGGCTTCCGTGTTTTGCCGTCTGTTATTACACTTTGTTCTTCTTTATTCCATGTTGTTCTATTCTGTTTTCTTCTGTTTCAGTCTACGTTATATATCACATTACTAACACATTTCACTTATTCTATGTTGATGACACTTCATTCATTGTGTATTCACATCATATTTGCGCATTGGAACATGATAAGATTCACATGTTAACAACATTTGTCAATGAACTTTATCCTCCTATCATCTATTTTATGCATGTCTATTGAACTTTGTGTTGACCTTTATTGATTTATCGATTTATTTATTTACTCATATTGTCTAATCAATTTATGATTCATAATCCACCTAAACCAATATTATCGCACCTTAGTTATTTCTACTCAATGTCAAATTTTAAAATATACATAAATATGATCTTGCCGCTATAAAAATGAAATCATCGGAAAAAGAAGTGAGTCGCACAAATATTGTTTGCTTAAAAGTGATAAGCTTTTTAGCTTTGATGTATTCCATATATTTAGTTATTATAAAGCTGTTTGACTAATCAGTATTTCTTAAATATTTGGTGTAAAAAACTGAGAGATGTAATAAAAGAAACTTAATATTCTATATGTATACTTAAAGTTATGCGCATTACACTAACACAAGAACTAGGTGAAAATGGTATTGTTCCTTTGTGTACTTTGTTTTCAATCTTATTACAGGAAACTTTGATAAAGTAAGCCTCAGCTATCATTACGTACAACGCTTTTTGAATTATTTCTGAGAAGCTATACATAAATTTATCGATTTGATTTGTCAACTCCGGAAAAGTATAGTATAGCGTTAGATGGTTGGAGACAATCGGTAGACAGCCTTAGCTGCACTTAGGTTTCGTGTTAGTTGGCACTCACCAGTCAGCAAGGCGTAGATGCAACCTTGGAGGAACTCGTGTGTCTTCTGAGATTCGAACTCGCGTCACCTTGTGCTACAGTCAGAAACTTTTCCTTTCCTTCACGTTACCCAGTGGAACATAGGGCTTCAAGCTAGTGGCTTGAAATTTCTGTAGCAGTGTTTATTTTACAGGATGGGGTTCCTAACCTCATGCCCAACCTTTCCTCTTTACCAGGATTATTTTTGGCTTAGCGAGGTAAGGGAGTGCGCTGGCCGGAGGTCGAACCCCGGACCATGTGCATGGTCGGCGAGCGTCCTAACCGTTATGCCATCGACGCGTTACCGATGGACTGTTCGAGCTGGCGACTGACCTCCTGTAGGACTGTATTGGATACTGTGACTGGACTCTAGTAACTAGTGTGATATGTTTAGTCCTTTGTTTGGTGAAGACTGAATGTGGAAAGAAAACAGTCTGGTAGTATACATAATCTTCAATATCAGTTTCTTCCGTAGTGGCATCAATTTCTTAATTTCCGACCTAGAAGTATTATCAATTAAATTGCCGTTATTATGAGTGTTCTCTACTCGTCGTTATTCATTAGGCGTCAAAAACTCAAGATTCCAATAGTTGAACCGCTAAACCAGTGTGGTGGATCCATACACTTGAACACTGGTCCTCATTGATTATTTCTAGTCATTGTGAAGGTTTATTTCTCCAAATATTCTCTTCTTCTTATTTGATCTAATTTTATTTAACTCCTGGGTCAAGTGATCGACAAACGTACTTGACAGTAATCTCTCAAGATTTCAACATGACTCTTAAGTGTTCAATGGTTGTTAAATGCTTCTAGGATTACTTAACTTCATATGCTGAGGATAAAAACGACTACGTCAAATAAAATAATATGAAGGAACTTCCTAGAGAAGTATGATAAATACAGAAGCAAAGATAACATTTGATATTTAAATTAACGTAATAAACGGTGTTAATGAAACAGGAAGGTGAAAACGATTTTAATATGTCCGGAAAATTTACGGAAAACTTTGAGTACCAGGATGCATACATACCCGTATAAATATGAGAATTAAAAAGCAACTTACATCTAACACCTTAAAGTCACACTGCAAACGATGACGTGTATTTTGATATTGTGTATCAAAATCGGGAGCATTTTTCTCTGCTATAGTTAAATGCACTGACAACAAATGATGGCCTTCTTTATGACGTTTTGTACGTGCTAAATACACTGGCTCAAAAGTCTCTTTATTTGTAAATTGTGGAACAGCCACTGATAATGTACCAATATGGGCCTAATTAATTATACAATAAAAGATACACAAGAAATCAATCACAAAAGAGAGAAATAAGATCTTATAAACATCTAAATCAAAACAGAATTTATTAGAAACACCGGGAAGAATAAGTAAACACTGACATTGTTCTACTCCAGATGAGCAACATTGCTAGTGATAAGAAATCTCTTTCACTTATGAATTCATCCCTGAAGAAGTTAAGAAGGGCTTGTTGAGCGAAGTATAGACTTGCTCATTTATACCTCGCAGAAATTTATACAAATACAATTTTTCAAGTTTGACCACGGATTGATGTCAGTTAGCAAACTACTGAAAACCAGGGAGTACTGGACAGCTAGCTGATTTATCCTAGCTTGGGAATCATCGACAGTACGCACCCACCGTTAGGGTTCAAACCCAGGACCTTCCCGGTTACAAGGAAAGCTTGTATACCATTCAGCCACTGGGACTCATCTAAATGGACAAATTCGTGATTTTAGCACGACCACCAACCAATGTCATCGGCGGGAACTCCATCTGTACTTCTCACTCAACACCTAATGTTTGTAGAACTATTCGGCTAAATCTCGATCAGAAATCATATAGCCTATTTCGCAATCAAAGGTAAGCTTAACATGAATTTCAAACGAAAATCAAAGTATACAAAGTGTATATCAGTACACAAATATAAAACTTTACATTTACTGATATGTATCCATGAAGTATTTAAGATACACGTGTGTTAAGAGCCTTACAATGTTGACGTCCCTAACACACACTTCTTCCTTCCAAATGGAATTACGATTTTGACTGGCATTTTGTTTGTTTTTTTCAATTAGATGAATATTATTTCCCTATGGTTTAGCAACACTCTTGAATGGCCTAATTTTTGGACAAGGCAATAGTTCATGTATACACTCGCAGTTGTTTTCAACCAGTTTTATCACGTATTAGACGATTTTTTTTCTGCAAGAATAATTTCAGTTCCTTTGCATCCCTGTAGTTAAGCCTTTTGGCGGTTTGTATTGGTGCTGATAGATTTGGGAACGGGAGTTTACATCGGAATAGACGATACGGATAAGCATAAAATGATAACATTATATCCAACAGCATAATGGTTTTTCCCTGTTTCCTAATAATAATAATAATAGGATGTTTATTGGGATACATGAAATTTAATCGAATCAGAGAGTAAACACCATTACCATCACATCACTTCCTCTTAACAGAAAACTACTGCTCACTATATTCGATTGTGAATCCATATGTGTATATCAATAAATGATTGACCCAATTTCAGCAATAGAGGCATATTAATGAGGTTGGATGACAGACTGCATATAATCGTAAAGTGACTGCTGTTTAAAAAGATGTCCAATGGTACGTTGGAAAGTTGGGCTTTTACTATAAAGTCTTGAAGTTTTGAACTTTTTTTATTTCAAGTTCAGGAATAAGTACTTTGAAAACGAGTCAAGGTAAAACAGAATAAATGTTTATTAGTGCAACTTGGCTTTTATTAGTTCTTACAAGTTGATCACGGATTGATATCAGTTAGAGAACTAGTGAAAACCAGGGAGTACTGCCAGACAGCTGTTATTTCATCCTAGTTTGAGAATCATCCGCAGCACGTACCTACTGGGATTCGAACCTAGGACCTTCCGGTTACAAGGCAAGCTGGCTCGTATACTATTCAGCCACTGGGACCCGATTCAATGGCTCATGAATTCCAACTTCCATCAATTCATGATTTATTAGTTCTCCAGTTGATCAAAAACAGCTGAAAACAAAAAATCTCGATTGCTCAAATATTCATTATCAGGTCACTACAAATTTCATCTTTGTATATTCTATAATAGATACATATAAAATTATTTATCTTATCAAGCTACTTTAGTAGAGTGAATAAATATCACTAACACATTAGAGAAACAGAATTACAAAAAGAGGATAAAAAACATGTGACCGACAAGATTAAAAACTGAGAATTCAAAGAAAAAGAAACTCCACCTTAATCTCTTGAGTCCAACGACGCTTAATTAAATTAGTACCAACTTCATGAACATTGAACGATAGAATTAAACGATCTTCAGCATGTTTTGCTGCTGCATCTGATTGACGCTCTAGCACCTGAACTTCGATCTAGTTAAGAAAAGTGGAAAAAAACACGAAACAAAAAATGATAAAAAATAAGTTAAATAAAATTTAACTTTGGCTCTGTTTTTCTCATAATTAATTACGTTTATGTCATAGAATTATATCGAAGTAATTACAAACATTAAAAAAGTGCTAATCATATCTAATGTGTATCTATTTTTCAAATGTATCGATTTCACTGGAACAAATAGGTACAGTATAGATAAAATAAAAACTAAAAAAGTAGATTCAAGAAGTCTTTTGGAAATCAGAACAGAACTAAAGGTTGAGCTTTTACCATTAAAAGAGGCCCCCCAAAACGACCTGGTACAGTCGAAAAGTGGGTAGGTTTCGGTCTTTCTTCTCGAAATGCCCTCATATGGCTGCGCGTTCATAGTATCTGCCAGATAAGTCCTATTCACTGCCTTCACGCGGTGGGAGGTGTTCCTCACAAAAATGAAAGAGCTAATACGAACGTCTGGAGCTTACAATAAAACTGGCGGACATCCTGGTATGCATAAAGGAGATGGAAATCTCCGGTTCGGAACCTATGATGCACATAGGCCGTCTGTTTGTCCATCAGTCTGTTTTCAACAGAGAACTTTGTACCGATATGCAACAGTTCGAGCGCACACAAATCAAGAGAAGAAAGTAGAAGAAATGCATAATAGATACAGTGAACACAGGTGTGAGACAAAGGAATAGAAGTAACGAAGAACAATATAGTTTCATTGGAAATTATAAGCCAAAAAAGGGGATGCATATGCACCATAGAGAACGATTTTGAGCCATATCACCAATTGTTCCCACCCATTGATTTTACCGTCCCGAGGACCCCAAATAGGAAGTCTACATCTTCCTACGTGGCTTCAACTAACTGTTGTGGATTTTATTGACAGATGAAGCCATGGTTTGGCTTGACCACCACTGGCCTTTTTCCAACCTGAACCATCTTATGTCGGCTAAAATTGGCCGTCGAGGAAGGCGATGGCTAGACATACGTAACGTATATCCCAACCATCTCAGTCGATGTAACTTCACAGTTTTTGTCAGCGCCTTCCTCACCTAGCAGGGAGGAGAACAATATCATTTGCACATTCTAAGTCAACGAGATTATTCCCTGGTAACAAGTCTATCCCTGAGTCGCTGAAGTCAATCAGGGTTAAATCCATTAGTACATATATGATGAAATCGAATAGAAATAGGAATAGTGGGCACCCCTGACGGACACCACTAGTTATCATCACTTTAGATGACAACTCGCTGTAAGCTCTCACCTAGCTGAATAAATGAGTTCGAGTCAAGTGCCTTGATAAGTGCAATATATTTTTTCGGCATTTTCTTCACAGCCAAGCATCGCCATAGTACCTCCCAGTCAAAGAAATCGAATGATGCCTTTAGGTCAAGAAATATAACGATTGTTGGACGCCGGTAAGTATGTCTATTTCCCAGAATCTGTCAAAGGGCGACGATATGATCAATACATCCTCTTCCTGGTCTAAAGCCTGCCTGGTTCTCTCGTGTTTGTGCCTCCAGAGAACCGCTCAGTCTACGCATGATTATCGAGTCCATATTAGTCAAACTAACCCCCCGGTGATGATCACAGGAAGACTTGTCTCCCTTCTTGTATATCGGGATAATCAATGACTTACACCTACCCAATGGGCTCCAGAATCCGAACGGATCGAATGGTGTGTCACCGGTGTATTTCAGACAGCATTGCTAAGGAAGGAAGGTGGTGCTTCGGTATTCACAACACGTGTGGTAAGCCATTTCAATCGATGTATCTTTAAAATCTGACCAATTGACTTCGCTTCCTTACTTAACCTTAATATTCCTCATTATATTATACCACTTAACACGGGAGACAGAACGCATACATCTATGGTTAAAGACAGCTAACCTCCTTAGGTCTTCCACTTTCAATGGCCATGTTATACAGATATAAAAAAGGACAGAGCGAACTGCTGCACAGTACAAGATTGCGTTATGTTTTCAACTAGGCTACTTCTTTACGTGAATCCACTCTGTTAAACAGTTGCATTTCACTACAGTTAATAAATAACGTAAACTGAATGGTCTCCTGATAGCAAAATACCATGAATCAACAAGGTTGGAAGTTATGTGTGTGTATTTGTGTCGAAGTTTTTGGGATTGAATACAATTGACAAACAATCAGTTTAATGTAAAATTGGCAAACACTCCAAATATATATGATTGTCACACTAACTTTTGACTTGAATGACAGACCCTTTTTGTGTATACTTCAGTAAAGTTAGGCATATTTATCAATGAAGAAATGTGATTTATTAAAGGTAATAATATAATATCACTGACTGATCAATAATAAGTAAATGCAACATTTCAAAACAACAAAGAAGAAGAAAACAGATCATTGTAACAACAGTAGAATTAAGTGAATTATACTGTAACTTAACAGGATAACAAATCAACACTTACTCTGCGTATAACAAAATCCACTTTTAAATCAATCAGCTGTGCTCGTTTACGCCGTAGATTAGATTGATCACGTTGACGCATGGACTATTTGTTATTGTTAAAAGTGAGGGAAAAAGAAGAACAAGAAAACACTAAGGTGATTTGTAGTGAATAGTTTAGCTAGGTAGCTAGCTAGCTATCTTTTGTACATGTAAATGGTGATAAAACTACATTTAAGAAACATATGTGTAGATTTATATTATATCCTTTCAAGTTAAGCTGGATTTTTCTTGAACAGAAAACATGTTACATCGATTCTGGAGTTGCAAACATAAGATAGATAAGGTGCTTGTATATATTATTTAAACGCAGAAAAAACTTGGTACAATATAGCACCAAGAAAGATGCGCCATACAAAATTTCATTTGTTGTGTGAGGGCTGAGATACTGCCCGGGCGCCCAGACCGAAGCAGGTAGTTTTATTAAACGACCACCGCCCCTCCCCCGAACCTTTGACTTGGAGTCTAATCCGCAAGACAGCGGAGCAGCGTCAGGAGCTGCATTCCCATGGTTTCCGGTGACCCATACGGGTTCATACGCTATTTGATCCGGTTGGATTCAGGAGCCCATGTACCCATGGTAACTGCTTTTAGTCTGACCGCTATCCAAACAACCTTCCTGACATGGTAGGACCTTCAGGGACATGACTCCCAACCAGTTTAGCTTGTTGGGTCACTGCGGTATTCAAGCTAGACCCTCACGACAAGGTAGCAGCTGTCGACCAACCTATAGCACAGTATATAACTCCAATAATTGTTCTGGATTTGTGAATCAGAAAACCGATAAGTGAAACGCATGACAACTTTGGATGAAATTTGGGTATGAGAAACATTTCCTTTAAAATTTTAAAACCAGCACACACTGATGAATACCAATTGCAACATTCCTTTGAGGTATATACCTAGCTGTTATAATAAACTCGAAAAGTTATCTAATCACAAAATGAGTCACAAAGAATTCATATTTTAATCTCCATACATGAAAAAGTTGTACGAATCAGTAGTTCATTTGGTTGAAAAATGCATACATAATCCAATGAGCTAGAGATTCACATTTAACCAGTTTTTTTTAAAATAAAACTTGCATAAGTTTGATACAGTTTTCTTTTCTTTTTCACTCGACTGTAAGGAGAAGCATACACAGTTAATCACAAAGAGCTTGGAAAATCCATCTGTGCACATCTGTGATCTCTCTTTCTGCACAAACAAATATCGATTGGAAATGGTTATCCAAAAAAAGCTACTAAATAATGTAATCAATAAAAAAGAGGAGAAATAGAAAATTGAGAAATCGACGATAGCCATTCCATATCGAAAGGAGACAGCTGAACAACTTCAAAGACTACTTGCTTTATATAATATTAAAGTCCATTTCAAGCTCTCTAATTCTCTAGGGAAAGCTTTGGTGAGAATGTCGAAGATATGTTTCCCGAAATGACACAAAACAACTGTGTTTATGTTCAGAATGTGGAGCTTCCTATATAGTAGAGAGCGGTAGACAAATGAAGGCCAGCATGAGTGAACATAGACTGTGTACGAAACGTCCACGTAGAAATGAAGTAGAATTAAAAAGTCTACAAAAAAGATCAGCTATAGCATGCTATAGACAGCTGACATAAGATTGATTTCGATAATGTCGAAATTCTAGGAAGAGACTTGCATTCACACAAAGAAAGGTTGACCTCTGGAACTTTGCACATTTTAACCACATCGAATGCAGTAAGTAGGAGAGAAGGGACAGATTTGTCACCTATATGGCAGACTCTAATGAAGCAAGACAGATGAGAAAACAAAAACCTTCATGAACCCCTATGACCTATATAAAATATCACGTTTTCGTATTGGCTTTTTTTATTCCTTTATGTTCCCAGCGGAACATAAGGATTCAAGCTAAGGGCTTGAAGGGTTGCTAGCCTCATGCCCAACCTTATTTTTCTTTACCAGTCTTATTACTGGCTTAACAGGGTAAAGGAGTGCATCGGCCGGGGATTAAACCCCGGACCACCTGAGTGGTTGGCGAGCACTCTACCACTGCGCCACCGACGCACATTATCATGTTTATCACATGTGACTTGACGTCTTTTTTCATATGACAGATAGCATACACTCATACACATTCATACAGATAAATATGCACAATGACAATTTGACATTAGTCATTACAAATATATGATGACTGCTTACATATTTCTGTTGGTACAAATGTCTATCAACATGTGACCTTCAAATGAACTGACTTCAATTTATGTAAAAATTTTGACTATATATTTTGATGATTGATAAAATTCGAATAATTCTGTTGAAGAAGCTGTGGCTCACACAGCGAAACGTTCAGGAAAACCTTGTTTTGATTTTTTCTTAAACACACTGGGATTATTTTAAATAATTTAAAATTTTCAAAAGAATGGATACTGAACAAAGAGTACTCTTTTCGATAAATTCATCATCAGGCTCTAGCGTTATATATACATATATGTATAGTGAATGAATGAGTTAGTGTTATGAACAACATTAATGATTAAATAACATCGAATCAATAATATTGATAGATTACAGCTGAATCGCATCAACATAAAATAAGCTGAATGTCAGAAGAATTAGGAAGGATAATATTACAAATTCATGAGTTTATAGTTTCTACTGAAGGCCAGGGCAATAGTGGGGGCTGGACTTGCTTCTTTTGAACACAGAGCACTGGTTGTTTGAGGCGAATCGCAATAGCATGCGGTGCTTCGATGTTTTTGGCAATTTATTTGGCACCTGGTATATTATAGAGAAGGATTCTTCTACGCTGGCTTTGTGGCCGGTTTGCACCAGATGTTCCAATATCGAGGTGTTAATAGTTTTCACTACACCTTTACTTAATCATAATGGGAGATGTTCTCGGGCGAGCACGAAAAATCAAGTTCCTAGAGCAACGGCCAATATAACTCGCTCCACAAGCGCAGTTGAATTGATAGATACAGTTTGAAGTGGCTAGTCTAGGTACTTCATCTTTCAGTCAAGGAATCACCATAGGTCGTGCAGAGAATAATACGTGTAGTTCGCCAGCATTAAAAGTTCTTTGAACTGATTTTCTTAATTTCTTCGTAATTATCTCGCTTGGCATATCGCCCATGAATTGTAGCCGTATATAAAGAGGCTTCTTTTTTACAGATAGTGAGTAGTCCTTTTCCGTTTTCTTTGTCATGTGCTTCTTGATAAATTAGTCGGGATAGCCATTTTCGATCAAAGTATCACATGCATACAATGCTTAATTCATCTTCAATTATCTCTTCTGAGCATATAGCTCCAACTCTGTGGCTGAGGGTCTTCACTAAATTTCTTTTGTACTTGATAGGAACGAAGCTGTGAAAATGTGTATATTGTCCTGTCCAAGTACTTTTTCTATGCAAATTTCTTTTAGTGCTACCATCTGGTTTTCTTGTAAGTAGGACATTCAGGAAGGCAATTCTGTCTTGGGATTTCTCTTCGCATGTGAATTTCATAGCCGAATGTACTTCATTGAATTGATGATTTTAGTTACAGGTACTCATTAGTTATAGACTAAATATCTCCTACACATTAACCCCCGCTGATAATCGACGTTTAGAAGAGACCTAGTTGCATCTTCTTAAAGTACATTTGTCTTAGCGCAGAACACAAATAACGGAAAATCATTTGACACAGTATTATATAACTGATAAAAATAAAAATGTGCACTGTGGTAGAGTACAGCTCCATGTTAGTTTGTTTATCTAACGTGGCAGACAGCGATAAGGTACTACTTATTGGAGGTTGTTTAAGGTATAATCTATTACCAATAATCACAATAAACATAGTGAGAAAACTATTTCTGGATACAAGATACCAATAAAATAGTCATAATATTATGTACATTTTATTAGAAATACCAAAATATACGAATAATAGATATAGGTATGACAAAGTAAACAGACATATCGACATGTTAAATGTTAAACACCATCTCTCAGGAGTTATAATTTACGTATTACATGGGCAAAAAGGACACAACAAAAAACACAACTAATGCATATATATGGGTGAGATAAAACTTCAGAAATACTTACTTTAACAGCTAATGATTTAATTCTCGCACGTTCCAATCGACTTGCCTGATCTTCACTTTCATCTATATCACCCTCTGATCTTGACTGTTGACTAGTTTGATCATTTTCACTATCCTCTGGTAAATCTTCTCCTGTGTCCGACATTAAACTGCTTAATGTGGAATCACTGTCACTTCGGTTAAACTGACGCGTAACTCTGATTAAATCTCTTGTAGCTAGGACTGATCCAGGTGCTATTGAATTAGGTAAGACTATAACATCCTGGTTTAGGCATAGGAAATAATGTTAAATTAATGCATATATCAGTAGTTAGGTGAACAAAATTATTCAAAAGAGATAGAATAAGCATTTACAATAAACCTTTATCACTGAATACAATAGATGAGACGAACACGTACTTAATTAATAACATGTAACTAGAATTCAGTGAATTTTACATAAAATAGCTGGTACATGAATTAGGTAAGCAAAGTTAGATGACTCAAATTTTTACTGTATTCTAACAAATATTGGTATAACAGCGAAATCATGATGATCTGGACTGTGGATAGTAGCGATATATTTAAAAATGTTTGTAAAACATTTAAATAGCTAGCAACAAAACTGAACAATTTAGCCTTTACAACTAAGCATCTAGTTATGTTCACTTTTTTATTGCCACAGAGAAAACCACCATTTCCAGATTCGCTGAGAACTCATTATATATCTTTATACTCTATTTTATGGTTTTTAATTCCACTTCTTTCCGATAGAATGTAAAATCTCTGTGTGATGATGGAAAAGTGTGGGTGGTTGATACTTTCATACAACCTACGCCATCGGTTGGTGTGTCACGTCTCCCTGGTTGGAGCCCGAGAGATAGCTCGAATCGATGGCTCGAAACGTTATCGGATATGGCTAAGAATCGTAATCAATGGCGAACGTTCTGTAATTTCCTTCTTTCTTCCCTTCCTGATGATAGTTGACGAATACTGTTTGAACTTGTTAAGTATGACTGTTTTCCTTCCAGATGAAGTTCCTTATGCGTTCTCTACCTATATTTTTACTCTTAATCTATGTTGTTTTATTATTATTGTGTGGCGCATCGTCTTGATGCCATAATCTATCAAGTTTTTCTGCATTTTAATAAATTAATAAAACCTGAAAGAGTAAATGGATTAGTTTTATGTAACTGTAGAACCCAATGTACAACTATTTGTGGCTAACTCCACATGGTATATTCAGAAATAAGTGAATTTATCAAACATACCTATTCATAAATAATCATGTCCGGCTACAAACAGCCATTTGATCAGTCGAGATGTACACTTGTTTAGGGTCGACCATTCTTAAACTGTCTTCCTGTGAGTGAGAAGGCAATAAAGCTGCCTTGCTAGTTCTCTCGAGAAAGCACCTCAACGCTGTTAAACCTCTTCTCCAACCACATTGTACTGTCCTCAAATCCACATGGAAATTAAATAACTTACGGAATGACGGTAAGTGCTCTTAACCTAATCACTATTCAAATGACTGACTGACTGGTTTCAACATAGAACTTTGCACGCGTGTGTAGCAGTTCGAGTTGCCACACTCCATGTGGCACACAAAGCAAGAGAAGAGAGTAGAGAAAGATTCAAAAGACAGATAATAAACAGAAACATGGGGCAAAAAGAATAGTAATTTGGGAGAACAATAGAGTTTTATTGGATATTACAAATCACAAGAGGTGGATGCATCTGCGCCATAACTGAGAACGCTTTTGAGCCATAACACCAATTGTTTGCAGCTTTTATTGGTTTTTACTACCCTGGGGACACCAACCAGGAATTCTACACCTTCCTACGTGGTTTAAACTAACTGTTGTGGATTTAATTGACTGGTGCCGCTAGCTCTTTTCCAGCCTGACCCTATATCAGCTAACATTGCCCGTCAAGGAAGGTGATGGCTAGGCATACGCAACACATTTCCTAACCATCTCAGTCGATGTAGCTTCACAGCCTCGTCGATTGATTTTCCCTCCTTTCCTAGCACTCGACCGAAGCCTAACCTCGATATTGCTCACCCTATTATACCACTTCACACACACGGGAGATAGGATGCAGACACCAATGATCAAGGACAGCTAATCTTTTCATGTCTTCCACTTTCAATGAGCATGTCTCACTCACAGCCATAAGAGAGGACGGAGCGGACTGCTGAGCAGTACACACACCCTTTGGTCGATAGCCGGATATCACGCCTACTAAGCCAGAGATGGCGTAAACTGGTATTGTCTAACTATACTTTTGAAAAACTCAAAGTCGATGATAGAAGAAAAGGGATTGGAAAAAACCAATAAAGCGGTAAAATCTTCGCGAAACTAGTATTTAGATGCATTAGTGTTATCCCTTAAATACTGCTTGAATACAAAGACTTAAACTGTAGTCAAAAAGTATCCTAGTATATAAAGTCTTAATACAAAATACTTTTAAGATTGGTTTCAGATCAGAATACTCTAAGTGAATAATTAAATTCCACACGAAAACTATCCACAATCGTATATTTAAAAAGTCATCATAAAATCGTTTGACAAGCGTTTCAATCTTCGATATATTTGGTAACAATGAATAGTTGATTATCATAGATAATAATAATAATAATAAATTATAAGCGTAAATACTTACTTTAAGTAGGTCATCAGCATTCGCTGGTGTTGTTAGACTTTTATCTGGCTCTGGGAATGGAACATTTACAATTAACTCATATAATGATTGAAGAACTCTATCTGTTAAATCCACACTGAATACAGGTAAACAACCATCAACAATAATTCTAAAAATGAATAAACAAAAAAGTAAACGTTTCTTGTATATTCATTATAGAAATGGGACAGTTATTGATTACAACATGAAGTATTCATAAAACTACTCAATATAAGCTATAGTGTACCTCTAAAACAAGCATGCCATTACTAACTTTAACTCTTATCAACAAAGCTTACAAGCAGAAAAACAAAAGTTGTTAAAATCTCTGTAAGAAGCAGAGTTATTGTCATCATAAAAAGAGGTAAGGATAATTAAAAGAGAAGGCAAAGAGACTCAGCAATCTTAAACACTTATATATGCCTAAACCAAGTTCACTTTTAACGGTGTAAAAAAATTTGGCAATCGGGTGTACATGATATTCATTATAATGAAGGTTTTTTTGTATTTCCCAATGAATGAAAAACAAAACGATATTGTTACTCTTACTGACGTTTCGCTATTTAATGCTGCTGCTAATAGCTTTATCAAAGAAGCAACATTAAACCAGAATTTACAAAATCTCAGCATGTATATATAACAAAGAGTTAGGGGGTGAGAAAATAGACTTAGGTCAAGTTAAAGGGATATATTGAAAGTCAAAATAACAATGAAGATCACTAAACCAAATAACAAAGGTAATAGTACATCTGTTATGATATCAAAATAAAGTTTACTAACTTGATCATCGTTCGTCTGTTTGGGGTCGTTTTTCGTTGTCAAGTTGGTCAGTTGGTAAAGATAACAAAACCAGGTAGGTGTAGACTGTTGGATTTGATCAGTGTGTAAAATTATAAAAGTAGTATGTGTTTACATAGTGAACTTGTTTATCACATTCGTGTTGATTTTGTCATTTCATGGGGGAGGGAGGTGTTGTAACCAGGTCAGATTCTGTTTTAGTCCATCATTCCTATTCAGTTCAGAGAATTTGGATTCCATTTGAAATGAAGTGCTTCTAATAATATGAGACGTCCTTTGTGACTTCTGAAATGCTTTTTCTGGATTATTTCAATATTGTCGAAATCAATTTTGTGGCCTGATTCTATAGCGTGTAGACCTATGGCTGATGATTTTTGAAGTTTTTCTAGTTCAACTGGATTTCTCGGTGGTCGAATAGAATAGACCAAATCCCTAAAAATTCTCTATCTAATTGTGTCTATAAAATAAAACGCTTGGAATGTGATGCGATATACATCGGACAAACATCTCGAGAAATCAAAATCAGAAGAAATGAACACCGTAGAGCATCTCTTCGACCACCGAGAAATCCGATTGAACTAGAAAAACTTCAAAAATCATCAGCCATAGGTCTACACGCTATAGAATCAGGCCACAAAATTGATTTCGACAATATTGAAATAATCCAGAAAAAGCATTTCAGAAGTCACAAAGGACGTCTCATATTATTAGAAGCACTTCATTTCAAATGGAATCCAAATTCTCTGAACTGAATAGGAATGATGGACTAAAACAGAATCTGACCTGGTTACAACACCTCCCTCCCCCATGAAATGACAAAATCAACACGAATGTGATAAACAAGTTCACTATGTAAACACATACTACTTTTATAATTTTACACACTGATCAAATCCAACAGTCTACACCTACCTGGTTTTGTTATCTTTACCAACTGACCAACTTGACAACGAAAAACGACCCCAAACAGACGAACGATGATCAAGTTAGTAAACTTTATTTTGATATCATAACAGATGTACTATTACCTTTGTTATTTGGTTTAGTGATCTTCATTGTTATTTTGACTTTCAATATATCCCTTTAACTTGACCTAAGTCTATTTTCTCACCCCCTAACTCTTTGTTATATATACATGCTGAGATTTTGTAAATTCTGGTTTAATGTTGCTTCTTTGATAAAGCTATTAGCAGCAGCATTAAATAGCGAAACGTCAGTAAGAGTAACAATATCGTTTTGTTTTTCATTCATTGGGAAATACAAAAACCTTTATCATAATGAATCTTACACACTACTTATAAAATTATGACTGCTCAGCCTATGGAGGAAGCTAATGGAAGCATTTGTTAACAAAATGAAACTCGACAGAGTTTTAAAATAGTACTATTAATGGGATCAGAGGAATACCGATACAAATAATTACTGCAAGTTTACCTTGGTAGATTTATATCATTATGCAGTAGACATCGTTTTAGTATGCAGTTCAAACCCAATGGCTTGAGAATATGATTCGGTGATTTGTCCAGCTGCCTAAGGCTTCTCCAATCCTGGCCTGAAATATACATTCAAAAGGAAAAACAAAACCAACAGTGACTTAAAACACAAAATAGTTTCTTACTTAACAGTAATTAATATCGCTCACTTGGTCGTGTACATACAACAAGCTTTACTTTTTTTGTTATAACAATACAGAAGAACAGGTTTTCCATCATCCAAACTTCTTTGAAAACAATTTCTTCAAAACGGTTAAAACTTGCAAAACATTGAGGAGCGTATGTGATACTACTTTAACTCATTGTACAGTTTGTAAACCACCGAAGCGCCAGTGAAAACGGACCCAGAGACTGCAACAGATTCTCTCACACCAATATTGCAAAATCTTCGGAAGGAAGGAAAGGAAAGTGCCCACAGATTGGAAGAAAGGCTAGCTACCTTGTCAAGCTGCCAAAGAAGGGGGACTTAGGCCTCACGCTTCAAGAACTGGCGTGGAATACTGTTTTTCTCCACGCCAAGTAAAATACTAAGTCACATCATCCTAAGGAGAATAAACGATGCACTGGATACAGAACTCCGCCCCACACTCGGAACAAGCTGAATTCAGGAAAGGCGAACGGCGTATTTATCAAATTGCAACTCTACGCATCGTTATCACAGAGCAATGCATAGAATGGCAGTTAAACCTCTACCTCAACTTCATCGACTTCGAAAAGGCTTTCAATAGACAGCGTTGACCGAGACGTAATTTGGAAACTACTTCAACACCACGGAGTCCAGTGCTCAAGTCTTTTTCAACCTCATTCAACAGCTGGCTACATTACAGTGTCATGAGAGAAAAAACAAATAATGGAGTACTTCGGATAACCGTCAAAGTGTGAAATTGTAGAAATTACTCATGCAGTTACAAAGTATAATATACCTGAATGAAACTATCACATAACGCAATTCTTCAAGTTCTCAGTGGCTTAAATTGATTTAGATCTGTGCTAACTTATTACTGAACTTGTTGTAAGTGTTAAGAAACATTTCTTTACCAGCTTCTCAATGTTAGGCGAGCGATAAGTATCAGACCCTTCCCGCAAGCAAACCGATTTTCTCAACAGTATAGTTTGGGTGAATGAAAAAATGAATGGTAACTATCATATTGTTTATCAGAAGTCTGCAATGATAGACTATTTGACATAACACAAAACGGAACTGAGACTGAATAAAGAGAGGATCCGGAAATAACTTAACACTAGTTAGTAATATAACGTTTAGTTTAGAAAACCAAATGAAAATAGACTGTACAAGGTGAGCAGTGGATGTTAAAACTTTACCTGAAGCATATTATACACCAATCACAACAAATCCCACTACGTGTTCACAGAAAAATTGCACACACACGAGGACTTATAAGCGAAAACCGAAAAACTGGCCGAAGAAGCAGCCGGCGAAGACAGGACTCCAGGTGAACATATACAAGACGGAGGTGATGAAAATAACAAACCAACAACAACATCAGCAGCAACATCCAACGCCAATCACCATCAACGGGAGGCATTTGAAAGAGGTTATTCATTTCATTCACTTATCTAGGGAGCATTGTCTCAACTACAGGAAGTTGGAACTGACGAGGATGTCAAATCGAGCGAGAATCGGGAAGGCGAGAAACACATTCATCAATCTGAAACCAATCTGGAAATCCTCGTCACTCAGCACCAACAACTAAGTTCGGATTTTCAATACAAACAACGTCAAGTCAGTCAGTTCTTCTATACGGATCAGAAACTTGGTGGGTGGGTCACAAATAATATTTCCAACAGCCTGTTGCAGACCCTTATCAACCAACAACTGTCTTCGCTGGCTCTATACTGAAGATCAGATGGCCGAGCCAGAAAGAATCACCAACAAGAAACTATGGGAACTAACAAACAAAACAAGAACCAATCGCCAACCAACAAATATGGAGGAAAAAGTAGATGGAGATGGATTGGCTAGTCGCTCGCTGAGGAGGTCGCTGGGTGACATCGCGCGAGCGTCAGGCCATTGCTCGAGTGGAACCAGGCCGAAAGGGAAGCACGCGGCGAGTGGGACTTCAGTGCAAGGGTGACATGGAGGAGATCGTGTAAAGAGGAGTTGAAACAGTATGGACTAACATGGATGCAGGTGAAAAGTACAGCAGAAGACAGAATTGGCAAGTGGAGACGTGCAGTTGAAGCCTTATGTTCCACTAGGAACTCAAGGGAACAATAATAATAAAATTTGTTACAAAAATTCAAATTTATTAATTCATCTTAGGTTGTTTTTTGAAAATGCATTAAAGTGCATAAGTACATACAAGTAATGTAAGGACTATAAGACAAAATATCAGTAAATACGATAACTGGAGTATTTGGCCAACATAAACATTAGTTGTGTTTCATTGCTGAGTGTATATCACCCTTAGAGCAGTTGCTGAGTTTAATTGTCTTTATTTGTTTAACCGAAACCGTTAACTGCGACGAACTGTGAGTCTAAATACTTTTTGTAATCAGTATAGTAAGTCGCGCGAAATACAGAGTAGACATTTACTCAGTTTACCATATTTCTACATTGAAATGTCCAGTGTAAGAAAAAAAGGTTTCTAAAAGGATCACAAGATCTAACTCTTATATGCAAAATATAATCAGTACAAAATTTACCTTCATTAACCATTAAAACTTGAACTGATGATATACTGATGTGAAATTTATCATAAGCTTCATCTTTTAATTCATCGAATGTCAGTTTTCCAGATTTATGTTTCACTTTACTGATGAGTTTTGTATCCGATTCTTTTATTGTTGAATCAGCTTTACTCTTTAAAGTCTCTTCATCTGGTTTGGTTTTGCAGGCTGATGGAAGTGTGGTACGACTTGAATTAACTACAAGACTCCCAAGGTCGACCAGTAAAAGACGACAATCACTGTAAATTATTAATAAAAAGAAATATTCAACATAATTAATAGTGAAATAATAGAAGATGGTGTGAGCAAGCCACAATTTAATTATTATGCCATAATACAAACTGATTATTGTAGACCTAACCTTTTTGTGAAGTAGTCAGTTCAAAAATGTGGAAGAATCCTAAATGAAGAGCAGACAGCTATTCTGCACTTCATGGTTTTCAACGATTCTCCACGTGTTCATGAAGTATTCTTCACCTTAGGGATTGCTGGAAATGAATATTTTTTATGTAAAGTACCAGTAGTAAAATAAAAAGGAGTTATCTCACTTATGAAACACCATCACTATAGTCACATCCCTCGAATATGAACTACCAACCATATTTTATGGGATTAATCTTCATTTCTTCTGTTTAGCGTCGGTGGCACAGCGGTTAGGACGCTCGCCGACCATGGTCCAGGGTTCAAGCCCCGGCCAACGCACTCATTTACCTTGCTAAGTCAGTAACAGAACTGGCAAAAAGGGAAGGTTGGGCATGAAGCTGGCAACCCCATCCTGTAAAAAATAAACACTGCTACAGAAACTCCAAGCCTCTAGCTTGAAGCCCTATGTTCCACTAGGAACGTGAAGGAATAAAAAACACCACTTGCAGAAATGATGTATGTAAGAATACTATCTACAAAAATTCGTAACTGATAAACTTAACATAGGAAATAGTTGTTTCGAAAAAAAGCATGACAATAGAACTCACCTTCTGAAAACACCAGAGTCTGGTAGGATAAAGTAACTAGGTTTAATGTCAATACGAACATCTGTATAAGATCGGTTAGAGGCCAAATGTCGTAGACCGCTTGTTGTCACTTCTTTAGCTTCTTCAAAAGACGACAAGACTGTATTAGATAATCTATTTTTAAAAGAAAAAAGAAAAAGTAGGAAAGAAATAAACGAAATCAGTAAACAAAATCAATAACCGAAGATCACGTATATTTCGGTGCAACATAAAGGGGGAACAATTACAAGAATAAGTAGTCAAAAGTTAGTAGATTTTACCTAATTGATTGTTACTAACACAATCTTAATGTTCTACATGACAATTTCACACTATTCAAAAATTTAAAAAATATATAAACTTACTCTTGTAAGTGAACATCTTTTGGTGGAGTGAAGAAATGAACAATCTTATTGATAGTTTCAGCATCATAAACTATTTGTAATGGATCAGCTTGAACAAGTAAACGCTGGTCAGCTTTACGATCAAGAGGATTTTTCTCAAAATCAATAACCAACAAATGAGTGGATTGTGATGCGGTAATTTTTTGAGAGACGCCATCGATCGGTGAGTGGCTTACATGACTGGTTATAAGTACAGGTTTGATTGAAGACTTGACAAGACAGGATTCTTTTAATGTTGGCTGAGCTCCTACAGCTTCTAGGCTGTCTAGTCGTAGTGCAACACTAAAAGGAAAGATAAATTGTGTGGAGCAGTGAGTATATTACTCTAGATGACAATTTCCCCATTAAATATAATTATAGTATATTGCAAGAATGGTAAAAAAAAAGTATTAGTTATCTTAGAAAATAGTGAAAAGCAGCACAGTAGATAAAAAGCCTATCTTTCTGCAGCTTACATTCAAAGGTGATAATACTGCTAGTAGAATAAGATGCAGACTGAACGCTGCCCTGAAAAGAACATATCCAGCCGCCAAGCTTGTATGTGTTTATCAAACAACTAGTTGTTTGAGACAATCGAAAGTGGACAAATACCCACCTCATGTTACTTCCAACTGTGTCTACCAATTTACATGTACGTGTCAAAGCACAGACATTGGAAGAACAGAGAGAAGGGTTAGTGTCCACATTTAGGAACACATACCAAAGAACCTGAGCCTGAAGGGTCCGAAAGTATTAAACAGTGCGATTGCTCATCATCTATTGGACACTGGTCATATTGTAGACAACCTGAAGTCCTTCAAAATAATCAACAAGCAAAAGAAACCTAGCTTGCTACGCTTTGCTGAAGCAATTGCCATCAAACGACTTAAACCAAATCTATGTACGCAGAAAGAGACAGTGGTGAGTCTTGCAATGCCCTGGTGATAACAAAAAAATATACAACTTTCATGAGTCACCCTTTTTTCATGTTTAGAAAACTCTACTCTCTCATTTAAACATGACTCACCCTACCTTGTTTCTTTTCTTTCCTTTTTTCTATTGGCTATTAGATAAGATGTTTGTTTAGTTACGTAATCTACTTTTTTGTTATGCTCTTTCTAGCTAAACTTTGTTTCTACATACGCAACCGTGTTTTTTCTGTTTCCAAGCCTAATTGTCTAATTATTCTATAAATAGTCAGTGTTTGTAACTCCTAATCAGTTAAATCATTCCGGACTAATGTTACTTTTAATTCCCACCAATTACTCCTTATGATCGTGGAAAAGTATGTTCATATCTTTAATATAATTCATATTTTTATCGTTCAGGTTGTAACCAGTTGAGAAGAATCCTCGAAATAATAAAAGATGAGCTCATATTATCCTGGTACAATTGTTGTTCTTGCTTTGTTCAAGTTTATCTTAGAAATTGAAAGAATAAAGCAGAATGAGCCAAATGTAACGGTGAGTGACCTAGATGAAATGCTGGCACTAGGTTTAATGCCAGTTTAACTTTACTAGAGCAAAGAAGTACATGCCGTCGCCACTTGTAAAATTTTCTAATGCACATACATAACAAGTAAAATCTACTACAAACATGAGTTATTACAAAGAATTATACGTGAATGCCATAAAAACAACTACTTAAAAAACATACATAAAAAGTTAACATTCTGTTGAATTTAATCATGAAGAAAAGCTTAAACTAAGTAACTATAACTAAAAATCAGTAGGTGAAAACGCAATGTGACAGAACATAAAATCAGTCACGATTGAGTTAAATGCATCCAAAATCTGAACAATTTATTTAATAACATATTTTATACACAAAAATAATGCACCACTTACGCTAGAGCTTGGTCTCCAGCACGTTGTTTAACATCAGCAGTGAGTTTGTTCACAGCGAATTTAAGAATTTTAGGATCACTGAAACAAAAAAATGGATTGACATGATGAAATATTTGGAAATGGACTATTATTCAGACAGTAGTAAAGGAGGAGTCTCGGTGTAGTAATGGTTTGCATCTGAGATACCTTCAAGAGCTCTGGTAACTAGTCATATCACCAGCATAGTTAGCTTGTGATAACAAGGCTTATTCTGTAGAGGACTAACAAACAATAATGAAGCAATTATCTAGAACCAATAGGAATTCTCTGTTGTCACAGGATATAGCGTTTGCAAATATTAAATAAGTGTCTTCCTAGTTGGGGATTTTAACTGCCTTTATACACTATGGTGACCATAAAATAAATGAATTCAGCTGGGTAGTTTGAATTCATATGAAATTTTGATCTAAAACTTCTGTGTGATTGATGGATGTGATTCTATTTGTAACACATGATTTGTGTAGCCGTTTTTGAGGTGCAAGGGATATAACTCGAGCCTACCCTGTTCTTCTCTACGTGATCTAAAACCAGTTCATTATATGTTTTTGCACACTTATATGGTATGGAGTAACCCCCACCCTAATTTGTGTTATTCGTTCCAGAAGTTATGTTAGTTCATTATGAATTAGTAGTAAAATCAAAAGTGCATCTATGTATCTAGGGAACCGTACGCCAATTATGTTTTTTCTTGTCCTGGTATCTGCTGTTTCTGTATTTGTTAGTGTTAAGCTTTGGTTTTCTGGTGTGGTGTTAATAGTTGTGCGTCGGCGGCACAGTGGTTAGGACTCTCGCCGACCATGCACATGGTCCGAGGTTCGATCCCCTGCCGACGCACACCTGATATCTATGGTCGGCCTGAAAAATTTGGGTTACCGATAGCACATGCTGAAAATTCCATACTTGTACCAAAAATACAGCGTGGAATCAAGCTGTAATCAAAAATACAAAAAACAAATAATAAAATATTATTCCACTGTAATTTCATGAAATATGAAGATCATATGAAGAGGTAATGAAAACTTATGGACAGTCGTGTAGCTAGGTGAAAATGACAGCAGAGAATCGAATACAATGGAGATGTGCACGCTCCTGAAGCACAGTGTTCCTCTCGGAACGCAGAGAACGAATAATAATAATGATACAATAATTCTTCAAAACAATAGATTCTAATTTTGTTGACAATTTATTGAACATCACCCATGTAACTGAGTGGATAGCAACAAGACGAGTAATTACTTATTTTGCTCAAACAAGAGTCAAATTAAATGCCTGTAAGATCTAGTGTGATTTCATAATATTATTGTTAAAGCCTAACACATACTACTTTGTAGCAATACAACAGAGCGTTATGCTTTGTGAATGTCTTCTCTTATACCAATAACTTTTAGTGCACCCTAAATGTGACTGTGAATAGATGGTGTATTAGTGACAAACCTGAATTCAAATAAGCGAAAAAAAACTACTTGGTGCTGAAAATATCTTAATTTGGCTGTCAAGTGTAACTGATTATTTAGCGTGTGTTGAATATGCTTTAGTACTTTTCAGAGAAACTTATATCTACTAGAAAAATTTCGGTTTACTGAGAAAAACAAAAAATCATTTCGCTAAAGATCCACAACTAACTAACCCTAAATCATTTACACTAATAAGACGGCTTACTGACGAGTATACATTCACACTACAGGATTAAGTCTTACAATCAATCATTTTACTGTGTAGTTGGCATTCGATGGAATTATCAAGTACCAAAGGAAGAAGGTAAACTGGTTTTTGTTTAGCCACAATTCCAAAGAAAAGAAGGATGTCCAAACTAAAGTGCAGCATGAATGTGGCTCATTGACTTAAGTAGTTAACTTTTAGCTAGTGGGTCTCGGGTTTGAATCCCGATACACCTACATCGGTCTAGAAGACTGGATAGCATCACCAGCCTTCATAATGTAAGTGTGACTTACAGTTTGATATGTATAGGAAAACAGATTTCTAACAACACTGACAAACCAATGTTTTGGCACTGATTAAAGTTGCTATATTTTGGAACACAGACTCGGTTTTGAATTTCCTTAAAGATGACATTATTGGTCATACAATAAATAACATGGGATATAAGCTATTGAAGATGTCAAACTTACAAACCACTAAGAGGTAGTGCTTATATTTTAGGCATTATCAGTGTTTATTTCACAGAACCCACTTTCATAGTGTATAGAAAAATAAACAAATAGAATGAAAATCTCAAATATAAAAATGAAATTACCAAGTTAATAATACTCACTTCAATTTATCATCGAGTAATACAAGACTCAATTGCCTTAAAGTAACGGCAATCGAAGAAGATACATAACTGGCTGGGAAATTCATAGCTGAACCTGAAACACCTGAAGCTGCTGATTCTGAATAATCAATGGCAGCATATAGGCGAGACTTTTCTTCTGGAGTCATTTCAGTTTGCAAACGTTTCATTAAATCACCTTCAGATGAAGTTTCTGTTTCATCTGGTGTAGATGAAGAACCACGTGAAAACCAACCACTGAACCAACCACCACCCTTATTGTTAGCCTTCTGGTCCTGTTTCTTTTTAGAAGCATTGAACTATGAAGTTGTAAAAATAAATGAGGGAAAATGAAACTGAATATTAAAAAATTTTCGATTGAAATTTGACTTTTTCGCAAAAAATTAATTTTACTTAGGTTGTGGCCAAAAAAACCAACTATTCGAGTCCCATTATGTACTAGGGAAAGATCTCACTTATGTTGTAAAGCAGATAAACAGTTATCATTCTAGGTGTTAATGAATATGTAGAAATTAAAATTAAGCTCTGAACTTACTACCTCAAAAGATCATCAACCATCTACTCGGCATCAGTTCATTCCAGATTAATTGGGTTTAACTGATTAACGTTCATCTAGGCTTTAATATACATATTTCTTTCCACTCATAAATAAACCTTTGACGATACCTAAATATTTGGATCATCATACACTTCATCACACTATAATGTCTCGGAGGTAGGAATGATGAAATGCTTTCATTATTCATGTATCATTCTTAACAGTTATCTGTATAAGTCACTATGCTACACTGAAGGTGGTTGAACGAAGAGTTTACTAGTTACGTTTAGACAGTCAATTCCCAGAGGAAAAGACCATCTGATTTGAGGTTTTCAACACAATGAAATAGGTGGTATATGTGTGAAACAAAAAACCACACTTTCAGCCGATGTATGATTTCACCTGAGTAGGAATTAAGTTGCAAGAAAGTTTAAAGAAACGTATAAAAGGTATTTTCTGAGATGTGTATTGAAATATAGCTTCAAATCTGTGTTGTGAGCATATGATTAATGACTGTGTAAAGACTAAGCATTGACCATAATAGCTTACGTATATTTCCCCTTATTTTCGTGAAATTTGAACACCTTATCGCTTTACAATTACCGCTTCTTTCAGTTTACTGCCACTCCTATAAGTTTTCTGTTTGTGAAGTGTGTCAATTTGAGTATAGGCATCTCTGTACAGATCCTGAAGACCTTCTCAATAAAACATAGTTTTCTATCACCGATACTAACTAGGCTAGTTCGTTTACGACTTCAAACACAAAAAAAAGAAGTTTATCAAAAGAAGGTTGTGAATTTTTAATTCATTTACGTTAAATATTTGACAGAAACAGCGCGTACACAACTGCAAGTTGACACCAATCCTCCAACGAAAGCTGAAGTCTTGAATGCAATCAAGCTTCTGAAAGCTGGAAAAGCAGCTGGGCCAGATGGAATACCCCCTGAAGCACTAAAAGCGGACCCAGAGACGACAGCAAACATGCTGACTCCATTATTGCAAAAGGTCTGGAAGGAGGGAAAGGTGCCTACTGACTGCAGGTTACCTCGTGAAACTACTAAAGAAGGGTGACTTACGCCTCACTCAGCAAGAACTGGAGAGGAATCATGCTCCTGTCGACTCCAAGCAAAATCCTGAGTCGCATCAACCTGGAGAGAATAAAGGACGCACTGGATGCAGAACTCCGACCAGAACAAGCTGGATTCAGGAAAGGCAAATCATGTACTGACCGAATCGCAACTCCACGCATCATCATCATCGAACAAAGCATGGAATGGCAATCAAACCACTACCTCAACTTTATAGACTTTGAGAAGGCCTACGACAGCGTTGACCGCGAAGTAATTTGGAAACTACTCGAGTACTACGGCGTGCAGAGCCCAAATATTCATCAACCTTATTCAACAGCTGTACGACAACGGCACATGTCAATTTATCCACAACGGTAAGCTCAGCGAGACGTTTGGAGTAAACACAGGAGTCAGAAAAGGTTCTCTGCCTATCATCACCAATGATATTCCTAATCGTGATGGACTGGATTATGCGTCAGCCAGTCGGAAACGAGACGACAGGGATATCCTAGACCGACGTGAAGAACCTAGAAGACCTGGATTTCGCACGTGGATGATTTATGTTTGATGTCACACAAAATCGAAGACTTACAGACGAAAACCGAAAAACTGGCCGAAGAAGCAGCTGGCGAAGACAGGACTCCAGGTGAACATAGACAAGATGGAGGTTATGAAAATAACAAACCAACCAACAACAACAACAGCAGCAACATCCAACGCCAATCACCATCAACGGGAGGCATTTGAAAGAGGTTATTCATTTCATTCACTTATCTAGGGAGCATTGTCTCAACTACAGGAAGTTGGAACTGACGAGGATGTCAAATCGAGCGAGAATCGGGAAGGCGAGAAACACATTCATCAATCTGAAACCAATCTGGAAATCCTCGTCACTCAGCACCAACAACTAAGTTCGGATTTTCAATACAAACAACGTCAAGTCAGTCAGTTCTTCTATACGGATCAGAAACTTGGTGGGCGGGTCACAAATAATATTTCCAACAGGCTGTTGCAGACCAGACCTTTATGAACAACTGTCTTCGCTGGCTCTATACTGAAGATCAGATGGCCGGGATGGGAAGAATCACCAACAAGAAACTATGGGAACTAACAAACAAAACAAAAACCAATCGTCAACCAACAAATATGGAGGAAAAAGTGGATGGAGATGGATTGGCTAGTCGCTCGCTGAGGAGGTCGCTGGGTGACATCGCGCGAGCGTCAGGCCATTGCTCGAGTGGAACCAGGCCAAAAGGGAAGCACGCGGCGAGTGGGACTTCAGTGCAAGGGTGACATGGAGGAGATCGTGTAAAGAGGAGTTGAAACAGTATGGACTAACATGGACGCAGGTGAAAAGTACAGCAGAAGGAAGACAGAAGTGGCAAGTGGAGACGTGCAGTTGAAGCCTTATGTTCCACTAGGAACCCAAGGAAACAATAATAATAATAAATTTAATAGAAATGTAAGAAATTGAAATCTTTTTGAAGTCTATCCCATGTAACACTTCACTTCTTACTTATAATTTTCATTACTTCTTACCACTCGCTTACCCTTCCTAAAATCTCATATTCATAGAATCCTTTTGGTGATTTAAAAAAATTGCCGATGCTCACAGTTTACTATGAGTCTTAAAAATAAATAAATGAAATTTTAAAAAAATACGACCGAAACCAAGATTTAAAGACTCTAGTAACTAATTGCTAGAAAGTGTTATAAAATAACATGAAGTGAACAACACGGAACACATAATTTCATTGCATGCAAAGTTTATACCGAGTGTAATAATGCAGAACGAAACATATTATTCACAGAAAAACAAAAACGAATTAAAAAAAGGATTCCAAAACCAAGATAAACGTGCGAAAAAAAAAACAACGATTTGAAGACATTTTGTCTAACTTGTTCAACTTTATAATACAGTCAGATACAAACGTATGCTACACTAAAGTATCCGGAATATGATGTCTGGTGTTAAGATTGTGCATTTCACATGCATATAATAAAATTATAGTAAATTTAAAAAATATATTCTGTAATATAGTTTTAATTCCAAGTGGTATAAAGTTCACAAAATCAGTATAATCTCTAGACAAAAGTATTGTTAATTTGTAATTTGTTGACTCAAACCTTTATACACCAGATGCAGATAAAAGCATAAAGAACATATAAATTACACTATTTCTGTTTCAGACTAACAATTAAGTAGTGCTGTTTTTCATAGGATGATATTGAACAGGGAGGGATTATGAAATAACTAAGTCAGTAGTATGTTGAAACAATGATGGAATTTACAGCTAAGGTGTATAGTTTTAGTTTTGTTCTGTTTTTTTAGAAGTGGATGGCTGAATTCTGAAGTAATTGTTGCCTACTAGGACAAAATCTTCAGGACTAACTTTAAAATGAAATTAGTTGTATTTATTTACGAATAACCACTTAGTAAATCAAGTTCACTTGTGAACTTTTAAAATTCTAAAGAAGTGTCACAAGAAGGATGTGATACAATTTTATAATTAACTCAACAACAACCAACAGAAATACCAGGGCCAGAATTACAATATATATACATATGTTCTAATAAGACGACACTCATCACAGTACATACACTAAACATACCTTTTTAAAATGTGGTTTACGCTTTTTTACTTTTTTGACGGAATACTTTATTTAATGAAGGTAAGTAGAATTCGTTAAGAAAATGACTAGCAGTGTTCAATAAAAAATTAGAATTTTCCAACAGTAACTAAAATAAATAGTTATACATCCTAGTTGATACACTAAATGAGTTGAAAACAGATGCATCACCCAACAACTACTTGCACTTATATGCAGTCGGCAAGTAGTCACACTTATTGTGTGAAGGCTAGTGATACTAACTGGCCACGCAGACCTCGATAGGTGGAGTAGAGTTTCAACCCTGTAACCCAGTTGTTGGAAGTCAAACACTAGACCAGTGAGCCACAGTCCCACTGATATACCTTAGGACCGATTGCGTTGTGAAGTGAACAAATTTGCACTTTATCCTCTTTCCCTCTTTTCCTTAGAACTAACGGAGTCTTACCCAACAGCTAACTGAAATAAAAATGAGACTTCTTGCGTCGACATACTGATGTCAGGTCTTGTGCTCGTCATGTCTAAGTTTTGTATGAAAATCACATACCACTTGCTTGAAGAGGGTTAGATTAAAATATTAATAAATATCTGACTTAATACTTTAATAGATTTCACCAGCGCTTTTTCAAATGAATATTTTTAAGCTGGGAGGTGAATGTAGGATTATAGTAGCCGCAATAAAACACATCAAGAGCAGCAAAAAATTCTCCAGACTTATTTACCGGGTGCTCGAAGAAATAACCATTATGATTACACATGTGCAAATGCATACCTGGAGCTCAGCTTGTTGCCGGCACAACACAATATTGAAGACATCCAAAAATTCTTCATATTCCTGCAAAGATTCAGAAAGCAACAATAGATTGTGAGGATTTTTTACTTGCAACATACACAAAATAAATTACGGGAAACAATCAACTGACAATCAATCTCCAGATACCGTATGCGAACCTGAGGAAATCAACTTTACCAGAAAACTTTATGCCGCACATTATACAATTCAACATTTTTCCGGAAATTAAACAGTTGGTATTCCTATGACGGAATTTGCGTTTTTTGACCGACTAGTTCTTTTCCGTTTATGGTAGTAATCTCCACATTAGTGGTGTTGACAAAAATGGCCGAGATAACAAACGGTTTTCTAGTGAAACTAGTTTTTGCACGACTAAGTGTAGCTAATTATCCTCTGAATATGAAGAACGCTATTTAACATCTGACTTACCCATGGATAAATGACTGGTTGTCGCTATTTCTGAATACTGCGCATGAATATTAGCGATCTCATTCTAACATTTAAAACTGGAAATCTGCCATGACTTAAATAACCATACTGGTTGCCAACCACACAAAGGCACTCAGCTGAGTAACGTTAAAAGTACAATTTCGAGAAAACTCTACGTACGATGTGCAAGTGCCCAAAACTAATAGGTTATTTTATGAATGTTAGATTTTCTCAACATAAGACAAAAACACACTAAATTATATTGCTGCATTTATAAGCCTACAATGTTCAATAAATGATATTAAAGGAGCAAATACATAAAATAAGGACACACAACCCTACACGTAAGTATATACATATATATATTTCTTACCTCAAGATTATTTAGCTGAACTTGACTGAGTTTTTCTCCAGATAACTTCTTTTTCCAAATTGAAATATAGTCCCGAGATATTTTTCTGTGTTTTGCTATATGTTCCCATGACCACATGCGGCGTCGACGGCGAATAGACTCCTCTAAGATGGCATTGTATGCAAAATCCCACCTAAAAGAAAATAAAATCAGAGGCGAACATAGCTTATTTTTAAGCTAATCAGATAGGAAGCATAAGAGCAGCAGATTGTTATTACAGTGTTACTACTTGAATCGTAATTACTGTACATGATCACTAGAGTATTTTCTTAAACAAAACAACCGGTGAGCATCCTAGGCTTTATAATATCCGTTACATGTAGATATATTCTGACCGAGAATAATAGTGTTATGAAAGATGGTGACACACATAGAAGCAGACGCAGGGGCAACTCTATTTGAGGACAGAAAATGATTACTGAAGCAATATATAATTCAGTAATAATTTATACGACATAAACGAATGACAGATTATATACTCATAGCTTTTTAAGCCAAATTTAATATGTATTTTTGTATTGAAGTTTGTCGTGAAGGATACCAAACTGTAAGTGATGCTTGCATTGTGCTATGTCAAATAGTTCACTTTGTAATCAAAAATAATTTTCCTCTTTGAGACATATGAAACTTGAACTGTTAACATAACTTCAGATGGTTGACTAGACCACACATATTTGAAGTATAAAATAGATGTTGAAACTTAACATCACTAAGAACTGAAATTTAGATCACTTCGGTTATTGAGAAACTGGCATCAGAATTCAGAAACAAGACTTTAACAGAATTGACTGACATAAGTAGATATTTTAATGCCAAAGTGTTATTAGATAACAAAACCAATCATTGAATCTTACCAAGCTTTACAATTTTGCAGAACAGGCACTAATGGTCTGTATTTGCGATATTTTCCTTGAATCATCAATCTGTCTTGGGCATCCAAAAAAGATGTGACATCATGATACTGAGAAAGGCTAAAACTTAATTCAATTTCAGAGAAATCAACAACTAAATCCATTTGTGGAACTGAATAGTTTGCTTCCTCCGGTCTTGTGTGGATATGTAACATTGCCGTAGACGAGATAGGTCTTATTACTAAAAATAAATTCAAATACATGATAAAACATACAGTAGTGGAAGCCAGTGTTTGGATTATCCGGGCTAGCAATTGAATTGCGCATAACACTCTAAGCGATAAAGTTTCACACTTTCTTTTACTTACTCGTAGAGGAACTCTAGCTTTCTCCGCAAACTTACTGGACATTGGATTCCAGTAAACTCCAAGGCTTGTTAGTTTAACAAACTGTAGTGTTATTAAAGATATGGCACACAAACCTTGTTAAATTCACGTATAGACTCGTCTTTAATAAGAATAGGCTTTTGATCACTATCACAAGTCTAGAGTAATGTCGAAATTAACAAATATTTTTTACCTGGAATGTTAGTCCACTCAACGTTACTCCAAGAGAGAAAGTACGATTGGGAATACTGTAACTATCCTCATATCTTATATGAATATCTTTGATGGATATTTGCAAGTTTTTGATAACCTGGGCAGCTAACTTCTCACCAAAAGAGTCCACTTTTTGATCGTCTTATAAAAATCAAGTTGATTATTAATGTTGGATATATTACCAGATTGTTTAGGTTTCAGACGTGCTGCCTCCACGCTGGCTAACTCCTTTTGCTTCGCTTCCTTAGCGTACCGCCTCTCCTTAGACTCATCGTACTGCACAGCTGTAAACGTAGTAGAGCTCAACAAGAGAACCCACCTATATTTGGAACAACAAGAACATAGAGTCCTGACAACTCGGCAACAGTCGGTTCCGTGAAGAGATTTTTGAAAGGTATTTTGAGGGTTAATGAACCTGAAAGTAGGAACAAAGCTTTCTACTCACTAATGTGTCCCTGCAAGACCTTAATAGGTAAATCCAAATCATCAAACGCATTAGGTTTGATATCGAGATTTTCAAGTTGTGCATTTCCTAAGCCAAATTAATGAAGCTGATACCTACTCACCTCCAAGCAGACCAATTTTCAGTTGAGATGCATTTAAGGTCTCGATATATGAGCCCAAATATCTATTAATAAGCTCCACAACCAACGACTCGAAAACCATCCTCTCGATAAGGCATAAACTGAAGGCGAGGCGACCTTGAAATTAGGTCACGACCAATTTTTCCAATTTTTCACCTCCACATTGAACAAAGTAAAGCAAGTCCTCCATTGAACCTTTTGAAGTTAGAAAATAAACAGGTAGTTTCGGCATTTCATAAGCTTCCTTTTTTAATTAACATGTTCGACTTCAGAAAAGGAAACACATCTCCATGTTCTTTTGTTTTTACTCCAGTTTTGTAATTATTACTACAAAACTGTAAGGAATAAATTGAGGTCGTGTTATTTTCATGAGGGTTCCAGTTTCCCTGAAACCATGATATTCCCACCATTTATTGTTGTTGGATTACAGCTACCATTCAGTTTTTTAAAAAACATTGAACACTTGGTGTAATTAGTGCGTCTCACAATATTATTATTATTCCAACAGGTGCAACAGTCAGGCATTGGGACGTCAAAGATCTTGGAACGTTTGAATCTCAGTTGAAAGAGCCTCTCACACGAACTCTTTCCAATAACACCTTTTGAGTGGACACACATGAAACAAACCGGTCACGTGAAACTAAAATTTTGAGGTGGTTTTGTTCTCTGAGCTGTATGGTTAGTTTGCGAAGCTTTCATCACCTTACTGGGTGACATCTTCAGCGCATACTTCAATTTTTGTTACTTCAAAATTTTGTTAATGCCTTTCAGCAACTGCCTCCATCTCATATCCCAATGAGCAATGGAAATATTTATAAATAATGAACACGGATTGACAGAACTATAGTGGCCTACGTCTCGAGAAAAATCGATTACCGTCACCCTTTCATGACATTGAAACATATATTAGCAAGGTAATCAGAAATTTGTTTTTCCGAAAATTCGCCACCGCCCGAAAGACGGCAACTCTTCCATGCTGCTTATTACAGATGAAAACTTACTGCATTCCACATGTCTAAAGGTGAAAGCCATCATTATCAAACACGGTAATACCGGGGTCAAGAAATAAAACATGGTGAAGAGTCTTTAAAAACCATTATTAAAGTATCAAAACTCAAAAAGATTATACACCTGACAGAAGTTCCGAGAAACAATTTCCAAAATAAATCTGCATCGACTGGAAACAAAGAAGGGTATACACCACAAAAAGACAGTGAGGCCAAGCATACACGAGTGGGAACAGGAAAATTCACTAAAACTCAAGCCAGCTGTCAATGCAGTTGAAGATTGAACGATCAATTCATGGTTGTTTGCTCAAAACCAACTTCCCCAATTTTCGCGGAGGCATCAATACGACAGTCATCGTCTCATCGGTCGCTGTTTAGAAGGAAGTCAGCAATAAACCGTCAGAAGTAATATTGTGATTTATTATTGTAATATTTGTTCACAGACCTTAGCGGAAGGTTTTTATATGTTGGTGTTACAATAAAGAATTCTCAAGTGGCCAATCGGTGTTTCGGTTTTTGCGTCCGTTATTACTAAGCGTTTCTGAAAAAACTTCAAGGAACAGCGTGAGCCCGAGCGTAGCAAGACCTGGGCATTAACGGTGTACGAGACGTGACTGACACCAGCATATGAAAATGTGAAGCAAAGAGAAGAGCAAGGGACCTGGAAGTCAGTAGGTAAACTCTTGAAGGAGGAGTTTGGCAGCCAAGTGTACAGACAGCCAGTGATGCAACAGTTTCGTGCCAGTAATCTGGGAGTTGATGATGACAATTTTGTATTTTGGTCAAACCAAGACAATCCGTGTTTTGTATTCTTATGTCACACAATAAGGAGGAAATAAATTTATGACAAAATAAGCGAATCAAATCGAAAATGTTGTGGAAACATGAAGAATCTTCATCTAATTTGCTTCGTTTCAGAGTAGAAAACATGTCTCCAACAACACATCTTCAGTTTGTTATATCTGCTACAGATGGGTCCAGGATTGACCACTTGTCACTTCCCATCGGAGCTCCACCCGAGCAATGGCCTGGAGTGCTATCTCGCTCGACGGTCTCCTCAATGTTCTCCCGATCTACCTCCACTTTCTCCTACATATTTGTTGAGCAATCAGCTCTTGGTTGGTTTTTCCCGTAGTTGATTGCTGTTAATTCTCTCTGACCATTTGATCTTCAGTATGGAGCCCGCGAAGGCAGCTATCGGTAAAAGTCTGTGACTTGTTGGAAATCCTTTCCGTGACACGCAGTGGAAATTTCTGACCCATATAGAAGAACTGGCTGACTTCACACTTGTGCTGAAAATCCAAATCTTGTTTCTTATGCTGGCTGAGTGCAGTGCAGAAGATTTACAAACTGGTTTCAGGTTGATGAAGGCGTATCTTGCCTGTTCGATTCTGGCCGGCTGATTTTGACATTTTTATTCGTTTCGACTGCCTGTGGTTGAAACCGTGCTTCCTAGATGAGTTAAGGAAGTGACCTCTGTCAAACCCCTACTGATGATGGTGATGGGCTCTACCTATTGTCACTGTTGGTTGGATATCTTCACCTGCAGTCCTGGCTTCGTTGCTTCTTCAGCCGGTTTGTTGGTTTTCTCCTGCAAGTCTTCGAGTTTGTGTGGTAATAGACATAAATCGTCTGCGAAATCCAGATCTTCTAAAACCTTCTGATTGGTTCAGCGTATTCCTTTCCTCTCACTCCCCACAGTCTGACGCATAATCCGGTCCACCACAATCGGAAATACCATTAGTGACAACAGGCAGTCTTTTCTTACTCCTGTATTCACTTCGAACGCCTCGGTGAGTTATCCATTGTGGGTCACTCGACACACCATTGTCATATGGCTGCTGGATGAAGTTGGAGTAATTTTCAAACTACTCCTCGGTGAACGCTGTCGAGGGTCCTTTCGAAATCGATGAAGTTGAGTAGAGGTTTGACTGCCAGTCTATGCTTTATTCTGTAATGACGATGCGTAGAGTTGTAATTTAATCAGCACATGATTCGCCTTCCCTGAATGTGGCTTGTTCTGGGCGGTGGGATGGAGTTCTGCATCCAATGCGTCCTTTGTTCTCTCGAGGATGATGCGACTCAGTATTTTATTTGGCGTGGAGAAGAGCGGTGTTCCACACCAGTTCTTATTTATTTTATTTCACTGTCTGCCTCTTCGACCAGTTTGTCGGTTTTCGTCTGTAAGTCTTCGATTTTGTGTGACATCAAACATAAATCATCCACGTGCGAAATCCAGGTCTTCTAGGTTCTTCACGTCGGTCTAGGATATCCCTGTCGTCTCGTTTCCGACTGGCTGACGCATAATCCAGTCCATCACGATTAGGAATATCATTGGTGATGATAGGCAGAGAACCTTTTCTGACTCCTGTGTTTACTCCAAACGTCTCGCTGAGCTTACCGTTGTGGATAAATTGACATGTGCCGTTGTCGTACAGCTGTTGAATAAGGTTGATGAATATTTGGGCTCTGCACGCCGTAGTACTCGAGTAGTTTCCAAATTACTTCGCGGTCAACGCTGTCGTAGGCCTTCTCAAAGTCTATAAAGTTGAGGTAGTGGTTTGATTGCCATTCCATGCTTTGTTCGATGATGATGATGCGTGGAGTTGCGATTCGGTCAGTACATGATTTGCCTTTCCTGAATCCAGCTTGTTCTGGTCGGAGTTCTGCATCCAGTGCGTCCTTTATTCTCTCCAGGTTGATGCGACTCAGGATTTTGCTTGGAGTCGACAGGAGCATGATTCCTCTCCAGTTCTTGCTGAGTGAGGCGTAAGTCACCCTTCTTTAGTAGTTTCACGAGGTAACCTGCAGTCAGTAGGCACCTTTCCCTCCTTCCAGACCTTTTGCAATAATGGAGTCAGCATGTTTGCTGTCGTCTCTGGGTCCGCTTTTAGTGCTTCAGGGGGTATTCCATCTGGCCCAGCTGCTTTTCCAGCTTTCAGAAGCTTGATTGTATTCAAGACTTCAGCTTTCGTTGGAGGATTGGTGTCAACTTGCAGTTGTGTGCACGCTATTGTTTGTATTTCTGGACGGGTTGCAGGTGATGGTCAGTTCTAGAGTCCTTTGAAGTGATCCGCCCATTGTTTAATCTGTCTTTCTTCCTTGGTAATTGGGTTCCCTTGGCTGTCTTTTATAGGTTTCGCTTGTGTTGGTCTCTTCCAGGATAGAGATTTGGTTATCTGATATAGTGTCCTCAGGTCCCTTTTGCCTGCTGCCTTTTCAGCTTCAGTAGCTAGATTGTCGTAGAGTCGTCTTTTGTCCTTCCTAGCACTCTTCTTCACTTCTTTGTCCATTGCTTTGTAAGTTGAGCTCAGCGTCTCTTTCTCCTGTCCAGCTTTGCATTGAATCATTCTCTCTTTCTCCATTCTCCTCTCTTCTATTAATTTCCAAGTGTCCATTGAGAGCTATTCCTTGTCTTGTCACTTCTTTCATCCTACAACCGTTGAACACGTTTCGTTGAGAATCGCCTTCAGAGACTTCCAATTTTCTTCCACGCATGATTCCTCAGTGATGTCACGTAGTGTTTCTTGCAGTGAAATTGTCGTTTGTGGTTGTGTCCTTCAGTAATTGAGTGTTCAACTTGCATTGTGGCCTATCCCCAGCTATCCTCGAGGCTTTTAGTTTCACCTTGAAAGTCCCTTCTACTAGATAGTGGTCTGAACCCACATCTGCTCCTCTCCTTGACCTTGTGTCCAGTAGGCTCCGTCTCCACTTTCCTGAAGTTGAGATGAAGTCTATTTGGTTCTTGGTGTTTCTATCTGGTGAAATCCATGTCGTCTTGTGTATATCCTTGTGTTTGAACACACTACCGCCAATCACCAAATCACTGAAGGCGCAGAAGTCTGAGAAGAGTTCACCATTGTCGTTCATTTCGCCGAAGGCCTCACGATCCATGGTGAGTTCTCTTCGTGTATTGTCTCCTCCCAGCTTCGAATTCATATCGCCCGTCAGGGTTTTGATATCGCCTTTTGGGACGTTGTTCATTACTGTTTGTAATTGTCTGTAGAACACCTCTTTCTTTTCTTGTTCTGAGACGTTTGTAGGCTCATAGCATTGAATGATTGTAACCGTCCTA